TTATAACTTTATAAACAATAGTATATTATAATTCATTATATAATCTAGAATCTATATTTAAAAAAAGAAATAAAGTTTATCTTCTTCAAAAAAATATACAAATAAAACAATTTAATAATAAACTAGATTACAAAAAACTAGGATTATTCAAAATCGATAAAATAATTGGATTAATCAATTATAAATTAAAACTACTATATACTATAAATATTTATTCAATATTTTACATATCTTTATTCGAACTAATACTATTAGAAATATTCGATATATCTATAACAGAAATCGAATCAATCAATCCAAACATTATATATAATATCGAAATAATACTAGATTATAAATATATCAAAAGCAAGATCAAATATTTAATTAAATAATTAGATTTCTTATATTCAAAGAATACTTGGGAATTAAAATAAGATTTTAATTATCTTAAAAAGTTAAAAATATTTCATTAATATTATTCAAATCTTCTCAAAAAAAATCCGAAGAGTTTGAGAAAAAAGAAAGATTATAATCGTTAAACAAATTCATATTAACTTTGATAAATATCAATAAATTAGAATTCAATTGTTCTTTTTTTTATTTTATATATTCCTTATTCAATTTTTCCTTCTTCTTTATTTTATTCAATTTATTCATCGTTTTTAAATTATAACAAATTATCTCAAAAGTTTATCTACAAAGGAAATATTATTATTTATTAAAACAAAACAATTTCAATAAAATATCTTTATATTTATAATCTAAATACTTTTATTCCTATACAATATTTATTATATTCTTAATAATAAAATCTGATATATTATATTGTTAATCTCGATAAATATATTTATTATAACAATACAAATATTTTTTGCAATAAATATACAAAGGTATCTCGAATCCTTCAAATTCGATTATTAAAACAAATTTGATTTGTTCCTTATATTTTCTTAATCTTATAAATAATATAATGAAAAAAAGAAAAGATTTATTTTACAAAAACTTATAATATAATAGAAAAAGCATTTATAAAAGTTTAAAACAAATACTAGATTAAAAAGAAGATAATGTTACAAAATAACAATCAATCTATTTATATAAATTTAAACTTTATCGAAAAGCAAAACAATTTGTATACAAATTTATATAATAATCATTCCATATAATCTTCCTACCTTCAACAAACTCGGATTTATAATCTGATCTAAAAGGTTATATGATAAACCCTATATATATAAAGATATAAATCGTAGATCTATACAAATTGTAAATCTATACAAATTGTAAGTTTATATGAATTATAGGTTTATATAAATCATAGATCTATACAAATCATAGATCTATATAAACCAAAAGGATTTCCTGTATATAAAAACTTTATACTCAAGATCAATTATTTAATATAATCTATTATTAGTTATAAATTACAATTATTGATATTATTTTAAAAGTCTTTGTTTAACACCTAGTTATAAAACCCTTTGAAGATCCAGGCCATTTCTATATAATCTAGATCGCATCCTTCGTAACACTTTTATATTCTTATCATTCCTCAAATCAATATACACTTTTGAAATCAATTCGTTAATAACAAATTGATCTGAATTATATATAATAAATGAATATAAAGATTATTAATTAATAAAAAAAGATAGATATATAAAATTATTTTGATTATTTTTGATTTGTATAATGATTTTATTTATTTCAATATAATTTTATATATCAAAGGTTTTAGTAAACTTTTTGAAATCTTTTAAATTATATTTATTTAATAGTTTTTCTATAAAATCTATACAATAAATAGAATTTTCATTGAAAAATCTATTTCGAACAATAATTATTCTATTAAGCTTTGATTTTTATTCAATAAATATATATAATAATTATATCTATAGATTTCATTTTAATTTAATTGGAGATCGCTAGATATCTTATCAATAAATAATAGATTATCTTTATACAAATAATTATGAAATTATATATATAATATTTCATTCGAAGATTTGAAAGATTTGATTTTTAAAGAATTAATATTATAAAAATAGATAACAATAAATATTGTTTTTATTTAAAGATTATCCAATAATCCTAAAATGAAATATATTTTTATTTATTTCATTATAATTTCTTATTTTATATATTCTGATCTTTTATTACATTTATATATACCAGGGGCCTGCGCCCTGCAGACCCCTGGCTTTTTGAGAAAGTCTAATGAAAATTTAAGTTTTAAAAAGTTTATAATAAATTTAAATATTGAATATATATTAGAATATAGGTAGAATCTCAGCTTGTTTTTGATAATTAAAAATTAAAATTTTTTATTTCAAAATAATCATTATATTATTTGTAATTTTATTTATAATATTATTATTATTATTATTATTATAAGTTGAATGAGATGAATTGAATGAATAAAGTTGAATTGAATAATTTTAGAGTTGAATAATTTCAATTGAGTTAAGTTGAATTGAAAAAAGTTCTTAAGTTAGATTTGTTTGAGATTATAAGATTTATTTATATTAAGTCTTTTGTTAGATTATTTATCGGGATATTTACTGGGGTATTTTAGATCAATCAGATTGTCAGGATCGCGATTCATTTAAGCGAGTTTCTCATTTTCTATTATCCTTTGAATAAACTTCGTATATAGCAAAATTATAGTATCGATAAACCGATAATAATATATCGATTATAGAAATTATAAAGGATATTTTATTTGAGAAATAGATATAATAAAAAGGAATAAAATTCAAATTGTTTTTATCTAATTGTCGATATTACAATTTTATTGTATACGAGGTTTATCTGATGAGTAATAGAAGATAAGAAATTCGTTTAAGTGAATTGTGATTCTGATAATCTTATAAGTCTAAAATACCCTAGTAAATACTTTAGTAAATAATCTAACAAAAAGCTTGATATAAGTTTTACAATCTGAGGCAAATCTGATTTAGAACTTTTTTCAATTTTGAAATTATTCAATTCGATTCTATTAAAATCATTCAACTTTGAAATCATTCAATTCGATTCTATTTATTCAATTCATCTCATTCAACTTATAATAATTATAATAATATTATTAATATTAAATCATATTATAATTATTATTTTTAAATAAAATATTTTAATTTTTAATTATTAAAAACAAATCGATATTCTATCTACACCTTGATATATATTCAATATTTAAATTTATTATAAAATTTTTAAATCTTAAATTTTTATTAGACTTTTCGAAAAGCCAGGGGTCGGGGCAGGCCCTGATTATCTTATTTGATATTTACGATTGCTAAACTATATTTATAATAAATCCAGATAATAAAGTTTTGAAAGATTCCAAAACTTTATTATATTTTTTATATAATGAATAAAAGAATATCTTTTATTATATATATTTTTTGATCTATAAGAATTATAAAGCATTTGTATAACCTTTATCGAAATCAAAATATTCTATTAGATTTTGTAAAAATCAAAGAAATCAATATTTATTTAAAATAAAAATATAATTTGTTTTATATAAATATAAGAATAATTTATATATTTGATATAAATAATCTTTTTTTTAATATTTTATATAATAAATACTAAATATTCGAATACTTTCTTATCTAAATAATCTAAGTATTTATATTATATTTTATTTATATTCTTTTTTAATAAAGATAAATTTTGAAATCAGTAAAATAATTTGTTTATTTTATAATTCATTATTAAAAATATAAAAAAAAAGATTATTTATGAAGATAAATAGAAAAATATTCGAATAAAATAAAAAAGATTTATTCTTCAGAAATATAAGGTTTTCTATATAAATATAATATATTGTAATAATACTTTGAATAAGATTTTCTTTACAAAAAGTATAATTATAATTTAAGAATTATAAATCTATTTTTCTAAATAAATCTTCAAAACAATATTGATATAAAACTAAAATTAATATTATATTATTCTAGATAAAATCACTATTTGAAAAATCACTATATAAAATAATCTTTCTGATCATTTGTTTTTCTTTTTTTAAAACTTATAAATTTATAATTCCTATTTCAATAAGATTATTAAATTTAGAAAGTATATAATAATTATTGTTCAAAAAAGAAATATTATTAATGATATATATAATATTATCATTATCAAATAAAGTATTATTAAATCAATAACATATTTCAATAATAATAATATATATATCTATTTGATTATTTTAAGTATCGAGGATAATAATATTGATTAATAATTTAAATTGTTCAATAAATAATCAAATTTAATCTTTTTTTGATTAATCAATATATATGAATTTGATTATATTTGATTCTTGATCGTTTTGAGTTTTGATTTTGTATAAATATATTTGAGTTTTGAATAAATTTATTTATAAATACTATTTGAATAATTCGATAAATAATTATATTCTATTTTATAATTCCAATCAGCTTCAACTTTATAAAAACAATTCTATAATTTATTCTTTCCTTGATTATTATTAAAATTCTAAACTTTTTTATTATTCCTTTTGAACTTTTTATTATTTTCAAGAACAAAAGTAAAGTAAATTCCTCTTTTAGATCTTGAAGAAATAGAATCTTAATAAACTAATCCTTTTAAAGATATCATCAAATTGTTTGAATATAAATTTAGGAATCCCGAATTAATTGTTTATCTCGATCTATATAATCAGCAGGGGCCTGCGCCCGGCTTTTCGAGAAAGTCTAGTAAAAATTTAAGTTTTAAAAAGTTTATAATAAATTTAAATATTGAATATATATATTAGGGTGCAGATAGAATATCAGTTTGTTTTTGATAATTGAAAATTAAATACTATTATTATAAATATTATTATTATAAATACTATTCTTATAAATATTATTATTTTAAATATTATTTTTATTATTATTATTATTATTATTTTAAGTTGAATAAGATGAATTGAATGAATACAGTTGAATTGAATAAATAGAATTGAATTGAATGATTTCAATAGAGTTAATGAATGATTTCAATGGAATTGTAAATAAGTTGAATGATTTCAAAAAGCTTTAAGTCAGATTTGTCTGAGGTTGTAAAGCTTATGCCAAGCTTTTTGTTAGATTATTTACCGGGGTATTTTAGACCAATCAAATTGTCAGGATCGCGACTCACTTAAACGAGTTTGTCATTTTCCATCACCCACCGGGTAAATTGCGGTACGCTATATGTATAGCAAGGTTTTGATGTCGGCAAGTCGACAATTAATATTAGCCAAAAATCTTTATTTATATAAATATCTATTAATATTTTTATTAATTTTTATTAAAAAATTATTTATATATATACAAATTAATTATTCAAAATCTAAATTTTAATTGATTCAAAATTTTTCTATTATAAAGTTATTAATAAATAAACGATTTTTAATATATAAAAAAATCTAAAAGAATAATAATTTAAAATAAAAGTAATTGAATTTATAAATAATAAATTATTTTTTTTCACTTAAGAATGAGATTCATGAAAATTTCATTTACTGGTATATGCATAAACATGTTTTTCCCCCACTGATTAACTATATAAATACTCGTTCAACAACATTATCATACATGATACCCGCAGACGATGCTGCTTCCCAAACGCCATTTTATGCATGCATTATGTAATTCCATTCATTTATTTATCATCCACTGATTTCATCCCCTTTTTGCTCGTAGTGACGACATACACTCATAAAATGCATCTTCCGTTCATATATGCCCATCAAAAATGAAGCAAAAGCTTAAGCATTCATAATCTCAGGTTTGTGCTCCTGAGAAGCAGCTCCCGCAGCAGTCTCGGGAAACATTCTCTCGTCATGTTCCAACATTGGTCGCCCAGCCATCTCACTCTTCTTAATATCTTTACCTCCAGTGGTCAAGAACATTCTGTCGGTATCAACACCTTTGACACCTTCGGCACCGAGAGACTTGGGGTCCCAAGTGGAGGATGTTCGCGGGTTGACGTGGAGGACGTACATGGTGTCAATTTCCTCAAGGGAGCGATCCTTAGTCTCGATAACGAAGAAGTATACAATCCAGAAGAGAGCGAAAAGGGACCCGGCAAAGACAAGACCATAGTAGTAATCGATATCGTTGGTGATAAATGTGGTGAAGAATGAGATAAGGAAGTTGAAGAGCCAGTTCGATGCGGTGGCGAGGGCCATGCAAGAAGCTCTGTAACGTGCTGGATATAATTCTCCAACAATAGCCCAAACCAAAGGTCCCCAAGTAGTAGCGAACCCAACAATGTAGATACAGGTGAAACAAATCAAAACGGCACCAGGGGCTTGAGCATTGGCTTGTCCTTGGATCTTGAAGTGTCCGACGAAAGAGTAGATCAACATGCAAACAAACATCTCGGCAGCACCAACCATGAGAGCCTTTCTACGACCACAATTCTTAACAATCCAGAGACCACCAATGGTAGCGACGACGTTGACAGTACCGAGAATGATAGAGGTAACATAAGAATCGGAGATACCACCAGACTTGAAGATGGTAGTACCATAGTAGAAGAAGAAATTGGCACCAGTCAACTGTTGACCAGCTTGAAGAACCATTCCGAGAAGTGTTCGGTAGAACATCCTAGGGCCAGTAAAAATTTCGTACCAGGGATGATCACCACCTTCTCTTTCGGCCGCGAGCTTAAGTTCGATTTCTTGGATCTCGGAATCGATAAGTGGGGAGTAAGGGTCGACACCGTTGAGGAGAGCCATGTTTTTGCGAGCTTCGTCTTCACGTCCGACACGGTATGCAAAACGAGGGGATTCGGGCATGAAGAGGACGGCGGTACCAAGGATGATGGCCCAGAGTGCTGAGAGACCGTTAGGAATACGCCACTGTGCACTGTTGGTGTAGGCAGAGTGAGTTCCGTAGTTGATCTATTTTATATGTTAGTGAATTGTTTCAGGGACCCATTGGATAGGAGGTTGCTTACCATATAAGCAGTCCAGATACCAAGAGTAATCAACAACTGATAACTGGAAACCACGGCACCACGGATGTTCTTTGGAACAGACTCAGATTGGTACATAGGAACACTAGTACTCAAAGCACCAATACCCAAACCTGCAGTGAATCTTCCCATAGCGAATTGAACCCAGTGAGTAGAGGAAGTGACTTCGATAATAACACCAATGATATAGAAAAATGCAGAACTCGAGATAGTGTAACGACGACCGATTGTATCGCAGAGATAACTGGATCCAAGGCAACCAACAAGAGTACCGGCGCAGAGAATGGCGACGATGGTTCCTTGACGAACAGCAGAAAGTTCACCATTTTCGCCGAACCGATCCAAGAAATCGGACATTTGGACGAAACCTTTAGAGCTTGTTAGTAATCTATTGGTGCATGATGTGGAAGCGAAGAGACCAACCAGAAATTTGACCAGATTCATACCCGAACATGAAACCACCGATAGATGCGATAGCACCAAGCATAATAGCTAATTTGGTGACAGGCAAGTTGTCGAGAGCTTCCTCAGGCGCTATATCATGATGCTCTGGTGCAGAACCATTTAAGGATCTGGCGACACGAGGAGTATCGGCTGGTGTGTGTGCTGCTGGAGTTCCCTCTGCGCTGCTGAGGTGCTTGTCGGTAATAACAGGAGACTCTGTAGTCTCCTTCTTGTTGAACAACCCCATGACTGCTTTATTCTGACTTCTCCTTGACTATGTATGTAGAAGTACAGTGTCAATAAACTTCAAAGGCAAAATCGAAAGCCCCCGGATAGAACAAGTGTGAGGAGAAGACGACGCGGAGAATGGAGAGAGGGGATACGGGGATTGAAAGGATTTTATAACAACAACGAAATGGGAAGGATGGGAGTGAAGTCGACCCCCCATCAAATTATCATGATCGGGGGCCCCGATGTAATGCCTCCATGAATTAGCCTGCATTCCCATCGTTCTGTCATGCGGACAAGAATCCAATTGGGAAAATGACTCTAGCCCCCAAATTGGAAGAAACTAGTAAAAAGGTCTCAAGACATTTCAAGTTTTTCCCCAAGATGGAGAATCTACCCAAGAATGTTCGGGTGGGTGGAGTGAAGAAAGAGGGACCTGGGCAGTATCTTCGACACCCGTTTGAGCTTCCCGTTCCGACTTGTCACGACATGATTAGGGTATTGCTTGTATTGAATTGATCTGTTAGTTATTTAGGAGAACAGACCATATTGGAATAATGGCTAAATGGCCGAGAACGAAAGATTTTTGAATATCGATATGAAGAAAATCGGGTCCATCGTAAAGTGACGTCCGCGATAGCACCGAGTGCGAGAGAAGGGAGCGCCCAATCCTTACTGTCGAATTTATTTTTGAAATCATTCAAATGCAATTGATGTGGTTGATTCGTGTCCGTTTCTATCTGGCCTCTCAACCACCTGAGAACATCAGCTCTGTGTTGTTGCTCTTGGATAATGAGGAATTTTGCCATATATTGACTTGTCAAATGCCGTCTTGGACATATCAAAACACCGATGTGAGGTGGAGCATGATGATGATTTGCCGCTCACTTAGCCGTTTGTAGACTAGAAATGTGGACGAAGTGGATGAAATGTATTTGAGGCTCAAAGCTTGTTGCTTCCGAACATCATGATCCTACTGGGGCCTGACAGCATAGTTGCTGGACCCATAAAAAGGTTTCAAGCCTATGAAAATGAAAAGAGAAAAAATCCAAGGTTCAAAGGCCTTGGCCTTGACCGTGTGGCAGGAACGAAGCGGCAGTTAAAAAAGGCCAAGCGTCCGTAATCCGACAAGCGAGTGGGAGATAAAAAATGAACAAGATCTGCATGGCATAAGGGCATAAGGGATCGAGGATTGGCGCCCGTCATCCAAGACAATTGTTTGAAAGTTGTGTATCTGTGCCTATGGCGTGTTTATGAGCGGATTGGTTTTGGTTTCTGCATCCGGGCGGATGAAAGCATATAGAATGGTTTCGAGAAAAGACTCGGACGAATCGTTCCACCCGGGTTCCTTCCTTTCTGCCGTGATCATTTTCTTTAACCATCTCTGCAGAACACAAACCGGTTGACTCGTTCATCTATTCCCAGAGTAGCACAGACATCCCAAGAAGATACTATGATGGTATGTATGGACGAACTTGTCATTTTTTGGCTTGCTTGGCGAGAAAACCCACATCAAAAAGGTCATATTTCGGTTTTATTTCAACGACAACCCATTCAAAACTCCACCTCGTGGATATCCTCTCGGCCATACTCCCACGTCTAAGATCAATCATGTAACGCATAATCATCTTTACTACTACTCTGTATGAAGTCTCCAGAGGACACGGAATAAACGTAATAATGATTTAGAAATTCTTGAAATTTGGCCGAAATGTGGTGTTCGAGGGGAATTCTTTTCTTCTTTTTGTGGTGCCACTGCTGCAAACGTAGCACATCGTCGCCCATGGGACCTCCCCATTTTCTCCCTACTTTATGTAAAAGGCCCATGGGACACGAGGATGGAGTATGCAGTTCGGGGCGTAGGAACCTGGATTTCGGGGCCCCTTTTTTGATGCAGGCGGTGCCGTTATGCCGGCGAGTGGTATTGGAAAATGGACATCAATGATGACATTCGAGCTTTGCTTTGAAGATAGTGGAGTAGGCAATTATCGGAAAGATAGCAGCGGGGCAGCACAGGCAGGTGTGGCGTGTCACGTGCGATATCGAGAGCTCGAGTCATGTTTTTCGTGAACACGTTTTTTTGCCTCGCTGGGCATGCAAATTCTCAAGGGTCTAGGAGATTGCAGGAACCATTCCGTCTTGTTCGCCTTGAAATATGGTTCCAAGCCATTGAAGCCACGAAACCACGAAGCCACACACAGCTACACACAGCTACACACAGCTACCCTGATCATGACTTCTAAAATTTGTAGCTGCCGCTCGATCTCCTTAGGATCACTAGGTCGTTCTGGAAAACGCTAAGAAAGAAATCTTCTGGGCCATTGGCCCCGAGTTTTAAAATTTTTCTTTCCACTGCATGAGTTTCTCGAAGTCACGGCTTTTGCACACGGTACAGTCGGTTTTTGAAAATAAGAATGAAACCAGTGCCATGAACTCAAAAGTAGATACGAGTCGGGAGGGACTTTGACCTGGCAAGGCGATAAAATCAATGCTGGTTGAAAACGATGGTCCCTTTATTGCCGTGTACTTTCTAGCAAACGTCCAGGCCATCATCTTCTCCTCACATTCGTTCTTTGAAGTCTTCACCAGTCGTAATTTGTGAATTTTTCGCAATATCTGACCTGGAAGGTTTCCGACAGTCGACCCAGGCATAGTACAACAAAATGAGAAAATCTGGTGGTCGTTTGTTTCGGCTTTAACTGTGGAACTCCCAAAAGTCTTGTATGAGTTCAATGCACTTGTATCACTGCCAATTTGGTCGCCGCACCGTTTCCCTTGGCCGCGGCCTTGCAATTTTGATATCAACTGCATCAATCGACTTGGTGATCTCGTATCTTTCTGCACACTCTCTTGTATTACATCACTTGGCATGCAAACTGAGGTTTTGCATGATTTATCAACCAAGGTGACTGTCAAAAAATTGCCGTCTGTCTGTCTGTCTATCAGACTAGGAATCTATATCAGCTATCAGTGAACTGATACTGGAGATAATTGGCAAGAAAGTAAGCTCGAGAAAAGCTGAATTTTGAAACAGACGGAGGGGAGCAGAAGATAAAGTTTGCAGGATTATTGGGACAGTCAAAACACATTTGGTCTATATTTTCAATCAATATTTTGTCGCTAGTTCGACGCACTCTCCAAATTTGGGGATGTATCCCGCCGTGTTACGTCGTAGTTAGGAAGACGAAAGTTCATAGATAAGGAATCGAGAGATTGTGGTGAGTACTGTACTCACTTTTTTTGCCTGCAAGTGATTCGGCTCCAGTTCTCCGCTTGCACCTTCCTTGACTCAACATTTCAGGTCAAACTACAACATTTTCATGACAAATGCAATCAGCTTCCAAAAGATGTCAGGCCCGTCGTCACCATCCTCCTCTCGACGGGGAAGTCATGACAATAACATTACAGTAAACAAAATGTATACCTACAGCAGCACACATTGATATGGAGATATTGTTCGCAGACGTGGAATCTCTAAAGGCCTTCTCGGTATTCCGTAGCAAATCAGCATCGAAGGAAGCTTCGCCTTTTCGTCAAGGACAAAGCAGCAATGCCAGCCCCGTCAATTGTATGCTGCGAAACAAAGGCTAAGACTGCTACTTGGTGTGATCCTGATATAAGTATCTAATCTTGTCTGGATATCGATAATGAGCACCTGGCAAAATTCTCCTGGATGTTCTGTGGTTTCATTATGATTTCTATAATGTGTTACGGATGTGAATCTATAAGGGATTTTTGTAGTAAGGGAGCAAATAAAGATAAAAATAGATATTTACTAATATTACTGTGCTTTTGATAGAAGATTGCTCATTGATATATTTGCTGGTGAGTATACAGAATAGAGGACAACATTTAGAAGGAATGGTAAATTTTGACGAGTATATATTACCACTACCTCATACTCTATCATCATCGGGAAACTAACCGCTCGATACAAAGCAAATCAGAACCAAATTATAGTTTTGTAAGCCTTCCCTTAAGATTGGAGGGTTGTTTTCATAATTCGTGTAAAATTCCACTGATAGATCAATCAGATACAAAGCGAATTATTTTCAAGCCACATCCGTTCATGTATCTATTGAACCTTTTGATGAGGTTCCCCATTACAAATGTGGGAATGTTGCTATATATACCTTCGGGTTTCACAAGCATTAGTGATTAGTCTATATTGTAGGTTACATTAGAGAGCATTTAAATTGATAAAATGGAGATATAATTATTCAATTTTTAAACTCCCGGAAACCATGTTCCAGCGAGGTCCCTCAAAGTTGGCACTTTTTGAAAGGGTGAAATAGTACGGAGAAGATATTTTTTTGTATTTTTGCTGTAAATTCTTCAGTCGCACTTCCGAACTTCGGTCTGTTGTCGAAAACTCTACAGAATAGACTGAAATCTTTCACTTGCGCTCCAAATTTATTTTGAAGAAGGTAATCTTCAGAAGCTGCATGGGTTCAGGGGCACCAATATCTCGTCTAGGCCGACATCGAACCACAAAATTTGTGCTGGAGACAAGGACAGGCCATGGACGAGCAGTAATTGAATTCTACTTTGCCGAAATCTGAATCACAAGGCTCAAGTCTAGGAGGATTGGAGCTGAATGCGGCCGTAGAAGCCTGATTCTTGTCGGAAAGAGAAAGGAATCTTCGGTATCGAAAATCTGATGATGAGAGAATGAATAGAGATGAAAAGGATAGAAAATAGCGGTTAAATTAGAGTTTGTGATCTATCCAATAAGAGCAAAACATGAATTCGTCTGAATATAGAGATAACTTGAAGGGCCATAACAAGCGGAACAGTGAGACAAAAAGTAATACTATCACTCTTGGTGTTAAACTCTTCGATATTTGTTTATTTATATTTAATGAATTTGATATAAAATACTATTATTATATTTATTATTCATAATAACTTTTCACAAAATGTTATTATTGTAAAAAGATTTCCAAATATTAATTGTATTTTACCAGGGGCCTACGCCCCCCGGACCCCTGGCTTTTCGAGACAGTCTGATGAAAATTTAAGGTTTAAAAAGTTTATAATAAATTAAATATTAAATATATATCAAGGTGCAGGCAGAATGTCGGCTTGTTTTTAATAATTGAAAATTAAATTATTTTATTTAAAAATAATAATTATAATATGATTTAATATTATTATTTATAATAATAATGCTATTTTATATTATTTGTATTATTTTTAATGTTATTTATAATAATAACAATATTTTATATTATTTATATTATTTATTATTATTATTATTATTATTATTATTATTATTATTATTATTATTATTATTATTATTATTATTATTATTATTATTATTATTATTATTTTGAATCGAATAAAATAAATTGAATAAATAGAGTTGAATTGAATGAATAAAGTTAAATTGAATGAATTGAATGATTTCAATTAAGTTGAGTTGAAAAAAGCTCTAAATCAGATTTGTTTAAGATTGTAAGGTTTATATCAAGCTTTTTGTTAGATTATTTATCAGGGTATTTATTGAGGTATTTTGGATCAATCAGATTGTCAGGATCGCGATTCATTTAAACAAGTTTCTCATTTTTCATCATTTACTAAGTAAACCTTGTATACAATAAGGTATAGAGTCGGCAAGCCAACAATAATAAATAAATTATTATTTTTAGAATTCAATTTATTTTATTCCTTTTCGATTTATATCAATAATAAACAAATTTAAAATTCTAATAATTTATATATCTCTTTTTTTGATTATATAATAAATAATTTATTCGTATTTTAAAATATAAAATATTAAATTAAATTAGATAATAAATAATTAAAATATTATATATAATATAAATGAATTTGTAATTCATTAATTTGTTAATAATATTAATAAGATAATTAATATAATAATCAAATAAAAATAAATTTATTTTAATAATAATAATTTCAAAATAGATTTTATTTATTTTATTATATATTATATTGTTTAATATAATATTAAGAATTTAATTTTTATAATATCTTTATTTATTTAAATAATTAAATTCGTTATATTTCTTTATTAATAAAATCTATATATAGATTAGGGGTAAATATTCTAGGGAAATCATTCGGATATTTGCCTTATATGATCATCAGTGCAGGGTATTGATTGATAGCTTCAATAGATCTACGAAGGTTACAACACTTTAATATCTTTGATCGGTGTTGAGACTTAGTTCTTGGAGTATAAGAAGTCATTATCTTGAATACCACAAGAAATCGTGACAGAAACTGTAAAGCTTGAACATGAGATAAGGGGTGTCAGGCCGAATATTTTGACACCAACCCCGTGCATTCCTAGATGTAATTATGCTTGTTCTTGGCACAAACGAAGTCTTTAGAAAGACTCTTCGATGAACTATAAAGGTATACAAATTAGAGAGAACATTATTTAGTTTTAATAAGGTTTAGTAGATTATGCCAATGTAAATAATGATTTTACGAGTCTTATTGTAGAGAGAGCCCCGAAAATTCCTTCAGGCGGTGCAGGCAATTGTAGACAATACTAATCTCGGGATAAGAGAAAAAGCAACCCATAGTCATCATTTATAAATAAGCTTTAATATTCATGTAGGCACAGTATTGGAAGAGTAGACCTTGTAAATACGGAGTCAATCAATCAAATCGACCCATAATCCTGAAGTTCTTTCTATACCTCTTGGAGACTGAGAGTCGCGTTTCTGCTTTATCTTCTGGCCATAGAAGTCAAATTCTAGTTTATATTTGAAGTTCATACGCTCGCTAACGTAGCATCAACAAGAAAAGAACCATTAGCCATACTTTCGAAAAGCTTTGCTTCAGCGGTTAAGCATTTTAAAGAGTGCCATAGATTCTATGACTTCCCGTGCCAGCTTCAGATGTAAATTTGTTTGTCATGGCTGATATGGACGGTCTTGTGACAGCAGGCGTACATGAGGATGAGGACTATTGTAATTAATGGATACAAACAGTATACTAGATGTGAGTAATATTCGAGAGAAAAACTAACAAAAAATTTGACCCAAGAAAATCTGTGAAAAACAACACACTATTCGCGCGGAGGGCCCAACCAACATGATCACAGCAGTGGAGGAATTAGTAACCTGTGAGTATACTGATTTAGGAAAAGAGTGCCTAGCTTTTGTATAATTAATTATGTCACCGGGATTTAAGCCTGTTGTGTTTCATTACGTATATTGCTGGCCGACCAAATTGACGTTGGCTATCACACCATTTGAAACTCGTGGGTATATGAAAAGTACAGCTACGAAGCATATTGAATACCATATCTTGATATGTGAATTCTCAAAACGGATGATAGGAGCATTCAATGGTCGAGCTCTTGACCTTTCGAAGGGGCCATAAATCATCTCCATATTTCGGCCTCTGACGGGGATTTAGATAAATCGTGTAGCCGGAAGAATTAGCGAAAGAAAAGGGGCAACAGGAAAATACCTTTGACATCGACTATGCAACTATCCGAAAGCAAAAAACAATAACATAGGACAAGAACCAAAAAGACTTTGGCCCAAGTTTAGAGGACGCATCTATAATTATACTATTATGGGTGCTGTGAGCGAAATAGTACAACACCGCATCTTCCCATGGAGTTGCTAAGCAAACTAAATCTTGACATGTAAAATCTTATTATAGAGCGTAGTAAAATAAAGGTTGAGTTTATACAGATGATTAATGAGTTCTTAAAAATGAAGGGTGTTTTCAGGTGGTTTCCCACGCCATCTTTTAATTTGGGTACTACGACCTAGTAGCCATGGCTATACTCGGGCTAAGAAAGGTGCAAATTCCAATAGAAAAGGCTAAAGTCCTGCCCTAGAATCGCAAATGATTGATATCAAAAAATCCTGTGAAACAACAAATAATGCAGCACGATAGCATTTCCGACGATGTATAATTTCTAGACGAGAATGTTTAACGGCTGACAGCGGTATTGCGAAAAATATCGTAGATTCCCCGTATTGTTATGAACGCAAAGTTTAAAGTTTTGAAATTTATATAAGATCGAACTCCTGACACGGAGCAATGAATCTAATAATCTTGCGGCCTTCCACACTCCGCTTTTCCATCCCCGTCGCCAGAGAAAATTGGAGTCTTCAGGAGCTGTCAGGGAATCCGCCAGGCAATCACCACACGTCGCCAGAAAAAGAAATCTTCACCATCCTCCACCATCTTTCAACCTTTAAAACCTCTTCCCACTTCTACCCCGTCTCTCCCTCTATACACCCAAAAATGAACAGACATCAGATCACTTGAGGCCTTTCTCCATTTTCACTCCTCTCTTTTCGCAGTTAAACCTCCGGTCAAAAATGTATAGATTTTGGAGATGAATGCGGAGTATATATACACATACACATACACACACAAATGTGCACATCTATACACAGTGTATATAAAGAAGGTGACAAAACGATGATGAATGATACTAAACTTGTAAATGACACCAGAAGGTACGTAAACGGACAAAAACCCAGAACTGACAATGCAAAATAGATTTTTAATTACTTTGGAAGATTTTTCTCCCTAATGGTACCTGCAAATGATGTGACTCCAAGAGTTTGCAGTATGAAAGTTCGATATTTTACAGCTCTTGAATTACCAATATGCTACGTTTCAAATTCTTTCGCCTCGACCTTAGAGCCGCCGTAGAAATTTTATATATAGGTCATGAAAGACGAAAATATTGAGCGACGAAATATCTTCGTTAAAAGAGAGGGACGAAGAAGGCTCATTTAATAATGGAATACCCAACAATGGAATAATGTTTGAACATGTAGGTACATACATGTAATGATCTCTTCCATTATCGCTACATAAATATAACACAACATCTTACAAGAATTATGAGTACTCCTCCAATATGCCGTATCCTATCGCAACATATCGATCGTACCATTAAACCCCTACACCCACACAAGACACAACAAGCCACGAAATATCATACAAAAAAACCAATCCACCCATATACTTTTCCAAGCGCAACAACAAAAACATCAGTTAAACCTAACCGGCTTGATACATAGCCAAAGCAACAACATGCGGATTCACATTCGATAAATTAAACGCCGAGTAGGTCTGATTCGTATCCGTAAGCGCCAAAAACATAGTCCCGTTAATCGCTGGATCACCCTCAAAAGTCGAAACATCAGGTTGAATCGTCATAGCCGAATTAACTCCATTATTCGTCGTAACATTTAAAAGAGGTGAATAAGTGATATTCAATTGCGAAACCCACATTGCCCATTCGGCCCTTGCGGCGCTGGTGGCCGTAATGTAGGAGTTATTTGGTCCGACGGGTTTACCTGGGTTTTCCCATTGGAGAAAGATTTCACGCCCGGGGTAGGACAGGGGAATTGATCGGTTTTGGGAAATGGAGGACGAGCAATCGAATCCAGTTACGTTGTTACCGACGCATGAATCTATTGGTGCTAAACTTGAGTTACTTGGTGCAGCCGGACCGAATCCAACAGTTTCGTTGAAACCAGTTTGGGTAGCATTGCGACGAGCGATGTTTGGTTGGTTGAGAATTTTAAGTTCTGGGAAGTTTTGCCAAACAAGACGTTTAGAGTTGGCAGGGCAAGATGAAATATATGGTGCGAGAAGAGTCCAAGCCCATGATTGTGGAATGCCGGTCTCGAACCAAACTGGCATGGGGAAAAGACCTGAAAATTGACGGAAGATAACCTGTTGACGAGCTTCGGTGGCAATGGATTGATCAAGAAGCTGTGCAACTTCACGTGAGTCAAGATGAGCTTGGAAACCCCAAACACCTGACTCTCCATATCTGGTGAGTTTTTGACAAAAGTCAAATGCTTCAGTGACTGTAGTAAAAGGATAATTGTACGTGCATTGTGGTGTTGCACCTCCGGGTCCCCCAAGCAAATTCGAAAGCATAGTAGCATGGCCCGATTCTTGATTTGCCATGAACTCGATAAGATGTCTGTCGCTAGGAGTGAGACCAGCAGCTGTGAATTCCTCTTCCGGGAACCTGGCAAGGATGTGATGGAAGAGATCGAGCTCAATCCATTCTTGGTACAGACCTAAGAGAATTGATTGATAATCGAAATCAGATTGAACACGATAGACGGGCTCTGTGCCATTTGTCCCTAAACCACCAGCTGGTTGATATGGAATTGGTTGTGGGTCGTGAAGTGTACCGTCGGGTACATATGTTTGCTCGGCTGGTCTAGGTGGCAAGATTGGTACCTCACTGGCGAGCGCAATAGTACTTAAAGCTCCAGTAGTCGTCGGTGTGCCACTATACGGGCCATGACTTGTGGCACCAGTTACTTGAGAACTGATAACCGGCGGGACCGGGTCAGTAGCTCCTGGAATTTCTGATGCGGGAATCCCGGCAACTGAAGCGACCGATGAAACTGCTGCACTATTCACAGATGCTTGTTGATTGTAGGAATAAGAAAGAAATGGCGAAGAAGATGCGGAAGCTTCAGAAGCTGTGGAAGCTGTTGCGGAGCTTGTGACGGAAGCAGAGCTTTCGACTTGGCGTTCAATGATCTTGGTGACTGCAGCCGGAGCAGCTGTCACCGCTGCAATCAAAGCAGCGGTAATTCCTGTCTTGTAAAACATTTCTAGATGTTCAAATCGAAAGAACAACCGTAAAATAGACGAGAAATTGTTGCTTGAAATAAATCAAACCTGAAAGAAAATACTCGAGTGATATAAAAGAGGGACTCAATCACCTCGGGGCAAGCTATGCAGCTTTCATGACGCTTGGAAAGGAAATCTATTGTGGAACTATGAAGTAATAAAATATGACGAACACGTCTTAGCTTAGTTATCCTTATGGCTGTTGATTCGTTCCAAGAAATAAAGTGTTCAATACCATCCTTTACGTCAACAAATTAGTTGGAGAAAAACTGGAGAAAAGCCAGAGAAAGCGGTTTGGTGCATGAGGTAGTACCGCAACCGGCAAAAAGCTTTATATCAGCATCTGAATCTTGGTTATGGGAAAGACCTTAGGTAAATTGTGGAAGATGTAGGGGCTAGGAACAATGATGTGATTGGTTTTTTAATTGCTGGAGGTTACTCCGCACTTGACAGATAAAGAATGATTGAATGAACAAGTAGAAAGAAATCCAGTCGAGCGGAGAACCCCCCTCGGACTCAGCAGGGGAATCTAGAAACCCCCCCGGAAGTTGTGTGATTATTTGACAGTAAAGATAGGGATAATCATGAAAGCCGATTGAGGAGTGAAATTTTGTTTACACAGAAAACGTCATAGCTATCTATAGCTACAGCAGAAGTTTATATATAGCAGAAGGATAGATGCACAGAAAGGATAGCTAGTTCTACCAACTTTGGGAGCTAATTTGAGGGCTTCTGCCGAGAACTATGCCTCACGGCCTCAGCTATCAATTAAATACCCGAGTTCTGATGTTGAATTTGGACCTAAAGACGGTACTGTTGAGCTACCGAGATAGTTTTCGTCGCGTCTATCAAAGATATCAAGTTGATACCCGAAGCTAATTCCTAAAATCCATGTGAGTCTCACCTTGCCGTGAGAATTAGTGATAATTATCAAAACTCGGTTTTGGACATGAAGTCCGCTATCAAGCTTGAAAGCAATGTGCAAATATCTTGAATTGAACCAGAATTTCTCAATAGTCCGAGTAATGTAAGCATCATAATCTGCATTCGGTAAGGCAGTATGAATATCAAACAATTATCGCTGAAAACAGAACGCGGTGACGAATACCGAATCTCGATCTTTGGTCGTTGCTACGGTAAGATTAATATCCCCTGGGAAATGATCAACACAAGGGGGTTGGAAATCTGTATTCACAAATCCCATCTATTTGACAAAAATGCCATCAAGCCGAATTTTTATATCAATGACGCTTTGAACTTGGGATTCTCGATATTTGAGTACCGGTAGTTGAAAGGGAATTGCTGACCGATATCGCTGTTGGTGAGATCTGCAAGACATTCTGAAAGAGATCGGACTTTCTGGGGTTGAGCTTGGAAAAGAATCTATTGTTTGTCTGTTGAAGACTTGGAGTGGGACATGTAGAGTGTAGAGTGTAGAGTGTAGCGTGTAGTGTGTACCTATATATTGCTCTCGTTATGAAGAGTTGTCTTTTCGAAGATTATCTGTGTTCATGATTGAGAGAAGTAAAAGGAGGTGTTGTTACATCTTGGAGCAAGAGGAGTAAAAGATACAAAGATAATGAGTGCCTTCATTTACTGTGGTGTTTATGATAGATCTATGATAAATGATAAAGAATGATGTAAAATGTAGATGTAGATGTAGATGTAGATGTAGATGTAGATGTAGATGTAGATGTAGATGTAGATGTAGATGTAGATGTAGATGTAGATGTAGATGTGTGTAGATGATCATATATGTTCATGTGTGTTCATGTTCATGTTCATATTCATATTCATATTCATGTTCATGTTCATGTTCATGTTCATGAACATGAAGATAGAGAATCCGTGCGGCCGCTTAAGCTTAAAGCCGAAGATATTCCGTCGCATCATTAGAGTTTGTAGTGAGTGAGTGAATCATGAGGTGATTGACGATAATAATAATCATAACACGAGTAGTACCTAGGTAATAATAATAATCTTCTTGAACATCACCACTTTCTTTTGAAAATACATTTCTCTTGTTTTTCTTACACATTACTCGATACCACATGCGATTGACTTCGAGCCTTCTTTTTCGTCCTACACTCCTTAAAATGGCCCTCTACAATTCGCCCTCTACTTCTAAACTTATCTGCAAGTCCTATTCTACCTGATATAAACTCCCTTCCCCAACTCTATTCTACACATATCTAATCAACAGTCATCTTACAGTCGCGCCCGCCAATGAGAAAAACAATGCCCAAGCAGATCAATTTGTAAAAGGCGCACTCGATCGCAAAGATCTTGATTCCAATCCTCTCACGCAGTTTCACTCTTGGTTCTCGCACGCTCAAACCAATGGTGTTTACCATCCCGAAACCGTTTGTCTATCAACCGCCAGTTTACCTTCTGGCCGCGTATCTGCGCGCATGGTATACCTTAAAGAATTAGATGCGACAGGTGGGTTCGTTATATATAGTAACTGGGGCACGAGTAAAAAGGCGAAAGATATTGCGTCAAATAAATGGGCGAGTCTTACGTTTTGGTGGCAGGAGTTAGAGAGACAGGTTAGAGTCGAGGGGAAAGTGGAGAGGCTATCTGATGAGGAAAGTCAGGTCTATTATGATATGAGGGCGAGAGGGAGTAGGATTGGGGCATGGGCTAGTCCGCAGAGTCAAGTATTGAACGGGAGAGAAGAGTTGCAGGAGAGGGTCAAAGAGGTCGAGAAGAGATTTGACGGTCAAGAAAAGATACCAGTGCCGGAATTTTGGGGAGGTTTAAGAATTATACCAGAGATGGTGGAATTTTGGCAAGGGAGAGATAGTCGATTACATGATCGATTTCAATATGAGAAGAAAGAAGATGGGGAGTGGGATATTCAAAGGTTGAGTCCGTGAACAAGGAGGAAAGACAAGATGTGTAAGAATCGAGATTTGGATCAACTCAACTCAACTCTATTCAACTCAAATGTTGAGGCTTTTCACGCTGAGTATAGAGAATTTCCCCATGATTTATAATGACCGTGTAGGTTTCACATACATACTTAGGTAGGCATTTATTGTTAGAATTTCATTTCATACACAGAATTACGATGTCCAACGCCTCCATTCAAGTCCGAAAATGTTCACAATATAAGAGCATGTTACGGCAAAACCTTCACATACGACCATAGACTGAAGAGAATTGGGCATCCCGTCCGCTCTGCCATACACAAGCTTCAGATCGGTGGATTAGTAGTTGGGTGGGTGACCACCAGCGAATCCCCACTGTTGTATGTTTTTTTTTTCTTTTCCTTTTCCTTATTCTATTGAATTTCGACTATCATTGATCCATCTTCTTTTATCGTTCAAAGGGGAGGGGGTAAGTAGTAGGAAGTACCAGGCGACGAGCTTTTCATTAGAAGATGAAATGGCGGACAGAAACAGATTATGTTAAACTTCTTGAAAATCCTTCATCTCATGATTTACACTTCAATATCTACACCCTCACTCTCAAAATCCTCTCTTAAAACCTTAGCATCTACTTTCTTGGCTTCCTCCCTCTCTCCGATCAACACATGCATCCAATACCCTTTCGCATTTACCACATACTTCTCTCCTCTTGCCAACACAACCTCAGGAGCTTTTATCTCGATAGTCTTCGATTCCTCGGCACCCGCATCAATGGAAATTATATCATCATCCGAGAAAACACCTTCTCTTGGAGTCTTTCGATTGAGTTTCAACTCTAGACAAGGAGCAAATTCTCCACTTGCGACGGATTGAAATTTAAATATCCCCATAGGAACACCTCGTAGGTCGAAGGGAGTAGACCACCGAAGAAAGGAGACAGGTTTGTCTGAGGTGTTACGAAGTGTGACTTTTAAGCTGATGGTTGGTGGGCTTGATGGTCCGCTGTCGATTGGAGTAACGTCTGAGATGGATATTTGGATGGGAACACCATGCTGATTAGTGGGAGATGCCTCCATTCTGACAAAGAAGCCGAACAATATAAAAGCAATAAGTAGGATGGTAAGTTTTGATCTGATTCGGAATTCGCGTTCAGATGAATGGGGTGAGTATTGTCCACGTCGAATTAACATTACCCAAATCTGTCGTTCTCGTAAAAATGGATATGGAAAAGGGTTATCGTTGAGATTTGGAAAAAGGTCTTGAAAATCGAAGGTATGCAAAATGGGATGTTCGAGGGAAATGAGAAGTCGTTCGCTTTTTTTGGTAAAAGCCAAGACAGACTATCTCGATGTAGAAGGTCGAAGATCCAAGTGTGGCGTTTTACCACATGTCTGCCACAACTTTTCCCCGACGGCAGTTTCTTATCAAGATCAAGAGTATTCAATGCCGAGGTGGCACTCAGCGGCAATTGCTTTATTGTCGTCGTCTTGCATGGTGTTTTCTCTCATGTCTAGTGAATATTGAGAGATAATGATTAGTGGAAGGAGCAGACGGATGAGGAAAGTCAAGACCCGGTTAAATGTTTGAAGATCTGTAATCAAGGGATGCACCTCCCAAGGCTTCGACTAATAATCATCCGTCAAATATCATTGGTGTATCTATATGTTTTCTCCTTTCCCATCTCTATTCTCCCACGCTATCTCAAAATCTCTTGGGATGGAGAATTTTAATGCCACATCATTGTTAAGAAGCTGGAGACTGTCAGGGAAGACCATCCCTCTTTTGGGAAGGTGAATCGAGGAAGAAAAGATATATATATAAGGTCCTGCCTAGCCCATTTCTTCTTTTAGGCCAAGATACAAATTGCCTTGGTCTTTCTTGGACTTTTCGAATATTTGGCAATGGATGGTAAATCAATTGAAAGATGTATTCACACGTTGACATCTGGATGTTACATTGTACCCCGAATCTACTTGGCACTCAAGTGATCCTTTCCAGTTTCCTACAATGAAATGGTACAATCTTCAAGATAGCCACAGAAAAGCTTGGTGATCTATTTCAAGTTCTTGGCTAAAACTGAGCGCGCCCGCATATTGTCAAATGCTTTCGTTGTTTGGTACCTTGGCTTGGTAATTGTCAAGTATTTTCTTTAACTTCCTATCTTGGTACGTAGTAACTCAGCGATCTTGTTGATTCATGATACTTTTCATACACTAAGGATAGGATTCACAAAGTACTTCCAATCATACATTGCGATGTGTTGGTTTTGGAGGCTCCTGAGTGGAATTACGATTGTTCGTTATCACCACGGACATTGATAATGTCATTAAAGTTTGCCGAAAAGGCAGGCGAATCCGAACTTCGAAGAGGAGATTGTGTGAAAAGACAACATCTGAAGATGATGGATGCATACTCTTATCAATTGCTCGTACCTTCCATTTCAGATCACCATCACGAGTATTCTACGGGCGAGAACTTCCGGCGCTCAACAGCATGAAGAATTTCGAAAGGCCTTCAAATCATCTATATATAATGTGTCGCCAGTCACTCAAACTCAAACTCAAACTCAAGCTTCTCATCCTCATCTTCAGCAACTTCAAAGCCCTTTAAACGGATATCATTCCTCCTAATCTCAGTACTCAATCCAATATGCGCGCCGTATCGAACATTTTGACAATTGCCAGTTTGGCTGCCATTGCCAACTCTGCGGCTATAAAGAAGCAAGTTACAAGTTTTGATACTCCAGACTAAAATCCAACAATGTTTCTGTCTAATACGCGGACACATTATGAAATTGACTCTGCTTGGAGCATTTTGTTCATACGTTATTCCATCCATCTGATTATTAACTCACAAGATTGAATGATTGGTTACACCACATTTAAAGCTTCACATTTTGATGGATCGTCTGCTCTTGGTTTTGTACTGTCATAGAGACTGGAGCTAATAATTTTTCTAGGGATAACAATGTCCTTGAAGTCACATCGGCCGCTGGTGATAACGCCTTAGTTCATGCTACGGTCAAAAATACCGGGATTGAGGCCTTGAATTTGCTGAAATATGGAACACTCTTTGACTCTGCTCCTGTTCAAAAGGTTGATGTTTATGAAGGAGGTGAGCTTAAGTATTTCTACTTCTCCCAAATACAATTGAGCGATGAACTTGGTTGATGTTCGTATGTCTTCTTTGAAGTATTGAAGCTAACACACAAGAAAGAAAATGCTGTTCCATTCAAAGGGATCCTCCGTTCCATTCAGCGCACAGACTTAGCCCCCGAGGTCTTCACACTCTCGCAGCAGGTGAAACCTTTGAAACTACAGTCAACGCAGCCGAAGTCCACGACCTCTCCAGCACAAACTACACCTTCATTGCCGAAGGGAGCATCCCCGTCGCCCCCGTTGGATCTACCAAAATAAGCGACACCATTCTCTTCAAATCCAACACCCTCACCATCCCCGTCGATGGCGCCGCCGCCCAATCCATGGCCAAAGCAATCCCTGCCTCTATCGACCGCTGCACCATCCTTCAATCCGGCTGTTCCACAACCCAAAAATCACAAACCACCCAAGCACTCTCCTACTGCGCCCAGCTAGCGCGCGCTGCCTCCACAGCCGCCTCCTCGGGCTCCGCAACAAAGTTCTCCGAATACTTCAAGACTACCGCCGCTGCTACCCGCTCTGTTGTCGCTGCTCGTCTCTCCGCCGTCGCATCACAATGTTCCTCGCTTACATCCGGAAGTACAACGTACTACTGCACTGATATCTATAATTACTGTTCTTCCAATGTTCTCGCGTACACGATCCCTTCCACGAATGAAATTGTCAATTGTCCACTTTATTACTCGGCGCTCCCGACCCTTTCGGGAACTTGTCATGCGCAGGACAGGGCTACCACCAGTTTACATGAGTTTACTCATGCACCTGCGACTTATAGTCCTGGAACTGCGGATAATGGATATGGTTACTCTGCGGCTGTCGCGTTGACTAGTGCAAAGGCTGTCTTGAATGCGGATAGTTATGCGCTTTATGCTAATGGTATGATTTTTTTCTCTGTCCCTTTTTTTCACCCCGTTTCTCTCTATTCTCTAAATCATGCATTGTGCGGAGGAATTGTCACTGACTATTGCAATAGCTATTTACGTCGGATGCTAGATGTGATGATTTGAACACCAAAATCCCAATGTTAGGAAGACGGTATCCAAATATCAGGACATATGAAAAGAAACTCGAGAATTGAAGGAAAATGATGGTTAGTTAGTGGATGTTGTTACTCTTTCTGTTTGAATTGTTTTCTCTGTACTCGACAAATGTATGCGTATAAATATAACTCTAGCTTCAATCCTATGTATTTGTCTCATGTATCCAAGAAAACTCTATGCTGTGCTCTGCAACTATCGGTTCGTGTCCTTGAGGTGGTGGTGATCAAAGAGGTGATACCAAGCGCGAGGCAATCCGTTTTGCCCTTAAACTATATAGCTCCAGCTTAACCGTTTTCCCCATTCATCCCTTGTCCTGTGCAAAAATTCCCGCTCTATGAGTTAGTGCATTTCCATATCGATTTCCTCCGCAACTCATTGCAATAAGAGTAGCTGTTTCAGCAAAGGCTCATTTGATGTCTAGTTCTCCTCATCATGTAATTAAGAGCACTTAATTACAGCGTCCGTTCTTTGGAGTAATACAACCAATCCGCTGGCTTCACATTATTAGCTAAATTCCTAGACACTCGGTTCAATTTGCAGTGTCATACACTCTCAGAATGTTGGTATCCCATGAGCCACGGCCATGTATACACAACAAGAATCTGTGCAATGGAGCATGATATTTTCCATATGAATTCACTTCCATCAAATTTTTTATAACCCAAACTTACCCCGCACTGGAGGTCACTGAATAGCAAGCGTTTTCCTTCACTGGAACACACGGTACTTTTTATTTCTTTCATTCGAAACTGTCAAATTTGTCCTCCATATGAGCCCAAAATTTAAATAAACATTCTCCAGAATACTCTTGATTTGCTTCAACTACTCGGCTTTGACGTCAACTACCCTGGTGTTGACCATGCCGTGTCATTGGCGGCCAGAAAAAGGAAACAAATGTCGCGGGCCTGAGTCTCCAGGAAGTGTTTATTGCGCTCTTCGTAGGCATAATTGACTCTTTCAAGGTTTCTATATTAACCTTTGAAACAGATGAATGCGGCAATCAGGCGTGCATTAACTCTGTAACTGGCCCAGACACATGGTGGTGCCAGCAGCGTGAGAATGATTTCGTGTTTAGTTGAGTGTAACAGGAGCTGATACCTTTTTCCAGATTTCAAATGTAGCACAAAAGGCTGCCAGAAATTGAAACATAAGGGTTCGGACTGTTGCATCGCTCATATGTGTCAAGATGACCAATGCTCGGATATTCAATTCATCCTTTCGAAATTTTGCAATGGCCATAAGTGTCATATCAACAACTGCTTAAGTAGAAGGGCGGGAACACATCGATTCTGCGGCCATCAATGTTCTATGAAAGGTTGTTCGAGTCTCAAGGATTTGAGTGGCGGAAGGATATATTGTGATACTCATAATTGTGCTACCCCAGACTATTTGTTAGTGAAAACAGGGCCAGGAGCAGTCTATTGCGGGGGTTCATGCTCGTGGAGGTCAGGATAGGTAATACTAACTTACATCCAACTTAAGTCACTATGGCAAACAAAAAGATAACATTTCGATTGCATACCTCTATAAAGGAAATGCATTTTACGAGGTGACTGAGAGTGAAGGCCCAACGATCTGATAAGAAGCAAGGAAAGGAGATGAGCCTATGGCCTGGAAAGAGCTCGAGTTGAAAATCATCTAATCAAGGATGAGCTGAGATTGAGATCTACCACGTCTAGACGCCACAGAGCCATGGAGCCATGCCAGTTCCACTACTCAATTTGGTACTTAGATGAATACATCTCATGACAGATGTTTTCTAGTTCCATAAATTCCCGTATACCTAGCGTAAAAATCAAATGCATGTTATTGAGGAGCCGGTATATCTTTTTGCAGGTCCAAACTGAGGCGTGAAAAGTTATCAACCTGCATGAAGATGTGTCACTTTATTCAGTGAGGATCACCTAAATTGCTAAAAACTCAAATATCTAGAAGGCCCTGTATAAAACCAAATAAAGTCAAGGACGTCTAGTACGTCTCGCCATCCACCAGATAAGAAACTCCTGAGAGATACTCCGTTCGGTAAATGCTGAATACTTTGGAAAGCCGCCGATGGTAGAATGGAGATTTTATACTTGATGATAGGCCTAGTTCGCGAATTTGAGATGAGTGCATATAAGGCGAAGGCTCCAGGAAAGAGTCTGGAGTCGACTGAGGACAAAGTGAAAATTATTTCAGTATTCAAGATATCTTTAACGTTAAAAATTCTTTAATTATATATTGAACTGCAATCCGAGGCTCGCTGAAATGCATTACTAGCAAAGAATCTCTAGATATAGACTCAATCTGGCAAAAGAATTGCCGAAAAGAAAAACCAATCATGGCTTCTAGAATCTGTTGACTACCTGGTTCAGGACCGCATATTGAGACCCCAGACTGCTCCTACCTTCATGCAATAGAACAGCAATGAATCTCTGCTATGAGTCTTCGTATTCCTCACACATTCACACGCTTCAACCCCGCTTCATCTTCCCACAGCATCCTTGGAACTTCCTGTTCTCTACTACCTTTACTTCGGAGTTCTAATTCGAGTAGTCGACTCTTTCAAATTTCCACTTGAAATAATCATGTTGGTTTCTTGAAATTCCTTCAATAAATAATCTTACATTATTGGCTAATAAACAAACGCTACTGAAATCCACCAGAATTCCGCAAATTCCAAAAACAAAAATCGGCTCGATTAAAGCTCGATGTATCCTACTCCATGCCATCAAATCCTTGACCAATTGACCGCTAATGTCCATGGACACCGTCTCAGTTTTGATCCTATCCATTCCAGTTACCGTCCAATTCCATGCCTGATCATATCATTGCGCCTATCCCGTCACATTCTTAACATCCAAGAGCCTTGAAGACTATGGTTTTCATCTGCTTCCCAAATTCCAATCATCCCCTCTATCATCAATTTCCTTGATCTTATCCTTCCTTATCCCCATCTGCCTTCCAGCCCTAATCCTAGCTCTCACCAACAGACCCAATCATCACCAATTTCATTCCCATTCAGTTCCTCCCTCCCACCAATTCCCTTTCCCCTACCCACCTCCCCTCTCCCTCCCAAAAACTCCCTCGTCTTCCGAATTTCCAAAGAGCTAATCGGTGAAGAACTATTACTCCTAACACCCAACCCATCCATTCTATTTCTGGAATCTACCGCATCCGAGGCATCTGAGAGCGCGGTTGAGAAGGAATAAGCGAATATGGTTGCCGTTGAGGGCGAGGACGAAAAGTGGGGTGAGGAGATTGATGTGTAAGAAGACGGGTAAGAGGATGTGGCAGAGAAATAGGCTGATGTGTTGGAGGATGAGGTGGAAGAGGAGCTGGTAGAAGATGTAGAGGAGAAGGTTGACCAGGATGTTTTGCGGGTTCTTGGACTGGAGGCCGGGGTTGGAGTTGTGGTTGTGTTTGAGGTTGTGGAGGATTTACGTTTACTGTGGAGTCTGTTAGAATGCGGGGTTTAAATCGGGGTATGGGAAGTAAGGGGACAAAGAAGTGGAGAGGAAGAAGAGGGGATAGAACTTACAATAGTTTCCTGAACTTTTGCATATTTGATGATGATGAAGGAGAAGACATTTGTAAATGGTGATGTGAATAATAAGACGAGGCTTGGTGGATTTACGACTTTCTTTAAGATCGAGGTGTAAATAGAAGATTAATTTGTCTACTGATCTCCAATGAAATGTATTAAAGGTCTTTGAATTCAAGAAGTGATATTGGATAGTAGTATAATTGTTTTGTAATGTAGAAAGAAAGCGTATATATATCAATAAGCAAACGATAGATGAATAAAACGTGGAATCTTCTTCCAGAGGAAACCTATATATAAGTAGAAAGTCCTAAATCTGTAGATCTCTTTTTATCTCCCCATCTTCTCTCCCTACCTCCAGGCACGAAACTTTATTTTATCCCTATCCTACCTGAGCTACGCACTCATTTGTCCATCATCTCACCCATGGTATCTCCTGAGGAACCATCTATCCAACCACGCAATATTCCACAATAATTCCATCGATTGCCTCGAACCTAAATTTGTAGGGAAGGCTTGAACATTCACGTAGGTCATCGTATAATTACCATTATTGGAGGCACCGTACGTAAATTCTAGAAGGCTGAGCTTGAGTTTAGTTATTTTATCTAGGTCTGGTCTAGACTCTACAGAATCCTTGACAAGGCCTTCGCTGACTGAAGGCTACCGTAAAGACCAACTCAAAATCAAACCATTATACCTGTCTTTAACTGGTCCATGCATGAAGTACAGAGTCACAGTTTAAGGTTTACAGCTTACAGAATCTTGTTTACTGATGGGTATATCCCGCATTCTATGATTTTGTACCCCGTACCCACTGTATCCAATATATGTACTACTGACCACCATTTATTGACTACCCTATAAACTTAGCTATAAGAACTCACACTAGCCTGTTCGACTGCTTGGCTTCTTCGAAGCTGAAGCATAGAAGGCATGCTCTTGAGTGTTCCTCCAACCGTATAACATGTGTAGCTCGACGGACCGTTCTGAAAGGACTGGTCAGTGAACCATTTTTCTTGGTACTTTTTGGTGGATGCCTGGCTTGTGGTGATTATATTTTTGTTTTTATGGATGTGGCTTTACGACATGACTGGATAAAGTATGCGAGGTACTTGTTTGGATGATAGCTAATTTTGTAGCTTTGTTTTTGTGCTTACTAGAAGCTATGACAGCTTGGTACCGAGCTGAATCGGTGATCAAGAGATATGGCGGGCTATCTAAGTATACTTCCTGTATCCTGAGTTGGAGAATAGAGTCAAAGATAAAAATCTCAAACGTTGGAAAAGTGTACTAGGCTAAGATCTGACGAACGGCATGATGCAGAAAGGAATGAAAGATTGCACTATTACAATGACGACCATGATAAACATGCGCATGAACAATGATATGCTGGCACTGCTGAAAAAGCCTATTTTATAACAATCTAGGATGGCAGGATATCTTGTTGGATACTGGGAGCGAGAAGTTCAGATGTTCCACGAGTGAAGGCTATAAAATAATTAGTTAAAAGAATATATCTGTGCGTGCTCTAAGTTGCTGAACTTGCAGCTAAAACTGAGATAAAACGGACGGAGAATAAGAACGAATAAGAGTACAGACAAGAAAATATTGCATCGGCGATCATTCTAACATGCATATCACTTAGATGCTGATGCTTTGCAGTAACATCTATTTTCGAACTTTGTATAGTAATGATCTGCGGACGGGTATCCTACTAGATAATATGGCGGAGGTAATTTTGAGTGGAGATAAGCGACGGGTGGCGCTTTTGACATATAGACTGATTTTGTGTAGAACTATGGAGTAGTGTAAACAGTCCATCCGGTACGATTATCTACGATCGTTGTGAGCTTTGACTGGAGAATGTAAAGGCTAGGTACAGAGACTTAAGAGAAACCTTGACTTTCAATCAGCAATTAAATCTAGTTAATCTAATATATGATATGCAGTCCAGAATTGTTCACTACTCTGTATTATCTGTGATACGTAGAACTGGTGATCTAAACTGAGGAGTGAGCTTGGGGGATTTCGTGCTACGAGTCTTGTACTCTACACATGCTCTTATATTTCACCGAGAAACAAGGCCGATCAATATCTTTATACCTAAAGGTGGCAGGAATGCCTCAAACTCATATGCTCTATATTTTTTCCCCACAAATTTAGAATGGGGGTATTAATCACTCTGCGTAGTGCGACTGAACATCCTCGAAGCCTTGTGCCGGAAGAAAGGCAATTGAAATGAAACGGGCAGAGACGACTCCATAAGTTGTGGGGCGAGGAAGGCACAAACCCATATTCAGTCTCGATGACTCCATCCGTCATTGCGGGCTTAAGCCATAGAAACTTGACATCATACCAAAGCGCAACGTCAGGATTCGATCAAGGCACACGATAGTATACATACTGTTCCCAAGAAGATAGGGAAAAGAAGCTAAGACAACCGCAAAAGGGAAGACGAGTTGGCTTTGTGAATGACATGAAAACACAGAGACCTTTGATTTGTCCTCGGGGTCCGTCTTGGACAATGGACATTTTTGGGAGAGTCTTTTGGTATTTTGGGGCTTTACACGTATTCAATACGGTATTCGGCACCAAATACCAAGGTGCCAACTTTTACCCGAGAATTCGCTTCGTTATGTATATTCAGCATAGAACCGCGCAAGGTAGTACATAGCATCAGGTCGCCTTTAAAACTTACAGGACCACTGATTAGATCCCCATCTTTTACTATTCACCACACCCAGATTGTATATCTCGACAGAGGCTATGGGATTTGATGGGTCCTCGGATCCGAAAACTTGGAAACGGTAGGGAAATGCTTCAATCTGCCCTTTAGGTAATATCTGGGCACATTTTATATGGGATCCGAACTCGGAGGATACCGATCACGTGCTATGACAAAGAACAAGAATTGTGTGCATAGCGAAAATATAAAGGGGAGCCCTTGGAATATACATTGAAAGCAGATGTGCAACCAAAATAAAGAGATGGCACAGCAATATGGTATCACGTGAGCTATATCAAAACCATGCCACGACAGGTAACGCTCAAAGTAGACGGATAACAACTAAGGAACGGGGAGGCGAACCTTGAACAAAAGGGTGAAAGTTCAAGATTTTAGTAAGTAAGTCTAGATTAGAAGCTTAGAAACTGAGGGATCTCGACAAATGAATGAATGGGCTTTATCGATATACATCTCTACTTGATTAGGTATTGATCATCACTCGATGTTCTCGACCTGTATTGGCGAACTTTCCAGATTACTATGCATGGCTTCATGCTAAGTCTGCGCCTGGAATGAATATATGTATGCCAAGGTTAATATCGGAGTGATTAACGATGTGATCTAGTCAATGCCTACTTCCCTCGTACCACAACCACAACCACAAATACGAAAAGTCTTCTGTTTCATCTTCTATTTCTGCGTCTTTCCCCCAAAATCATTGTACATTCATTCATTTTCTGACATAGAAATAAGCATGCCGTACTACTGCTTCAGATGGATAGCGCTGAACTTGAGCCACGCAGGATAAGGCAAGCACAGACATAGACAGATTCGTCATCCCCAAGCTTTCCGGACATGGCACGCTTTGCTTGTGTGCGGCACATGGCGCTGTACATATGAGGAGAGACGGGAAGAAGGGGATGTCCGAGTTATCGAATCGACGATGATGATGAAATAATTGTAATAGAATACGGATGTTGATGGTTGAGGAAGATCTAGGAAGAACCATGAAGATGCTGTAGAGAATTCAATGTCGTTGTGATGGCTGGTGGGTCATTATTGTTGAAATTTGCACCAGAGATCTAGGTACATAAGGGGTGCAAGCCACTTACTTGTCTGTAGAGAGAACGACTTTGCTATCATTGAGACAGATGAACGATTGTTATTTTTACCATGTTAAGAATTGAAGTATTAGATAACTAGAGGTAAGATCTTATATACCCCGTACAGGACTCTCTCTGTATGCGTCGATGAATTTTCAGATAGAATACTACTGGGTAACTCCAATACATACTTCCCAACTCCGATGACTTCAATATCAATAGCATAAATGGAAAAGATCATATATTGATTGGTTGTACCCTCGGGACGTAGATGTATATATATCCCGCCCATCTAAATAAATACATCATCAATTTCATCAAATAAAAAAAAGGAGAAGGTCGTTGGTACAGAAAAGGTACAGACAGAAAAGGTACAGACAGAAAAGGTCTAGATGGATACCCCAGCAACAGCAGGTATTAAAATCTATTTTCCGGACCAATCATATTAAATGTTTTCCGATGTATGTTTTATTTTCTCCATCTTCACTTCCACTTCAAACCTCACTTTATTTAAATTTCTTATGAATCGTGTCATTTCTTTCGTTTCTCCATCTTTTCATTTCTTCATCCCTTCATCTACCTAGTACGGAGTCGTAGTTCTGTCCATAATTTATTCCCCCATTTTAAAGTTGGGTGGAGAATTACCTAGTGGTGGTAGTAGTTCAGTAGATCTTTCAAGACTTCTCTCCTCACTCATCATTCATCTCTCTCCTCACTCATCATTCGTCTCTCTCTTCACTCCGCTTCAACTCCGCTCCGTACAATACTACAATCCCAATCACACTCCACAATCGAATAAAAATCCAAACACCAAAACATATATTCACAATCATCAAGAAGAAAAAAAAGATATTCCAATCCTCCCTCTATCTTATCATCACCCGTTTATTTTCTTTCTCCAAAGGTACTCGGTACCAATTACGCTCGTTCTTGACACTTTTCCACCCTTGAAGATTTAATTTAAACTTCTTATCTTTACACAATCTCATATTACGCTTTTTATGCCATCTTGAAAGGAAGAACAGGGCGATACGACCACTCGGCGGACAGAACATCTTGGCCAAAAGAGTGGAAGAAGGGGGAAGAAGGAAGAGGGAGCTGTGATCAACATATTGTTCTATCCTACCAACAGAGGAAAAAGAAGAAACTCTAATAAACGCGCCATAATCAAATCACTTCTTCATTCATAAAATTATTTACCCTTCGAGATCAAACAATCCCCATTTGGCGCCACCATCGTCCAAAGATTTGACCCGACCTCACAACAAGACTTCAAGGCTGAGAGGGGACGGACTCAACACCTTTACCTACTACCTACACTTTTTAATGATTTATTGGACACGATAATACAGAATTAATATGGCTACGGATTCTTCAATGAGAATGGGGACTTGGTTACTCTTCTTTCTAGCTATTTCGATAACGGATGCGTTCTACATACCAGGTATGTGTCTGCCAATCTGGCATTTCTTCCTCTTCTCTTTTCCACTCGAGGTTCCGGATAATGATCTAACTGTCATCTCATCTATATAGGTTGGTCAATTAGAAGCTATAAAGATAACGAAGCAATCCCTTTACTGGTCAACAAAGTTTATTCCGACAATACACAATTACAATATGCCTACTACGATCTTCCATTCGTCTGCCCTCCTACCGGTGTCCGACATGCCGGATCTTCTCTACTCAGCGGTCAAAGTATATCATTGAACCTTGGAGAGATTCTTCGAGGAGATCGGATCACACAATCGGATATCGAATTGGTAATGGGAAAAGATCAAGAATGTAATTTCCTCTGTTCTAGGACTGTTAGTCGAAGAGATCTAAAGCGCGCAAAGGAATTGGTTAAGGATGGATATGTTGTGGAATGGATTGTGGATAATTTACCCGGAGCAACGAGTTTTGTTACCGTGGATAAGAGTAAGAAGTATTATGCTGCCGGTTTCAAGTTGGGATACAAGGATTTCTCTCCAACTGGCAAATCGAGATATTTCATCAACAACCATCTTACCATCGTTCTGCGATATCGAAAAGCTCCAGGGAAGGATGGGGAAAGAGGTGGAAAAGTTATCGTTGGGTTCGAAGTTTACACCAAGAGTGTTGGAATCGATAAAAGAGTCGAATCTGGATGTCCTGCCGATTTGAATGATGTTGATATACCTTTTGAATTATATCTCGCCCCCAACCATACCGATTCTTCATCTGCCCTCGCATATCCACATTCATCATATCACCCACCGGAAAGAGAAACAGATTTGGATGATGGAGCTACAATGGAAATTCCATACACATATTCTGTTTATTTCCGGGAAGATGAAAAGGTCGAATGGAGAAATCGATGGGACCTATACTTCGTGAACCAAGAAGAGGGTTCAAGAATTCATTGGCTGGCTATCGTCAATTCTTTAATCATTTCCGGACTTCTTAGTGGTATTGTCGCTATGATCTTAGCCAGAACGGTTCGAGGAGATATCAAAGCATACAGCAAGGATGTTTCAGGAGAAGATGGAAAAGCGAAACAAAAGAGAAGATCTAGACCTGGTAGTGGAGCAAGATCACCAAAAACTGGAGAGAAAATTGGACTTGGCTTATTGGATCAGGTTGATACTGAGAATGATGCTGATGTTTCTTCCGATGACGAACAATTGGAAGATATTACGGGATGGAAATTACTTCACGGAGATGTTTTCCGTCCACCTCCTTATGGATATATCCTAGCTCCTTTGGTTGGATCCGGGATGCAACTCGTCTTCATGGCATTCGGACTACTTTCCCTCAGTAGCTTAGGTATCCTAAACCCGAGTTTCCGAGGCGGCTTTATCAGTGTCGGAATTGGCCTTTTCATCTTCGCAGGAGTTTTCTCTGGTTACTTCAGCGCACGTGTCTACAAAACATTTGGAGGTCTCAATTGGCGCAAGAATACTCTAATTACAGCCACGCTCTTTCCCGGTCTTCTCTTCTCCTTAATTTTCATCCTCAATCTTTTCGTCTGGGCTCAAGCATCCAGTACCGCCCTTCCATTCGGTACTCTCATCGCCCTCGTATTTCTTTGGCTCTGCATTCAACTACCTCTCGTCTATGCCGGTTCATACTATGGTTATAACCGTTCCGGTGCCTGGGAATCTCCCACAAAAACCTCCATTATCCCACGTCAAGTCCCGATCCAATCATGGTACACCCGTTCAACCTCATCCATCCTCCTAGCAGGCCTCATACCTTTTGCAGTAATTTTCATCGAACTTCTCTTCGTTTTCCAATCCCTCTGGCAAGATAAGAGCGGCTATTACTACGTCTTTGGTTTCCTCTCCCTCATCACCCTTCTCCTAATAATCACAATCGCAGAAGTCACAATCGTAACCATCTACATTAAACTATGCGCCGAAGATTATAATTGGTGGTGGCATTCCTTTCTAGTAGGAGGAGGATCCGCAGTTTGGGTCATGATGTATTGTGTATGGTTTTATATGCGAAGATTACATATTGAGGGGTTTGTGAGTGGAGTGTTGTTTTTTAGTTATTGTGGGGTTGTGGCTGTAACTTATGGGTTAGCGACGGGGACGGTGGGATTTTTGACTTGTTTTTGGTTTGTTAGGAGGGTTTATGGGTTAGTTTTTTCCCTTGCTGTAATTTTTGCCTTATCCTCGCCTCCCCTTTCCTATGTGACTCTTGAGTATTGGGATGGTATTGGCTGGAATTTGAAGTAGAAGCTAATGAGCATACAGTGCGATCAAAGCAGATTAATTAACCACGAATGGACGAACGAACGTAAAGATACGAATACTATCATCTCATTACTTGGGCGTTTGGTTTATTCAACTTGGGATGGCATGAATTTGGAAGCGAAAGAATAGGAATAGGAATAGGAGTTGAGTGTTTTAAGTAACAATGAATGAAGTAAAGAAGCGAGGAAAGAATGAGCGATGGGAATTACTATCAAAGACTTATCTGTACGTACGTATGTGTCAATGAATGAAGAGTGGGGAGTAGGTACGAGTACAAGTCCAAGCCAGTCACTAAATAGCGAGCATATCAATAAACAAATAAATTAATGATTAATAATGAATGAATGAATAAAGAAGAGAAAGGTTCACTATTCTGATGTAGTATGTACATCTATCATCACATTGTAATAATGTAGGAACGTAGTATTATCTTCCAAGTAAAAACTGAGTTTATATGGTGGTAGGTAGTGTCTTCGATGTAGGCTAGCTTGGTAGCTTGTTCAAAGTAAGATCTTACTGCACCCTTGAGATGTTCGGATTTGAATGAATGACAAGGTGGGAGGGGGATTCTTGAATTGTTTTATTTTTATTTTTATTTTTAAGAGGTTATCTGGAGATGGTGAAGATAGTTTCTTTAGTTTTGATGGAGGTTTGGGAAGAGGGGAGGGAGTCCGCTTTGATTAGAGATAATACGCGACAGTACTCCTTGATGGTTAGTGCAAGGTGTTGATCTGAGGAAGATATCTGGTGATCCTGAGAGTAGTGATGGTGGGAATTGCGAAAAGTGCTTTCATTGGTTGATATATACGGAGTAGTTGTTTAGGATATGGAAATATATGGAAATTTGAATTAATATTAGACTATTTGATAAATTGAGGCGGGTTCGATGGATTGATGTATGGATCTAGAATTCACGGCGGGAGTATATGATGATTGAATCATGGCCATATGATTATACATGATATCGAGATTGATGTGATATCACTTTGTTTTGCTTTACTTTGAGAATTAGATGGAATGTAAAAATTCCCTGTACTTTCCGAACTTTGACGACTGGAGTGCAAGTATGACGGGAAGAATAAGTGTTAAGAAAATGATAGAGGGGTCATGATTTATGAATAAATTTCGAGGATTTTTGTGCGGGATTAGGAAACTTAGGAGACTAATTCATCTTCCAAATAGTGTCTACAATGAGTGCTGGTACACTAACTGTGCAGACTCGAATCGTACCTGAACCAACAGACCCAATCTAAACACCCTTTTGTTTGAAAAGTCTACTAACTAAGTATACTCTGAAAATTACCGAGCCTGATGTTCTAGATGTATGATATATTCATCATTCCATCTAACTGCAATAGGTAAATGTCAACCTTAATACAAATGAATCAAATATATATCGAGAATGAATTCGATATACACAAGGAACTCATTTGGATGTAGCCAGTCATCATTACAGGTGTTGAGCAGGATCCTAGAAAACCAATTACTTCTCTCCTCGTCATGACCTAGTCGTGACCTAGCTGCTAGATAGTCTCGGTAGTGGCCATAAGGGGAGGGAGCTAATTACGGGAGCTAATTCCATAGCCAAGCACGTGATCATACTACGACAAATCAAGGTTAGGTAAGCTCTCAACCTCGGCATCACAGCCTCGCGACAGAAGATACTGATACCTTCACACTTCTTTCAGGGCTTATTATATACAGCTTCGTATATTATTCAAACTGCATTTTATACTTATATATAATGTCTACGATTATCTATTATGCCATATGAGATGCAAATAGTGTCAATTTTATTATCTATCAATATTCATCTGATAATCTCGACTTTGGCTTCTCTCATACCCGGAACTCCTTCATCATCAAACCGTGAAGCTGGCAATCGAATCTCGCGCGATCCTTAACCCATATTACGACCAGCTGTGCCAAAAATATTGAGTACAGAAATTTGCCGTTGGTTCTCAAGCTTTCAACTGCAACCACCACGAACCTAGCTATAAACAATACCAGCCATCTAATACCTACCACACCACACCTCACACCGTCTACCCATCATGTCTTCCGAACCACCTTTGGACCCCTACAAACCCTCTCTCTTCGAACTTTTGTCCTCCACCCAACTGTCGTCACTTCTTCCTCCCTCTCTCCACTACCTCCTAACCATCGCCACACACCGACATCCGCGGTACCTCCTCCCAATCCTCAACTCCTTTCACGAAATCCACGCTCTCCTATTCCTAGCAGTCGAACACCACTATCTAACCACCTACTCCTCTTCATTCGTCGAAAACTTTTATTCTCTAAAGCGCGAACGCGCCTTACCTCCGGCAGTAGGCGACCTGCGACTTACGGCCGGAGCAGCCAATGCCAGCCTACGAGAAACGACAAAACTTACAAGAGGGGATGTGTGGAAGAATCTCGCTGTGCTCGTTGGAATCCCATATCTGAAACGTCGACTCGATGAGTCTCAGGAGATCAATGCACCAAGAGCACTTCTCGGCGCAAATTACACACGTATGCCACCGAATCCAACGCTCAAACAACGATTTCTGCATTATTATCGTTGGTTCCTTACAAATGTATATCCCAGCGTGAACGCAGCATATTATTTCAGTATCTTAGCATTTAATCTACGATATCTATTTTCGGGTTCAAAATCCGGCTCTGGTGTATATTCCGATCCATTTTTATGGTTGATAGGGACGCGGATACGAAGATTAAGTCAAGCAGATTTCCAAGCCTTCGAAGCGATTAAGAATGCTGCTTCATCTTCAATACCGGGGTCGAATCTAGGAATAAGAAGTCTCTTGGATCCAAGACTGGCAATGGGAAGAATAGGCTCGGGATTAAAACTATTACTACCAACCAGTATTTTTGCGCTGAAATTCCTGGAATGGTGGCACGCGAGTGATTTCGCAAGACAATTATCTCGAAAAGCAACAGAAGGATTAGAATTACCACCGCCTATTATATCATACACCCCTTCTCCTGCAAAAGAGCCGGAAACCGCATCAAAATCCACATCAGAAGAAAGACAACCGTCAGAAGCAGAAGAACCAACCAACCCCCCAATTTCAACTCTAACCCAACTCCCCATCTACGTCGTCCCAGCTCCTTCCGCCTCGACCTCCCTAGAAAACTGCCCAATCTGTCTCGAAGAAATCACAACGCCAACCGCTTGTCAAACGGGATATGTGTATTGCTATACTTGTATTCATAGGTGGATTGAGGGGCTGCATGATTTGCAGGAGAAGTTTATGAAGGGTGATGGGAAGGCGGATGGGGAAGGGAAAGGAGAGAAGGGAAGAGAAGGGAAGTGGGAAAGTGGAGCAGGCAGATGTGCGGTTAGTGGACGGAGGGTATTGGGTGGTGCAGGGGGTTTGAGAAGGGTGTTGGTTTAAGTTTTGGGGCGGGAATTGCATGATGAGTGGTGAATGATGGATGGTAGAGAGAGGGAAGATGCCGGATGGACGGATGGGATGAAAAGCCTGAAACACAAGAAGAGACATAATAATACCAGGTAGTCTGATGAGAGAAAAACCTAGTCTGGCCTATCAACCGGAAACCAAGCTATGATATCATCCCTATTCGCCCAGAGAAAAGAGGAGAGGAGACTCAGAAGCGAAAAAGCACTAGACGAATAATGTCCATTTCTAATAGAGATCAAGCCTGGAGCATTTTACAGCGGAGTTTGGATGTCATATTATCACATCCTAGGAATAATAGCATTTTTGGCGCTGCATTTTGCTTTCGTTATTTCATTTCATTTTACTCTACTTTACTTCAACGTCAATTAGATATCATAACACATATTACATTTAAATTCAAATATCACATATAATTCCTCAATTAGTCAATTCACCATGTCACATATAAGAACAAGCCAAAAAGAAAATATATTTTCCAACAAAATACCATACTCCATTGAAAAAAGCTAGCTATGTATTATCCATGAATGGGCGGTCTATGAAAAGAAATCTCATCGCATCACAAGTGACCTAATAACTGCCTATTTTCCCCACAGAGTAAGGTCGATGTATACATGCTCGAAAGCAAAGCTGTAGTTGGAATTGAAAAGAAAAGAAACAAAGTGATGATCCATAACCTTGAATTGTCAGAACGTCATAATGCCATGCTCACTACCATGAAATCCGTAAAATCATTTGGTCGTAAGAAATGAAAATCGTGAAACGTCGTGATTTGTAAGAAATGCAATGCTGTCTACCGGTATATTGGTCGTTGAAATGCTGAAACCGTGCGTAGTTCCTAGTCATGAAGTCGTGAAGTCGTGAATGAATCAACGTAAAGCCCGCTATCGTGTGTTCATTAGAACAATTCCCTGCTTTATATCTTCAGTAATTTCCCTTCCGCCAAATCCTCCACAATTTCATTATCCTCATCTTCTCCATTCATATCATCCTCAACTTCCTTCAAAATGTCACTAACAACCTGTTCTCTATATCCCGGTCCGCCACCCATATCCATCCCCGTCATTCCATCCTCACGCTCAACAAACTCGACATTGCCCTCTGCATCAACAACATCCCCTTTACATGAACATTCGAATTGTTCTCTGAATTCTCGAACGCTCATACCCTCCAATTGTGCCAAAGCTTTCTTAGCTGCACCCACTTTAGCATATCGCATGCTTTCAGCTTGGAAAGTTGATACCACCTTGTTGTGCACAATGACACCACAAACCACAATATTCTTTCTACCATCCTCTCCAGGCATTTCACGACTAACAGGCGCCCAGTCTTCACAACCCATATTCTTTTGTAAGAAGTTGGTGAGGAATGTGGTTGGATGCTTATTGGCGTAGGTATCGTAGACACTCATGTCCTTAAAGTACCATCTGATATGCATTTCGAAGAACTTCTCTACTTCCTCAAAGTTGTACTCAGAATCAACGAAAATGGCACCAATGAATGCTTCAACCATGTCCGGAAGACATTTAGGAGGTTGACGAACGGTGATCCAATAATCAGGAGCGTAATCGTCTTCCGATTTACCCGCCCTCTTGGCATCTGCTTTCGCTTGGCCAAGGGCTTCATTGATATCACAAGCATACTCTGCAACCAGTTTTTGAACCTGAGAATCAAGTGTAAGCATATGCTTGTGAAAGCCCAATTGCACACAGAGGGCTCCGAGAAACTGGTTGGATACCATGGCCATCTTGTGCTCAGTGAGCCATTGAGGATCCTTGGACGTGTATTTGTGGAAGAGAAAGTTAACGCATACCATGTCGAGTAAGGCATCACCCAAGAATTCAAGTCGTTGATAGCTGGGAATTTGTTCGTAAGAAAACGAATATGCTGGATGGGTGGATGCTGATCTTAAAAGCCGTGGGTATTTGAAGTGATACGGATGTTTCGTCTCAACTTGTCTCGCCAGATCTATTTGTGCAGCTGTAGCTACAGCAGTTTGGTATTTTGGTTTCTGATACAACCTGTAATAGTCAGACCATACTATAGCTTTGTGATTGTCACTATTGACAACTTCGGTAATTGCACGAACTGCATTGTCCATGGATTTGCTTTCATTATGACTGATTAAGGCAGCGCCAATCATTGCTTCACAAACATCTGCAATTGACTTGTCACCGAGCTTGTGAGTGTTTGGTGCAGTAGCTGTTTTACCTCTTAATAGCTCAGGGCCTTCGGGATACCAAGCACGTCGATTGAAGGCCGCTGATCGAATGAACCTGTAAAGCTCCAGCTTTAAAGCCGTGTTGAAGAGGTTCTTGTTGCAAATCAGGCACATACGATCAACATGATAACGAAATTCATCACTGTCAGGGTTTAAACCATATAGAGATATTGATGTTCCCATCTTCAGGAAACAATCCCCAAGAAATTCAAGTCGTTCATAATTGTTGCCCATTCCTCGCTGGAAATTGGTTTGCTCTTCACCGTGCTCTTCAGAATTGTCAGAATCTTTGGTAACGGCTTCCAATGCAAGGTCAGGGCGAATATCAAGATGCAATAAATTAGCAGCTTCGAGAGCAATAAGATATGATTCAACTCGATGAATGATGGCAGGCAGAAGATAGGCCATTGCAACTACAGTAGTTGGAAGAGGCGAAACCTTTAATGGTTCCAAAATTACGAAACATTTCTTTGGAGCTTCAACTTCTCCTGTATCAAACTCATCAAGCAAGTTTCTCCGAAGTGAAATGTATGTTGCCTCAACAACAGGTTGTTCTTCATCAAAGGTTCGTCTTGTTCTAGCTTTTGCCCAAAGACTACAACTATACTCCATAATGTTACTGTTGTTCTTTCTAGCTCCCTTTCTAGGTGCTGTATATGGTGGAACTGGATCCAAAGGGTTGTAGTCTTTTGTGATTCCTACTGACCACAGTTTTCGAGATCCATCGAAAGGATCAGTTATGAACTTGTTTTTGAAATACTCATCTGGCTTTCCTAGCCATGGCTTATGCTCCCATGGTTTATCGGCCTGTTTCTTCTCGAAATCTTGGACATCTTTAACTGTATCCCAATCAATTATTGACATGGGCTCATAATCTTTCCAGTTCACAGTGAAATTTGGACAATTGATAGGAACTAAAAAGTACGGCATACTATCCGGATCCGATTTGTAAGCTTTGCTAAACACGTCCTGAAATAGGCATAGAGTGAACATATTAACTTGGTCAAGCGTGGTTCCTTCGAGCTTCACTGAAGAAGTGAGTGGCACGCATGAAACTGGTGAGTTTCGACCGCCTCCAAAGTGAAGACGGAATTGTGGCAAAACAGGCACAGGAGATCTTGTAAGTAGACCCAAGGGTTGCGATGCTCTGTCGAGACTTTCTGGAGAATTGAGAGACAACACAGTCATATAAAAGACGCCTTGCTCTCCTTCGGATAACCACAAAGTTGGTTTCGTACTCATCTCATAAGCTTCTCGTTTCTTTCCATCCACGGCTAAGAGGGCATTTCTCATCATATGGGCCGACTTCTTGAATGTGGAGAGCAGGAATTGATCAATGTAGCCCTTCTGATGCAAAATTACACATGTTTCGAAAGCTGCTGAACATTTGGCTACCTGTTTGGTTGTTGCTGGCCGACCGATTGCTCCACGTATAGGTGCTTCTTCCGGTAAAATGACTTCACAAATAAACTGCTTATTGACAGTTGTGACGACATAATCCACACGAAGAGCTGAATCTTGGGCTTGAGGAAGTGAATCGACGAAGGCGGATAGGACCGTTAAGCTCATTCTATAAGTGAGTTTTGCATTGCTACCAGGAACGGTATAGACTCGGTGTGTTCGCTCTTTTCTGAGAAAATAGTCCATGTTAAAATTGTTGCCAGTCAACTTTCGATCCTCGGGTAGAGCGGAAGCAAAATCCTTCAGCAACTTCTCATGCTTCAAAACTTCCTTGATCGTTCGCTTCTGTTCTTCGTTACGGCTCTCCACCATGTGGTAATATCTCGATTTTACATGTCTAGCACGGCCTCTGGATTGAATGTACTGGATTACTGTATTGTACAGATCGAATCTAACGACGAGATTACAATCAGGAATATCAAGGCCTTCTTCGGCAACGGATGTTGCGATGAGACAATTTATTTTACCATTGCGAAAATCGTGCATGGTAAGGGTTTGCGATCTAAATGTGATATGCATTTCTCCGGCTGAGGCAGACGTGGTACCAACCTATGAGAATGTTAAAACTTTACTATTGAAAGGATAAAACTAATCACATACCAGCGGTGCAACCTTCAAAAACGGTGTTCCGGCTTCAGGTGTGGAGAGAAGTGAGGCTAGAAGCCGTGCAGTGTACCTCTCCCTGACAAATACAATACATTTGTCATTAGTTGGTCGTTGGAATCTTTCTTTGAGAATACTCAAGAGAGCAACCACCTTTGTAGACAAATTAGTCGAATAATGAACCTTCGTTGCGAGGTCATCTGATAATTTTGATGCAAAGTGAGGTGGCTCAAAAATATGATCTTTTACAATGGATTTAGCCTCCTGAAGTTGCTCCTTGCGTTTCTCTAAAACCTCCAATGGCTCCGGAATTTTTTGGCTGTGGTGCGCCTGCTCTGTCTTTGCTTGAAGTTTCTTAGACTCTTCCTCTTGAAGACAAAAAGTCCAGATTTGATCAGCACACCAAGACCCCAGAGTTCGACTGGCTTCTTTCCCAAATATAAATGGCTTCCGAAAAATAGGATTCTCCTTTAGAAGTGGAAGCATCTTGAGATTAAGAGGAGTGTCAAATCTCGGGCCCAAGGAATCATAGAAAGCAACGGTCTCCGGCTTGCCTTTGATAGAGTACTGCATCAAGCTAGGATCTGCTGCAGTGCAAATTTGACTATGTAAAAGACCCTCAAGCTCTTCTGCAGCTTTTTTGACATTATCCCTAGCATCAACTGGGGACGCCGTCATCCCGAATATTTTAGGCAGAGGAATAGGTTCACCTGTGTCACTGCGATAGAAATCCTTGATAATTCTGGCATAAGGATGATCTTTCTTTGCATGATGCGCCTCATCGAAAATTAACAGATTAATTTGGCTCATTGTAACAAATGAATGGTGTAAGCATTGTCGAAGAATTTCTGCAGTGCATACAATCACCATGTTTGTATCCATTCTTTTCTTCCACTTTTTGTGATCAGAAAGATCTGTTCCCATGATCCCGCAGATCATGTCCGTTGGTTGATTAAGGTTATTTTTAAGTACTGAGTGTTGTTGATGACAAAGAGTTACAGAATCAACCTTATTTACATGTCAGTATTGATTTATCAGGGAGCAGGCGGGTCTAACCAAGAAGAAGGAGACACGTTTAGATTTGCCAATAGCTCTGTCCTCAAGCTCTTGGTCAATGATATAACGAAGTAGGAGAACTGCGATAAATGTTTTGCCAGAGCCTGGTGGAATCAAAAGACACTCGAAGAAAGAAGGTTCGGGGAGAGCATACCAGTGTCCAACACAGCTATGATATTCTGTTTCTTGGCCTTCTCAAACAATTCAAGTTGATAATCTCTGGGACTCTCTATGATATGTTGTTTTTCCGCCTGCTCAATTAACCACCTCGTAGACTGAATTGCTTCATCATCCACATGTGAAATCTTTTCTGTCTTAGGTTGTTTGGCAGCTTCCTTGAGAAATGCATCAAATATGGCAGCATTTTTTTGCTTTCGTGCTGAGATTCGTTTAATATCTGGAGCCGGTTGGTTCAGATCCTCTTCATCCTCTTCGTCTCCCGCTTCCTCGGCAGCAAGCGATTCATGTTGGTTCAACTTGTCATATTTGTCGAGGACCTGAATGTTGGTGCTGGAAGTATCAGCGGTAGACATAAATTCAGTATCAATCTGGATTTACCTTGCTTGAGCATGTAAAGGCCGCTTGAGTTCTGCAAAGACGTCATCAGTTGTTCTTGTGGCAAGTGCAAATGGCACAGAGGTAGGGGTAACGCGAGTAGCTGGCATGACAGCGGAAGAATCCGCAGGACATGACGAGCCGGGTTTTAGAGGAACGTTGCCAGAAAGATCTAGACCGAGAGGGCTTGTTAATACAGCAGCGGAGGAATCCCCATTAACCTTGTCAGCGAGTAGAGAAGAAATTGGTAAGTTTGGCATCTTCGACCTTTGAGGCTGACCGTCAGCAGCTGAAGCAGACTGTTTAATAATTGTTAGAGAAGGCATAAGGGTTGATTTACAAAACTAACCATCAACATGACCATATCCACAACTTGAAGAGCTGGTGGTAATTCCATACTGGCTATCCTAGTAAGGGAAAGTTTATCTCCAGCAGTAGTTTGGACAACGTCTTTTCTAGGGGTCTCCTGAAAGTTTTTGCAATGGTGAGCGTTTTTGATGGCTGACAAGGGTATTTGTGGCTCAGGATTTATAAGGTTATCAATAGAAAGAGATGCTGGATTCCTCTTAAAGTCTCCTGGCGTGCGGGGTAATCTCGAAGAAGGAAAAGGATTCAATGCAGAGAAGGCGGGTGCAATAGATTTCAGCTTTGATGCGTGAATTTGAAGAGACTCCCTAGCTTTCTGACTTTTCTTTCTTGACAAACTACTCTCTGGAGGAGTGAATTGGATCAGGTCCGGACTTGAAGATCGTGGAGATTTATCTGGGAAGCTTGGTCTAGTCGCCGTTGACGTTGTGACTGGTGTAGTGGGACCTTGAGCTTGATCACTGACAGAAAGTTGAGAAACTGAACTCGAAGCTTGCATTGAATTGGGCGATGTTTTAGGAAGTAAACCTTCTGGATCCCCCAAAGGTGGCTCAAAGATGATTTCCGGCCTGTAGTTGGTTGAAAGAGAGAGAGAGGTTCTGGTATCACCTTGATTACCGTTTGGAAAGGATGAAGATTGCGTGGAGTAAGAAAATTGCGAGACTTTGTTGATAGATCCGCTATTGACACCAACTATAGCATTTCTATTGCTATGCGCAAAAGCTATATTTTCTCGAAAAGGATCAACATTGACAGAAGAAGAGAGAACTTGCGGTTGAATGACAGTAACAGCGTCATGAAATGATAAAAGATCTTCCTCATCTGAAGAAGATGTTTGTTTGCTCGCTGTTTGATGATATGCATTAGTTTCCATTGTTAATACCGTATCAGGAGAAGCAAAGCACAATTAGTGTGGAAGATTTGATGTCTCAGCTGCAGGATGAGATTGCACAGTGTAATGCACGCAGAATCAACATTAGGATAAAAGAGACAAGTGTCTGGGAGTATAGAAGGAAGAAAAGGTAAGGAATAAGGGATTACACTGCACGGCTATGAGGTACGGGGCACAGCGAGATTTTGACAGGAGAGATGGATATCTTGTGTGATGAAGAGGGGTAAGGTTATACTATAGACTAAAGAATTTGTAAGGTTGTAAGTTACCTAGTAGATTACTGTCAGGCAAGTATCTTGGGTTTATAGACACACGCTCACACACACTTGCCCTCGGTATGGAAGGAGGGGTATGGAAACAGTGAATTGCTGTTTTTCGTGCTTGTGCTTCACTAATGAAATCTCGACGAATCAAAAATAACAACGCTGAGGCTGCATTGTCACGTGTTGCTTTGTGGAAAATGTTAACTTATCTACTTCACCATCGGCCGCCGGCCGCATTCTCCGGTGGTTTTTAGGCCTTACACCTTACAACTGATTGCCCCACCACTGCTTACCCTCCCTGAACTGAAGCTCTAGAAAGTATCTACAAACTAATCCAAGTACCACAAAGGCTCTTTTGTTCCTCTCAAGATGGCGGATACTTCTCTGAAAACCATCTTCAATTCAGCGGAGCGTCAAAGACTTGCTGTCGAATCATCCGGGGAAACAAACACAGAGAAATACCAAGAAGATGTTGCAAATGCGCTCAGTGCATATCAAGAATGTCGGCAGCTTGCAGATAGACTTGCATTATTCAGTCCAAATGAAACATTAGAGGATATTAATTCTAGTGACATTCAGTATGTTTATAGCCATAAATGGAAGAAGCAGGCTAATCGTTCATTCAAGATATTTGGCCATCCCTTATAGGATTGCAGATTTAGGCCAACGACTTTCTACAACTGATACAAGTGATCGAAAAGTAATTTTACAGGAGGCAAAGAAATGTTACGAGGCATTTTTAACCCAATTGGGACATTATGAGATGCTATCTACTGCAGAAAAGAAGCTGTATGCTAAATATCAAGAATCACCATCTACTTTCTCAACCATTTCTACCACAGATCCAACTGCAAGGAGAAATGCGAAAATTGCAAATTTTAAGATGGAGAAGGATTTGAAGAAGAAGCTGGATGTATGTATATGCGGTCTCCAGGAGAGATTCTATTTCGACCAGTCTAGGAGCACGCCCTTCTGGTGCGGTGCAATAAACTGACAGTTGGTAGTTTTTGGCACAAAATCCAGCCTATCTACAAAACGATGAAGATGCCGTACGCGAATTAGAAATAGCCAAACTTTCTTTATGTTCTCACAATGCCTTCCAATCCCTGGAATCTATCAATCGCGAGCTCGAGATCTTGGCCATGGCGCCCGTAGGGCCGCGAGTCCCCGAAGGTCAGCAGTCGGACAATAGAGAAAGATTAGGTGGCTTGCGTGGGCCAGATGCAGGATACTCTGATCGCTTGGATATGAGAGATATTACTACAAACAATAAAGGACCAATATTGAGTACTGGAGGAAAACCGTTACGGCCATTTACTCTGCTCGAAAGTAGGCAGGCATTACAAAAAGGTGTATTCAGACCAGGGCATAATTTACCGACAATGACGATTGATGAGTATCTTGATGAAGAAAGGGCGAGAGGTGGTATCATTGAAGGTGGTGGAGAAGCAAGTGGTATTATACCTGAGATTGATCCTGATGATTTTGAGAAAATGGATGAGGAGACCGAAAAGGCTAGACGGTGGGATGAATTTACGGAGGATAATCCAAAGTAAGTTGATGGTTCAATTTTGGGAATAAATGCTAATAATGATGTCTTCAGGGGCGCTGGAAATACCTTAAATAGAGGATAAAATAATGAATAATGAATAACGTGATACCTTCTAAAGATATTGATATTCTGTTTCCATTTGCTACCCAATAATTACGTTTCTCCATGTAAGCGAATTCGTCGTTTTTCATACCTTCCCTTCCATATGTGCTAATTATCAAATCCGCCTCCAGCTCAAACCACATTTCTAGGTAGTCAATTATGTTTGTTTCTTATCATCTTCCTCTTCCCCGTCACGAGAACTAGATGAGGGACATTTCTAAGTATCCATCAGCAATGCTTTCTTTATTTTCAAACTTTAGCAGGACTACGTTCCAGGGGTGTGATGATGGTAACCTTCCCTTTGGGAGTAGCAATGGTTTTTACAATTACACTAGCGAAAGTGGTAGGGGTGGTTGCGGGAGTGGAAGTGATGGGGCCGGGATTTTGAGATTTGCGGCCTTTTGGATTTGGATTCGCCGTAGAGTGTTGCCATTGGATTGATGTTTTTGTGATGTGCTGTGCTGTGGGTTGGTTTAGTTTTTTGAGGGTGGTTGGGAGGTTGAGAAGTTGGATATGAAGATATGGAAATTAGGATTTTGATGCTGATGTGACTAGGATGACTTTTTTGTTAAATCTAACTAAAGATTAAAGATTAAGGATTAAAGAAGAATTCTAATGGAGAAGATGTGTTATCGGTGCTTTAGCATTGTCGGCAGTAAGGAGGAAGCCGTTGACTGTAGAATATCCTCAACTTAACGAAAGCTGGCTAACGTGCAGACTAGTAAAGCTCAACTTGTTGATTGGGAATAAAGAGACGGAATTGAATTTTGCTGCTCTACTGAAGCCAAAGACAAAGGAGTTGTTGTTAGAAAGTAGTCATTATTCCATGTCGTCCGAAGGGGTAAGCGGACATTCTCATGTTGGTGAGAAAGCTCTTGCATGGGATCATGGGAAATGTTAGCCGAGCCGAAATTTTATGCTGAGCCGCATGTTCAGATTGCTAGCGCATCTCTCGAGCCGGAGAAAAGCGCAAACATATATATCTTCTTCAAGAATTTTTCTGATATGCTTGACCTTGATATAGTCAATAGTAAATTTTGATTCTGAGTCTTGTATGCAACTGCATCTATTCCTATGCATGTTAAGTGCCATATACCTGTCTGTCTATTTCAGGCTTTGCTGAGAAATTTTTAGCTTGGGAGAAACTGTATGTGTGCTACCTTTGGGAAACCGGATGCCACAATAGAATGATCTTAACTTGGAGCCTGAATGAGTAGCATTCCATTGCTGATTCCTTTTCAATAATGACAATTGATCCTGATGCTAATAAATAGACCATCAGATCCAAAAGGCTCTCCGGACTCCTCGTTACACAATCAACTTTTGACATCGAATCCTCGGTCAAGGTGCTCGTATATAAATGGCTTTCAAGCATTCAAATCCTCAAACACCCAAAATTTTGTTAGTGTTCTTTATTTTTGTAAATCGCTGACTGCTCGACACGATTACCCTTGCGATGGCAACTTTAGATCCTCGACTAGATCCATTCTATTGTGCAATCTCTCAGTCAAAGGCGTTCTAGCATCTGACCCTATGACAAGATACCCGTTGCAAATATGCACCTGGCTGCTATTCGATCCTTTAATCAAACGTTCCGTGAGGAATCACCAGATAAGCTTCAAGCGTAAGCCGTTGGAAATAGGAGTACCTGTTGCGCTAATTCATCTTATCAAAAACTTAAATGATTGTCCACGGTATATCAGCCCAAAAAAGACTCAGGGGTTATTGCGAAATATGCTGGCTCGAGTGACAAGAGACATGATCTGGACCCTGATGTCATTCTATTAAGGGCAACATTAAGACTCGTGGGCTAGCGAAATTGAGATCAATTCAACTTGATGCTCATAGAAAACCAAGACTGCTATGGGAATGGATGTCATTAATACATCATGTGCCATCATCCATTTTGCTGGCCGAACGGCCTGACCTCTACTCGTGTGACCTTGGGCATTTCATGCCGGTCCGTCATCATCATAGCGGTCCTTTCCGAGATTCGTTCAATGCTCCTATCGTTCTTGCCTGCGCATCAATCGGCTCACAACAAGCAAGCTTGCCTGCATATCGGGCAATGCTGGCCATTAATAAATTGAGGAGGATTGTAGGATCGCAGTTGTGGATTGTAATTTGTTCTCTTTATACTTGATTAGCTAACAATAAGTCAGCCAATAGGAAACATCGCCGAATACGACGGCAGTCGTCGGGTATCTAAAACCTTCCGCCGGGGCAACAATCTAGGCTGAACTAAGGTGGGCTGTAGATCATCAACCTAACGATGAGCTTTTATGCTGCAAGCGATAAAATGATTGCATGAAGAAAACTACTCTACCTTGCAATCTTATCTTACGAACCTTGATCACTATGCGTATCTGCAAAAGAGAGCACACAGAGGAAGGATACCGCCCGCACTGTGCAACAATGCACAGTATTACCAATGAGGAATGAAAAGAGTCCCGTTATTGCTTATCCTGGCTGATGTTACAACCTTCGCTTCAGCACCCAGAAGGCGTCAATCAATAGCTTTACATTGTAGTTATGGCAAAATTGGGTCCACCACGAGAAACTGGAGGGCTACCTATCATAAAAATAGTAGAGCAGGTCAGGTCAGACAGGTCGCATTCAACTTTAACCCCGCCTTTTTGTTCCTTTGAGAACCAACAAATGGTTCAATACGGCACTCTCATTTGTTGTATCTTAGCTCGAATGCCGCTTGTCGAAAGAAAAGGGAAGGAAGTTGCTGCGGTCATTCAATTTCACTAATCCCGATGACCGGGGGGATAGTGTGTGATGTAACCTCACGCCAGAAATGCGCATGCGGATGTGATTCTATCCGAATTTAATGTCCTACAATGCTGAGCACTCTCAGCACCTAGAGCCGCGACTTGCCCTCAACGTTCAACGCTTCATGGTGGTTGCATGCTTTCTATCTCGTATTATTAATATCTCACCAAGTTATATACATACTACTTCATCAAGCTTCCTTCCGTTGCGTTATCAGATGGATGTACCACGCATGTTGACAGCTGCGGGATCAAAGTGTTTCAGGTAGACTGCCGTGTTGGCCTACTAACATAGTTTCCATCAATATTGGAAGTATGCTGAGTTATGAACAGCGATTATACTCACCATGATGCATCAAGGTATTGCAAGCAATCTAACACGCAAGCCAGCGATGCAATCAAGCAACTGCAGCCAAATATAATAAGGTTACAGTGCAGACCACCCCGTATCCACCCACCACGTTTTATTCCTTATTCCTTTTTCGTTCGACTCATTACACCTTCATTTCTTATTCGCCGCCATTACGAGGATGCATGATTTGCATTTTATCTCGAAATATTGTTCCGATCTTTCTGTCGCGTTATTGTTGGTGAAGAAGTTCTTTTTACTGGCTGATAAGACTTAGTCGTGGATCATATGTTGGCCTGAACGTGTTTAGAATTTGACACTCATTGGTGGAGGAAGCTGAGCAGTAAGCGCTTGTGGGGCGGAACCATCAACTCGGGAGGGCGGGTGAGAGTGGAGACTGGGACAGGCATATCCCGAGAAGGGCATTACCCTGTAGTGTCTAACTTGAAGATGGTGTGCCGCAGCATAAAATGATATATGCGTGTGCCCCGATTGCATTAGATCAAGTTTCAAGGTTCGCGTCCTCTTATACCTTTTGCTTTTCAACGTCTACATCTGACATGTATAAGCAGTAAGAATAAACTACGAGACCATAATCGAGTGGTAAACAACTAGGGATACAATATCAATCGTTAGCCAAGACTTACATCTATGGCAAACCAGATGTACGCTTTCACGCAGCCATGTCCAACATCAACCGTGCCAATACCACAGCCAAGGGTTAGACGCTCTCGTGCGAGTAAACCAAAGGTCAAAACAGGCTGTTTGACTTGCAAGTATGTTCTCCGTCACTCTTCGAGTCTTTTCCATTCGAGCAATATACTGAACGTAATTCAGGTCAAGAAGAGTCAAATGCGACGAAGCAAAACCGGGATGTTTGCGATGTGTTCGATTCGGACATAAATGCGAAGGCTACGCTTATCTTCAGAAATCCAATGTGAAGCCCACCATTATAACTAACATCGCACCCCGAGCGCTCATACCGAGAACTGGATATGTGTCCATTAGCCCCGCCATATCTCCCACTTCTGCGGCTTCAACGTCATCTTCCATTTTATCACAGCCAGAAGTTTCTGTTCCTCCACCATCAACGTGGAGAAACAAGAGCGCAGAGGAATGTTTTCGAAATTTCGTGAGAGAAATTACAGGGAGTTCGGGGCACTTCGAGGTTTGGCGGGGTCTTATATTCTCGGGTTGTCAATCTTCCTCCCTCGCTTTTGATGCAGTGCACATGATTGGGTCTCTTGATTTACGGCCAAAGAATCGAGAGGTTCAAATAGGTACCTTTAGACACATGTCTAGTTATCGCGAGTATTGTAATACGAAATGTTTGACGAGGAAGAGGACAGTACCATTTTCCGAGGGCCCAGGAATGGGTGTAGGAATCATTGACATTGATGTGGATAGCAGAACAACGCTCATCACCCACCTTCTTTCTAATATGATGGGTAGCGGCAATGAAGTAGTCAGTCAGGAAAGAGTTTCAACTATGTATTTGGGGCTAAGAGCACTACGTGAGTGGGTGGCTAGGACATATATACCCCAAGGTGGTCATCTAGGATCAATGTCCGAAAATACTTGTTTGAAGTGCTTTCGTCGCTTGGAATTGAGAGTCCTACGATATACAGATACAATACCAGAACATGCGAAGAGGCCAAGTCTAGGCGAGCTAGATATTGAAATGATGCCAGGCCGGTTTTCTAATCTCAAAGAGGCGAAGAATGATTTGGAAAGGATTATAATGAAAAGTATGGAGTGGCTTGCTTCGACTCTCAAACGACATGATTTTTCTACCATTCACAACGACCAGGATGATAATTCTCGGAATAATGGACTCTTCTTTGATATTGACCCTAAATTCGAAGAGGAGAAGAGAACCTTGAGAGAATACGAACGCTGGGATCGATCTTTCTCGCCTCTTTTTGAAGAGCGCCGAAAACAATACCAGTCTAGCGATAAGTTTCACTGCGACAAAGATTCGGATTTGTTAATAGCATATTTATTAAGGATAAACTGGTTATCTGGATACATCTTAATCACCTCATCTAACCATCTCAATAACCTGGAAGTTGGTGAAGGAAGGTTTTCCGCACAACTGCAGGAATTGAAGGAAATTGCAAAGAGACTGGGATCGACACCGAGTTGGAAAAGCGCTCTAGAAGAAAGCGGAGATTTTGAGCTGGCAACAGTTATACCATCGATGGTTGTGGGCTGGGAGACACGGGATCGAGATTTGCGGAGAATCGCTGTTTCTATGTTATTAAGAGGCAAAAAATACGCTTCTTCGAGAGTTGGTGGAATGCAAGGGTTTTCTGGTGCTGTGGGGAAAGTCATGGAGAGGTTGGTAGAGATAGAAGAGGATGGTCCTGAGGTGAATACGGCGCTAGGACGGACAACATCTGTGGCAGAAGCGACCAAGTGTAAAAATATTGAGATAGGGTATGATGCTATAGCGAGAGTCGCGTATATGAGGTGCTGTAAAGATGATTCGGCCATGCGGGGTTTGGCGGTATTCGAGGGACGGAGGGAGGTTATTATCCATTGTTAGCTGGAGCGTGTTTTGATTTTTATTATGATGGACGAATGGTAGGAATAAAGTCCAAAATATTATAATGATGGGACTGGCGTTGGATATGTTGGTGGCAGGGGGAATGGTGAATTTGAGTGGCTATTTTGATGATCATTCCAACTCTAATCTCAGACTAAAACCACACGAAAGTCTTCAAGTTAACAGTACTTAACTTTCCATCCATTCGCTTCCAAAACCTACTCGTTAAAGGCAAATTAAACACAAATTTTCTCCCATTCGTACCAAATCAACGAATAGTGCCTAGGCACGGGTCACTTAAGCCAAGAATGATAGGGTGACAACTACTCCAACTAATCCAAGGTAAGTGTCGCGCTAGCTAGATAAGCAACAGCGACAAAACATCTAGCGATTAATATAGACGCGTGTTCTATCAACTAGACACATATATAATATAAAATTCGGAGAAACAAGTTCTCATTAACAATCTAGCATCAATCATCAATATTCAACATCACAATGTTGAATTCAACCAAATTCTTGTTAAAAGACCTGGTGGGACTAATCCGCAGTCGCAAGCCTCAGACACACGCTATTCGTGCATGGAAAGCCTATAACAGCCCTATAATCTGCCTTGGCGGATAGTTGTGGCCTGTGATCGCACAGCCGTAGCTCTAGCTTACCCCTGTGATGAGCTTACCCCGCCTTATCACGTTTCCGGTCCCCCAGACAGAAGCTTTAATATTAATTTGCTTTTTCTAACAGCGTAGAATTGTACTTCCTCTAGAAAGAACCTTTTTCTGCCTTGAAGAGCTGTCACCTAGATTATGTCTAGATGTGGAGCTAGCTATACTGACTCAGAATCATCCATCCCATCTTCATTTCTGACCTACGGGTAGGTATTCCACCTTGTCGTTGTTAGGAGGCGGTCTCATCGCTGCCTAGTAGATCTCAGCCTGATTGGAAATTTTACCACTTTATTTAAGTTAAATTCATCTCTCAAAATTTTTATAGAAAGCGAAATCAAAAGGCGTCACCTTGAATTCTTTACCTCAAAGCTCTTAAAACGACAATGGGCACGCCCGCATCCAGGGTTACCGGATTCACTCCTGGCAAGCTAATCTGTGGCGCTTCTGATGAGAGATTGATCTTTCCCGACCATTCAAACAGAATGGACCCGAAAGTTGAGGAGAAGGCTCCTATTAAATCGTCCAGTAACAAGTACCCAGGAGTGTTTAGTATTTCAGGGCAAAAAGATGAAACGGACATGAATGATGGCCGTAAAACTCCAACCTTAAACGATGGTGCGTATATTATGGATTAAACCCTACACCTGCTTAACTCGATAATATTTGATTTAATACTAACGGAAGATTATCAAACAGTGCAGCCACTGTTTAACTCCGCATGGGAAGATACGACTGAGGGAAGCCCTCTCGGCATGAAGGAGCGCAAGACTCGACAAAAGCTGAATGAAAGAGATCATAATGCAGTTGAATATAGTAAATCACTTCTAGATGAAGGTGACACTCAAGTATACATCTCATATCCTGGAGGGATCACATTCTATGACTCGAAAGGCGACTCTCTACCATACAAAGTATATCGAGTTGATAGCGAAAAGCTGAAGGCTCTCGGTTCACCGAAATTCTCCCGGATGTTCGAGGAAAGACCACAATACTGGGCGAGAAAGAGAAAAGGCCTCTTGCATCACCTTCCAGATGGCATGAGATATGTGCTTGACCTCACACCATCTGAGGAAGGTGACGAGGCAGTCGAGCTGGTATCAGAATTGTCTTGCTCGGCAGGAATCAGAAACTGGTATTTAGCCGAGCAACGCTGTGGTGTCGAAAAGCAACTGGTTGCCGGTGATGATGATATTCCTGGGCCTGCGATTGTACCAGCCAAAGCTGCAGAGCAGCTCCGAGTGAAAAATTCTGCAGCCGGAGTAGTTGACCTCTTCTTCAGCCCTTTAGACCCAACGATTGACTCGCGCTTCAACGATGAATTTTTTCGTACATCTTTAGGTCGCAAGGTACTTAAACAGACCGCGTGTACCGACGGAAATTTCGTTGATGATTGTGAAATGCAAAAAGCAATCAAGAATAGCTTGGAAGGACATGCATTTAATGAACCTGCTGCTAAAGCCTCAGCGGGAATTGTTCGACAAGACTTTCTCCAAACAGAATTAAAGAAGGAGGTACTAGACTACAGCCCAATCCGGCACAGAGTAGGAATAGACAATCTTCTCAGGATCATTCAGGGTAAATTTCCTAAACTGGACTCGGCGCCAAAGGTATGGACTTTATTTGTTTTGGCGAAGTATTATGAATGTACAAGTGTTGTGGTAAGACCCCCATCACGAATGTTACGTTTCTATTTCCTAACTTGATCCTAGGTTGACTATATTACTTCATGGATCATGAACGGTAGTAATATCAAATTTCTCGAAATACTTCCCGAAGCCAGTTTGAATCTTGGACTTGGCCTGAAGATACCTATGATTACGAGAGCTGCATTTTCTATTCTTGTTTCTGAAGAGGCACTTAATGTGGCTTCACGAACTCTATGTAAAAGCCATGATGACAGGCGAGCAGCAGACAAATATGTTCGACCTCGTGAGGAGCTCGATGAAGATTTGTGGAACGTTATTCAACATGCAAGTCAGGACTTTTGCGACCGCATCCAGAAAATTATTACTGATTTGTTAGATGAAAGAATGGCTTGGTTCCTAGAACTGCCAGAGTACAGAAAAATATGCAAGTTTGAAGACTATTGCTACAAGAAGAAAGACACGAGCAAGACAGAAAAGGCTGTATATGAGAGAAGGAAGTCGGTTATTCAGCAACTGCTCGTCAACCTTCGTAGTTATGTCCGAGCGAAAATTGTTATCTGTTTGAACCAAGGATTAAAAAGCTTCGAGATTACTCGGGCGGAAAACAATCAGCGGGAGGTTCAGTGGGACATACCAGAAGTCGGTACAAAAGATGTACCCGATGCAGATTACATCTATAACGGCCTTGGAGTTCGTGAAAGAGTTTTACTGCCATACTTTTGGCGTCGCCTTCGGGATGTCAATTGGCATGACATGTCAATGGAGAGCCTCAGGCTTGCCCTATATGATCCGCAATTACTTCGTTCGGGGAAATGTCTTGCGGATAGAGATACCATTCGCAGGATAAACCGTTATCACCTTGAAATTTATGTCAGTGACTTCAATCGTGAGGTCAACCTTGCAGCCAGGCAGGAAAACTATCACCCGTCTTCGCCTTCGGATCCGGATCCTACAGTACTACAGCCTAACACTAAGAGCATGAATGCGGAAAGACCAAATTATGCATTCATGAGTGCTTACAACCCAGATCATGCTTATCTTCAAGCACGCCTAGTGGAAGATAGCTCTGAGTTTTCCTTCGCCAACAATCCAAAGTCATTCTCAGCTAACCCCAATCCCAGCCTCCACCAGCCAGACATAGATGCCGCCAATAACTTCGACCTTTCTACTTTTCTCAAAGAACTCGGTCACCACATTGAGGATATCTGTCTTTACATGCTCTCCAAACCTGATGGATCAGAATTCACAATATTGACAGATACATTACTCTGCCTGACCGATAATGAATGGCAATATCTACCCTTATGGGCAGGCGGAAACGACGATGGAAGTGGAGGCGTTACGAGCGCAGATGTTCCGCCGGCTTATTATGCTAATGTTGGTAGTCTTACGCCAGGTGTACAATATAAAGGGGTAGCGGGATTTGTGGGCTCGGTTAACACTAGTTTGGTTGTTAGGGATGGGAGTAATCGGACGGCTACAATCCCGGGGAGTGAGGCTTGGGGTGAGGCTTGGGGTGATGTTGGGAGTGATGGTGGAAGTGGAGTGGGGATAGCTACTGATGGTGATGTGCGGAGCGTTTCTTCGATAGAGAGTTATGATATGGCTGTTATGATGCCAGTGGGGAGTTGTGGTGGGAGTGGAAGTGAGAGCGAGTTTGAGATTGTCAATGTAGGCGAGGATGAAGAGAGTGGTGATGACTTTACGTTTGCTGGGAATAGTAGCGTTAGTGAAAGCGGGATATCAGACGATGAGATAGTTCATCATGATAAAGGAAAGGGAAAGTGGAAAGAGAAAGATTATGAGGAGGATGACATGGCCTGGAAAGATCAAGAAGATCTAGACGATGATTGGGAGGGATATTTCACTGATGATTAGACTACCTAGTACTAGTGAATGAACTAATGGAAACGAGATGCTTTGGGGATAATGGAAGAACAGGAAACCACAAGGACCATTGGAGAAAACAGGGGATCTACAAGAGGGGATAACGCTTCAGGGGTAATTGAGCACATCATGAGGAAATAGAAACTGAATGGCAAATTTGTACCAATAAATATCAAGATCAAGACAATTCTTAATAGTCTTTAAGAATGTTCAAATTGAAAACTAAAGAGAGCTATGGAGAATTAGAGACTTTTTCCCATCAGATACGTAAACTTAATCTGGATATTAACACGCTATTATCCTATAATCTCCAGAACAAACTAATCTAAGTACTTGACTTGAATAATAACCATCAACTTTCTTCAGCTTAAATGCTTTCAATTGATTTGCACTGATGTGCAAGCGAACTTGAGGTAGTGCTCCTGAGCTCTCAGCTCTAATAGTTGACCCTGATATCTGCCGACAAATTACAAACAAAGTTTCAATTGCATCCATGACTTTAATAAATGTTCTTCCCTATCTTGATCGTGACGAGCTGAGTGCAGACGATAAATGTATCCGCGAATTCCTTCCATCATCAGCGTTTCGTCAATATCTCCCCAGAACTTGCAGTGGTAGGTCTTCCCCTCCTACTTTTCCTTGATCAATCATCTTATGGAAGTCTCACAACAAACTTTAGCGAAAAATCGAGTGCTTTCGGAAAGATATATGTACAGATTATTGATATTTCTTTCACGTAGGCGATCGGTGTATTTAAAGAGCATAGCTTAATATGTACCTCGCCGCACTCAGTGGGGCTGACGATCACCAATTGGATCTGGAGATGGAGGCCTTCTATTACTGTTAAGGCATGATGTATGACTTATTGAGGTTGAATAGCACATTAATATGGTACCAATATCAGTGTTATTCTTAAATTTCAAATTCATATCCCAATAACTTCAGTACATGTATCCTTCAGCATACGAACAAAAGTGACATGATCCGATTGCATATTTCCAAGACGAATGTATATCAATATCCAAGAACAAATAAAACCACCCTCGTCCACAATTACTCGTCCATTCTATTTTTTACCCCTCTTCTCTTTCCCAATAGCTCCACCCTCAACCGCTTTCCTTTTTTTGCCGTTCTCCTTATTCCCACGCCCATCAGCTTTCCTCTTTTGTCCCACGCCTAGTCCTTCTACAACGAGTTCCCCTGTATAAACAGGATTCGGATTCCTCGTCCTCCTACTCCTCCTCGGTCCATCCACCTCCATCTTCTCTTCCACCGGCGACTCTTGCACCACCTCCGCAGGCGGTATCTCTTCATCTTCAGACTCCGCCCCCGTATCATTTTTATAAGCCGGATTATGTTGCCCTCTCTCTTCCCTCTTCCCTTTGTTTTTGGTTGAATGGGCTTTAGATTTAAGTTTGATTGTTAGAGAAGGAGCTGGGGAAGGGGATAGAGCCGGACGAGCAGTTTCTTGCTGAAGTGAGATGTTTCGTTTTAGTTGTGGTTTGGGCGCTTTTGGAGTTTCTAATTCTTCGTCTGATGGTTCGGAGCCTGCGTCTTTGCTGGGATGGTATCTCAAGTCTCGAGGTTCCTTTGTGATGGGTTTCTTTTGGAAGGCTTTCTTTTTAGGGTTTTTCGATTTAAGTGCCGGCACTGTCGGAATTGGAGGACTGGTGGAAGTTGGGACTGTAGACTGCGGAATTTTATCGATATCTGTTTGTGTTTCCATGCCTGCGAAAATAGGTTCCTCTGTTTGGGTCTCTTCATTTTGATTGTTTGTTATACGAAGCAATTTAACCTCTGACTGCGAATCCTCTGACTCTTGTTGTAGCTCCTCAGTTTTTCTTATGCTTTCCCCGGCAACAATTTTCCATCTTGTGATTTCAGCTTCGAGATCAGATAATCGTTTTGATGTTTTTAATGACATATCAAGAAGCTCAGTAACTTTCCCTTCACTAGCTGTATGAAGCTCATGCAGTCTCTCAATCTCTTCACGGAACTGTTCATCCTCTTCTTCTTTCAATAGCAGAACTTCTTGTAACCTTTCGATCTCTCCGCGGTACTTCTTCTCCTCCTCGTCTCTCAATGTTCTGAAAGATTCCGCTATTTTTATTTCACTGGCTTTGAGGAGATCTTCCAGTACCTCAGCTTCAGCTTTTTGATTATCACTCTCCTGTTGCAAATCTCGGAGTTTTTCCTCACCTCTACTGATTTGTTCTTCGAGTTGGGTCATCTGCGTCTCGCTAGCCCGGAGAAAGCTCTCTAATCCATCAGCTTCGGCTTTATGCTCATCCTTTTCCCGAAGTAGATCCCGTATTCTTTGTTCATTCCTGGTCAATTGTTCTTCCATTTCTACGACCTTAGCAGCCCGTGTACCTTCCCTCTTCATATCCTCTTGTGTAGAATATAAAAGCTTAGCGAGCGCTGCTTCCCTTTCCTCACTCTCCTTCAACAATTTTTCCAAGCTCTCAACTGCCCAATCACGCTCCTTATCTTTCTCATTCCACTCATTCATTTTAACCTTCAACACCTCCCTCGACTCAGTCAACAGCGCCTTGAGATTATCGTATGCCTCTTTTTGACCCAAGGGTCCATGTACCAGGTCCATGCACTCCTCCAGTCTCCTCTCCGCTACCTCCATGCTTTCAGGATTCAACCCTCCTTTTCCATTCTCCCAAACGCTGTATCTTGCGACAATCAAATCCATCAAATCATCAGCGTCTTTAAGCTGAGTTTTCAAGTGCTCAATAACTTCCGGGTCAGTGGCATTGGGGTCTATAGGACTTCTATCCCTATCATGCCTCAGAGCTTGGACTCTGGGATGAGAATCTCGTCCAAATGCAGACATCTCAATATATTGGTCTAATCTTTCTTTCGCTCTCTTTGCCTTCTTCTTCGCAGAATAGACCTCACATCCCGCCTGATGGAACTGTGTTGTAACGAAAGAAATCTCCTTTCGAAGTTTGATGATCGTCTCCTCGTTTTCCAAATCGATGTCTCTGATAGGTAGTCGAGGATCGCGGTTTGGATGTTTTTGGAGGATGTATATTTTCTGCTGCAACGTCTCATTTTCCCGTAAGACTGCCGCTAAATATCCCACAGCGCTCTTGATAAGACTATTCCTCTGTATTGTTCTTTCCATTAACTTCCGCTTTGTCTGATAGAGTTCGATCAATGTTCGAGCCAATCTTGCACTGAGAGAATCATCATGCACATCACCGGCAAGGTCTTCGTATTCCATATACTTATCCTCTAGAAACTTCTCGAGAGATTTGACTCTTTCTTTCTCGTCGCTTAATTCACGCTGACATTGACGATATCTCTTTGCCACTTCCTTGTCTTGTTCATCTTTCTCCTCAATCCGGTAAATATCAGCTTCGAGATTTTTGGACAACTGATCCATTAGTTCTTTGATAGATGTGAGATTTTCTTCCACTTTTGACTCTTCAATAGCTGCATCTCTCTCCTTTGTGCGCAGTTCGAGCTCAGCCTTGACTCGTGTTAACTGAGTGGCCATGTCAATATCTTCTGTATCTTCGGCAATGCTAAAGGCCAATTGTTCCCTCAATCCCAACGGGCCATCAATTTCCTCTTCTAACTCCTCTTTTCGTTTCACAAGAATATCTCTCTCCTTACGTAACTCTATAACTTCATTAGCATCCAAATTGGCGCCAGCCTTTATCATATTCTTCATGGCCTGTTCCGCCGTTTCGTATAATATTCTATATGACTTCGTATCTTCCTCCTTTGCATCATATCGATCTTGCATGAGTATAAAGTCCTGTGCGTCTCCCGTGTCTTCCTCCCTTTTCTTACGTCGAAGATCAGCCAATAACTGCAGTTGTTTTTCGAATTTTCGAATTTGGTTCCTTAGAGCATTGCATTCCTTACTCATGATATCAAGCAATACCAGATCTTCCTTCCTCTTACTCTCTTTGCGTTGACGAAATGCTTCGAAGTGGACGGGAGTAAGGCTGAGGATTGCACGAATTACGTGAGACTTGTCGTGACAGCGTTCAAGACGCATATTCCTTTTCTCGAGCTTTTTGATTTGATTAATAAGTAGTCGTTGCGAAAGAAATTCTCCGTCGTCTGGGTAATCTCCCATTACTACTGCATCATTTTCATCAGTTTCAATACTTTGCTTTAGTCTTTCATCAACTTTTTCATTTTCTTTGTTTTCTCCCTGTCCATCACTTTCATCTTCTTCCGATTCGGGAGTGGTAGATTGTCTTAGAGGAGAGGGTGCATGTAATCTCTTCCTGGTACCATGGAAGTCGGCATTTTTTGGGTCGGTACTAAGGCTGAAACTCTTAATCGCCGGCTCTTTATCCTTCCCTAACGTAGTCTGTGGCTTGTCTTCTTTAGGCGTAAGCTTTGTTGGCGTACCACCCATGAGGTTTTCCGTCACAATCTCCAGCTGCTGTCTTATACCATCTCTCTCCGCCATCAATACATAGAGTTGATCTGTAAGAGCCTGTATCCGCGCACTCTCCACAGGAGGGGTATCTACTGCATTGACTGACATGCTCCTTGTTTCCTCCTTCAAATGCTGTATATGAAGTTCCTTTCCCATGATAATCTCTTTTGCCTCATTGAGCTCCTCTTCATATCTATCCCTCTCCTCCCTCAAAGAATTCATCAGCCCCACATCCACTCCTTCCACTGCACCCGCTCCCATCCTCAAATTTTCTAATTCCAGCTCCAGCTCCTTCATCATCTCCTGGGTTTTTGCTTCGTTCTCCTCCAATTTCTTACTCTTCATCTCCGCATCATGCCGCCCTTTTCTCAAAATCCCCATCTCCGCTTCAACCTCCCTCCTCGCATAATTTTCTCCCTCATTGAAAGCCGCATCTCTTTCATGTCTCACCTGTTTTATACGATTTAATCTTGTTTCCGACTCCTCTTTAGCTTCAAGGAGCATGCGGTTAAAAGTTTCCAGCCTGATATGAAGAGAGGCATTTTCACGCTGGCAAGCTTCGAGGGGATTGCTTTTGAGATGTTGAATCTGTACCTGAGTTATATCTGAGTGGTCAAAATTGTAATCCGTCATTTTTTGGATTCTCATGAACAGTGAATGTCATCAATATTCGATAATGATTCTTTTTTTGTCCAAAGAAGGTTGTGCTTGAAGGTGTTGATTGGTATTCAAAGAGATGAATTGACCAATTGCAAGAGTTATAAGGTAGCTAAGCGGTGTAGGATGAACAAGGTAAAGTGAGTTCCTTTGTCCCATGGTGAATGTTGTAGGCTGCTTTCAATTGAAATACGATAGGAAAACAAAGATATGAAATGTGGCAGTACAATAATGACTAGTTTCATATGGCAAGAACATACTAGAGTTTGAATATCCTGGGTAGCTTTGTATATCTTATGATTAAACAACGCGAGGATGGGAAGGTTTTGAGAAGGTGTAAAAATTTACCAAAATTTGGCTAGTAATGTCTTTTAAGTACTAATGCGCTGGAGTGAGATGAGACTAATATACAACTTATCCTAAACATACAAAGTAATATTCTAAATAGTGGGTGAATGCTCTTAGAGCAGTTACTCATCCTCACAATCAAAAAGCTAAGAACATAAATAAATATTTAGGCTTTGGGAGAAGCCTTTTTGGAAAGCACTTGCTTGCTAACTCCGCTTGGACCATCAATTTTAGGGGCATCAAGAGGTCTGTTGAGTCCAACACGATCTTGGGTGTTGTAAGTACCAATTCCACCATCTTGGTCTGCCTCGGTGATAAGTTCCTTGCGGCGTGTGTCAACGAGGAGACGGATGAGGTCAGGTCTCATGTAATGACCACCAAAGTCTCCGAGAGCCTTTGGAAGGTGTGATTGATCAAGATCGATCTGGAATATTGTCAGATTGGTTTCTTGAATGAGTAAAAGGCTGTTGTTGATCTTACCTCAACGAACATCAGTCCCTCGAAGTCTTCATCGGCCTTGCTGAGGAGTTGACCGTCAGGCCCGAAAATTCTGCTGTTGCCGTTGTAGATGTTTGGATCTTCACGCTCGACTCCAGGTGGGGTGTTTTTGTCTACGCCTTCCTTGGATATACGTTGGAATGGTGCAAGGACGTAAGTTCCAGTTTCAATGGCGTAGGCTGGAGAAACAATATCGGAGTTGGGGTTGCTGACATTAGTCCATGGGTCCAAAGAAGTACGGGTTTCCTCGTGTGGGTAGATTGGCCAGCCGGCAATGTGGACCTGATGAATTGTGAGAAATGGATTATGGAAGCATTTGAAGAATATAGCCTTACCTGTTCTCCCTCGGAGACATTCATTGCCTTCAAAAATGGGTTCATGTTCTCCCAGCAGTTTAGTTGTCCTACTCTTCCAATGTCTGTCTGAACGACACTCTTGAAAGTATCACCTGATCCATCACCATAAATAAGCTTCTCAACATGGGTAGGCTTAATCTTTCTGCGGTGGTTGAGAACTTCTCCAGTGGGTGAGATGAGGACTTGGGAGATATAAAGAGATGCGAAATCAATTTCACTGTATCCTAATGAGACGTATATGGCATTCTCACGGGCAGCTTCACGAATTCGGCGCATCTCATCCGAATCAGACGGGAGACTGTTCTCGCGGTAGGCTTTGATCATAGGAAGAGATTGTTGATAATTGACCTTCCATGCCCAGTATGGATAGCCAGGAATCCCTAACAGCGTAAGTCAAATGTGATGGGCCAGATCAGAAGTGGATGTACTTACAAACTTCAGGGAATGCAACAAGTTTGCAGCCTGCTTTGCCAGCCTCGTTGATCCAATGGATAGTCTTCTTTACAGACAACTCAAGATCAAACCATCCAGGCTCAGCTTGGACAGCTGCGGCCTTGTACTTTTTGATTTGCGCAGGCATTTTGATGTTTGGTATGATTGGTATTGATTGTTGATCGTGAGTTTGAAATGATAAGAAGATTGTGTGGTGAAGAGGAGAATTACCTGGAGGAAGTCATGTCTTTATACAGCTAACTCGATGGCTATCATCAATACAAGGAGAATGAAATTCGTGCTTTCACGTATGTCAATCATATCATACGATTTGTTCAAATCCCGCCCCGATTTCATGACGGCAACATGTATGAGGACCTGGAAGGGTGAGGGGTAGAAGTATAGCCCATGTCGTATGCACCATGTCTTGCAACTTGCTAAGATCTCGGAAAATATAACACGATGTAGAGTAAAGTTGCTCTGATCGAAGATTCTCGATACAAGATCTTCAATTCCAGAAGATTAGCCGTTTGAGCCTGGTAGATGTTGACTATCGGCGGATGCTCGGAATGTAGCATAAGTTCTCCCCGCATTGCTGATTTTGCTGTGAAGACCACCAAGCGGTCCATTCCGATGTGGAGACACTGACAAGCATGATCATACGACAGCACGGAAAGTTCAGAGCAATCTCTTAGATCATTGAGGCAAATGTTCCCAAATCTCAGCACTAATTGGCATCTCGACCGGCGTTTGTTCAACCAATCTGTGATCCATGTTCGATAGGCCCATAAGACGGAATGGAGCACACTGCACTGAAGAAAACCCAGTTACTGCCTGCAAGTTGACAAATGATGCATCTCGACGTTGCATTGCCTGCAGAATTTCAAATCCCGAAATGTTTTCTCTATGCAAACGCGGTAATCATGTGATTCGATAACGGTTGACCCGAGGCGATTGATTAAAATACAACACAGAAGCCCGAGGGTGATCTATGAACTTGATGTTCGATATTTTTTTGGGAGGACTTTCGTCCAGCTACGATAACTTCTAAGTTAAAGAAGCTTACATAATCGAGAAATGCCGAGGACCACCCGAGATCATGATCGGTTTCTACCAAGCAAGTGTTCTATCGGAAATTTTCACGGTGGGAAAATTGAAGCAATTGTGTATACAACACAATTGATTTTCAACCAGTTGACCAAGACGAGGTATTCAAACATGACACAGTATGTGCACAATATGTGGAAAAAATTTGAAACTCAGGACACATATTGCAATACTCTGAAAGAACATGGAAATTCATGCTTGCTTAATTAATTATCTCGTGGCCATCGGATATATGTACAGTGTGGAGATAGCTAAAACAGTTGAATACTTGGAGGATATTAGGGACAGTTACAAAAAGCATCTATTTCATGAAGCCAGCCTTTCCGTCACCGTCGGCATCAACCTTTGGATTAATTTTATCCATCAAGCTAGGCTTCTTATGAGACTCGGTAGAGGTATTGGAGGTGGTGTGGTGGACATTGCCGGCGGTGGTTGAGCCGATACCAGCACCAGCAGCACCGGTGTGGGAGCCAGTGTGGGAGCCAGTATGGGAGCCAGTATGGGAGCCAGTGTGATGCCCATGAGCACTGTTTTCAGTCAAAGAAGTAGTGCCATTAGCGCCAGCGCCTCCAAGAGTACCCCCAACAGATTTTGGCTCGCCTTTGAAAGCATCAGAGCGCTCCTCACGCCCTCCAAGCGAGCCTCCATGGCGTCTGAACTCGTCCATACTGACAGCTGGGAGAGAGGTAGCAGTGTGGTGCTTAGGCTCATTTTGGTGAACTTCGTGAACTGGAATCGTGGTGTGAACGACGGATGGTTGAACAGTCTCCTTTTGGATGACTGGCTGGATGGTCTCGTGGACGTGGTGATGAACATGCTCACCAGCAACGGTGGCACCTAGCGAGGCAGTATGTTGAGTCTCTCCTACAGTTCTGGTGTTCTTGAATTGAGCTTGTTCAGCGGCCAGACGATCCTTGAGCTGAGCATCGCTTCCGTGCTGGATGTTACGGTGCTCAACTTCTCCAAGTTTGTGGGAATGTTGTTCCGGAAGGACTTCATGATCTTTGATGGGTTGAACAGAAGTATGGTGATGATCTTGATGAACCTCACGGTCAACTGCGGTGGTTGCTTCCTCATGTTGTGTCTTGATTACTTTCTCGTTTTGAACGGCTGGGTTGACAGTCTGCAACATCATTAGGATTTTCCTAGGATGTGGATTAAAAAGGTAAGCACTCATACCTCATGAACTGTAGTGTCATGCTTCCCATCCCTGGAGAGGAAATCACCGACAGCTGCCTTGGCACGTTCCATTTTGATTGAATGTGTTGTTTATGAAAGAATTGGGGCTAATGGTGGGTATAGTTGTTTGATTAAAAAAGAAGAAGTGTTGATTGTTATTTGTTGTGTATTTTGATGAAGATTGAAACGAATTGGGAGTGATGCCCACCACTTATAGTCTCGAGGGGCTCTAAGCTGGTAGCTCTTGCCCCGCACGCTGCTCTGCTACATCATCGACTAGTTGGACTTTCCAGGAGCTGTATCTTTCATATCCTTGATTTTCTGAGATCGATGGAAGTCATTACCAAGTGGCAGTGCATCAACGATGAGACTAGGCTAGACCAGCGGAGATTCATTTGAAATCCCAATGTAATCTTTTACATGAGAGACAAAGACTGAGGATATGTGCCGTAAGGTCTAATGGCGCACTTACGCACATTATCTCCACTTTGAAATCATTCTATAAACTTCCCTGATTCTCGTCCAATAATTGGTCATTAGTATGTATTTCTCCGATAAAGCCCATACAACTTTATTAGCATCTTTGGATTTGGCATTGGCCCACGAATGTGCCTTTGGTTGGTTCTTGGGCGAGTAGAAATGGCAGGAACCAACTTATTACTATTCTCCATCACAGGCGAATTAAGGAAGCACCCCTCGATTATAGCAATTGATTCCTTGCCTAGAAACTTGATCAAATCTCGATTACCTAAAGAAGGCCGAATTGCTAGCTATGCTCCTACATTACATGATAAGTGTACCGATTTACAAGCACAGATCACATTGATTTGGTACTTTGAAGTTTGCAAATTATAACAGACAGCTCAAAAATCAAGACCGATTTACGAGTACATTTAGTTCACAGGAATGTTGAATGTCGAATACCATGCATGGTTCTTTGAATTCTGCCATCATCGATTTGATGGGAAACTCAAAAGTTGCATCATTGTGCCCGGCCATCGGATTTTTCCGAACACGAAAAAATGGACTTCGCTGTGGTAATGTGGCTGATCACATGTATTTGTTATTTGCTAAATTGTGTTAGATCATTCTGTAAGCAGCAGATAGACTGTAAACTTTGTTGTATTTGTATTGTGTATTTGCATGCAAAAAGGAAAATATTTCATTCATCTAGAATACTCATATTGAATTGTGATACGGATATTAAAAAGGGGTTAGTTGAGCAGATACAGATAAGATCCCACACAAGGATTCCCGACCGGAAATATATCTCCGAAACGCCACGACTTTGATCCGAGACATGCTGGCTGGCCTGATCAATGGCTTCCAGAATCAAAACATAGGATCTTCAAAACATTGTCATCAAAAATTGAGACTCACGGATTAAGAGAAAAGCCATTAGCAAAATCTTCCAACTTCGGACTCGGACACAAGTTCTAGGTCGATGATGTAGCAAAACTGGCCAAGCATTTAAGGTCGAAAGACAACAATGGAGAAATGAATAGAGGCAACGAAAATATCGAACAGGACTCATCATGAGTCAATAGGAACTTCCATACCTCCAGGGTTCATCGAGAGATCGTGGAATTGAAAGAATTTTTGAGAGCAGACCCAAAAGGGGCTCCATCTGATGGTGATATCCAGGGGATGGGGTGAAGGCCTTTCCATGAATATCCTCTGGATCTGCGACGAGATCCTACTCTTTCTGCGACAAGAAGAAGTCTACTGCTCCACAACAAATCACTACCCAAACAAGTTTTCTGTAACAAAGCTGTGCAGTTAGTTGTGCCAAATCCTTAATATATCGATATCTGATGCCTACGACAATATGAAAGGTGGACGGGATACTCCCAGAGACCGCACAACGACTAGCGGAGTGAGAATATATGGAGAAGATTAAATTTGGTTGTGGACGACTCTCGATCTGATCTAAGCTATTCTATTTTCCGATGCATTATGGTGTGGCTGAAACTGAAAGGTCTGGAGGTTCTAGACTCGCGGGCCCATTCCTAGAGATGACGACACAGTCACACAACAAAAGGCTTCATCCCACATTCAAGCTGTATCGAAGTCTCTCTGTTCTCTTGTCGGTTCTCGACTAATGATGTCCCTAGACTTACCAGGAGATGTTTTACTCCGCTAAGTAGTTGCCACAATATAGATGACATATCTCCGATAGTGCTGCTTAGTAGCCTTGGTCTTCATCATGAAGACGATCTAGAAACATTGTATGTTCGAAAGTGGATTTTCTCGTCTTCGCTGTCCAAGCGATGACCTTCAGTGTACTAATTCGAGAAGCTCGTCTTCGAGCATATGTATTTACACAATTACATACAATCCGATCAGTATCGCATCAAACCAACCGATTTGTCGACAATGAAAGACACATCACGAACTGACTTGGTGCAGGATCGAGGCACTCCTAATCCAACCTCTACTCCCAAGTCAATAAGACAAGACCACATTTTGTCCTCAAGTGATGGTGTTTCTAGTAAGGTCTTAGAGAGGACTCCTCGAACGATCCCATCACCACCAAAGTATTCTATTTTCCCTACCAACAACGGAACCGAGAATACAGTCAGCGAAGATGACATGCATATCAAAGGCATCCATTTTCCAATTACAAATGGGCAGAAGCAGGCATCGTCGCCAATCAAGAAGTCTTATCTGGGCAAAGAGAGGGCGGAGCCCATTAGCCTTGAAGGTGTAGTGGATCTTACCAATACCGTGGATACTACTATACACGAAAAAGTTGCACCTGGTACATACAAACCCTTTGTCACTCGTTGAAGTTCAAGGTCAAAAAGACTTTTGCACTTACAACTCAACCCCTCGCTATCAAATTCATCTGCTTCACTATTCTTTGTGCGCCCAAAAAATCGGCCATTTCTATTTGCAGAATCTATATTGAACAGGAGCTGATTTATTGTTCTCGTTAGCTCTCACTCATGAATATGTTTTACCTACACAACACGAGGTCATAACGAAAGAAATCACTCGAGAGATCCATCAACATCATTACCATCATCGAGTTCTTCCTGTCATTGATACCGAGATCTTACCTACCAAACACTACGTTTACGGTAATGATGGGGATACACTAATTAAAATACCGGAGTCTATGGTACCCCGTTACACGGTCACAGGGTCTTATTCTCCAAGTTGGTCCATTGTTCAGCATCCACCAGCTCCTGCTGAAGATGCCTTTGATTCACCACTGTTTGGGGTAGAACCTGAACTACCAAATACAAGTTACACAATACATTTTCAGCCAAACTCGAAAGGCCAGATACAATGGTCCCATGTACCTGGTGAGCCTGTAAAGGTCATGGAGCGAGAGTACACTACTGCAGAGGGCTTCCCACGCAAGGAAACTTGGTGGAGACATCCCCCTGTTCGTGCAACTGGTGCTTATGAGGCGGGCCTGACAACACCCATGTACTGGAATCACGTACCTGCTGGAAAGCAACATATCACAACGAAAACACCAACCCCGCTTCCACAGAAAGAGAGGACGATTAAGGAACTTTACGATCTTGAGCGTGCGCAAGCAACTGAATATAATAGCATCGATCACATAGATACTAATATGGCAAAACTGCGCGAGAAGAAGTTGTACAATGGTCTTTCGACCTCGGACTCAGTGCATGCTCGTGAGCTGAACGATATGCATTCGACATCATTTCCGAGAAAACCAATTACACATCAACAAACATATGAGAGTCCATCAACTCGAGATTCAGGTTATGGTGGTTTGGATAGTACCTCTTCACCCGAAGACAGAGGACCGTCGCATTACAGAAATACCTCAAGCTCAAGCACATCAAGCCTCTTGGGAAGGGTAAAGGGTGATGATGGAAAGAAATCCGTCCCAGTAGAGGGTGAGGCTACAAGATATTTACGGAATATGAGAGAAAAGAGACGAAGCTCAGGTGGGTCCATAGGCAGTAGCCCAGGATTTTGGGGGAGGAGAAACATCGATGTCGGCAGGAGAAGTGAGGATAATCAAAGAGGTACGGCCTTGGCAGAGAGATCGAAGGAAATTGAGCATCACTTTGGAGTAGCAAGAAAATAAGAAAGGTTAGTATATTTGTACAATTGTCAATGGATGAGTATTTGGGCATTCATTTCACGTTTGTAGATTTAAATTTTACAGAAATTGTATAGCAAGCAAACAAGAAAAGTATCCAAGTGTCAGAAACTTTCAATGAATGGCGAAGAATTTTCTAGGGCCTTGATTCCTTCATCATGATCTTTAATCCAAAGGACACCGACAAACCAAGCCTCGTGTTCCATATACAAGCAAGGATCATCTTGTCCAAAAATTTATGCCAACCAGGAACCCAGCTAGCAAGCTAGCAAGCTACCACAAGATACGAGTGCCAAATATTTTAACCTTCATGAAAGGTTTTCCAAAGAACGCGTCTGCAGATCAGATCACACTAGCTACCGAATATCATGGAAACTAGCCTAGATTGACGGATCTACATAACGCTAGATGGCACTAGACGACGAGCTGAAGCTAGCTCACTAGCCACATTTAAGCGTATTGAGCCTAGTGGATATCTTGATACAGGAACAAGCGAGTCTATGACTTCATTACTTGGGGATGGGAAAGGAAGGAAGGTACTGGTAGTAGAATGTATGATCGACGGAACGAATGCGGGGATGTTACTGCAGTTTTCGGGATTGTTTGGTTCCGTGGATGGTTGGATCGTCTATGGTAGTTAGTTAGTTGGGTTAGAGGGGAAATAGAGTTTGGGGCTGTGGAGTCGAGGTTTGCGTGGGTTGGGATGGGATGGGATGGATGGTAGAAAAGTGGATTATCATAATGGTAAAGCTATCCACTGTATTAAACGATACCCCTAAGGGTATGAAAACCCTTTCAATTATAAGTTATATACCATTTCTGTACTAGCCTCCATTTCTATGGTATACAGGGCGGGTTTGGAGTTTGTGTGTGTAATAGTTTATGTGAGAGATGATGATGTGATATGGTGGTGTGGTGGTGATGATTGGCTTTTTAGCTGAGAGTCTTGCAGGCCGTGTGGAGGTTGATCTTAGAGAGGAGCTTAATAGAATGAGGGTCTACTTTCTGAAACGAAGGAGCGATTAAAGTCGAAGTGCCTTTGTATACGTGATGATATTGTTCCGCTCTTATCACGTGGCATTTTGGAAGTCACGTGAACTGGTAAGGAAGCCGGAGGAGATTCAGAAGTTTGATTATGGGTTTATTCTTAGTCTGGTGCTTAAGTGTAAGTACCAACAGATATGGTAGCGCCTTAGAACCTGTCGCAATAAAAACCTAATCCAGTGAAAAGGAGCTACGAGCTCTAGTAAAGCATTCTTGTGTTTGAGGATTGAAGTGTTACTTTTGGCTTCCGCTTCCTCCGCCTCCTGTCTTCGCTTCTGCCCCTTCTTATAAGCTTTAATAAATTTACCTATTTATATTGCAGTGATCTCCTTCTCCCCAATATCCTCCATACCGGTTTTAGCTTCCTCTGTCATCCTGCTGCTGTTGTTTTAGCTCGACGATTTGTAGGGTCCTTCTAGACCTCTAGAAATAGCTTTCTCTTGGGGTTTTCTGACTTGATCTATTGCATTGAGTTGATTGACTGCGGTGACGTAAAGAATATAATTGCTATCAAAAAGAAAGCTTTGGGGTGTTGTTTGTCGCCAACTGATTATCATTCAGATCTATCATCAAACAAACAGTAGGGAAAGGCAGTGAGTAATTATGTTGATCTATGGTCAAATGAATAATAGAGAAGTATAGAAGAACAATCAAATAAACGACAAAGCTAGAAAAACAGTGGGCTCATAAGAAAAAGCTTCCTATCAGAGACGATTCTTTCTTTAATAGATGTCATTGCAACACTAAAACTACCTCTCCAACCACTATCATTGAAGCTCCCAACATTGCCAATTCCCGGACAATGTAACACATTCATCGCAGCACAAAATGGGACCTAGAAAGATGACTCTAGTCGAGGAGAAATATTTCTGGGATATCTAGTTAAAAAAAAATGGGGAAGAGGAAATCTAAAATACCTCCGGGCCCTTGATGAAGTCCATGAATGAGAGATCTGCGAGGAGACTGGTTATTTCACAAAAGACATAATCAAAACTAATCTCGATCTGGACAGAAAGGAAAAATTCAGAGAGAAATCGCAAGATGATATCGAGAAAGGCGCCGAAACAGATTCTGATATAGAAAAAGAAGATGATGGAAACGACACCAAGACGAAAGGGAAAGATGGCAATTCTAAGGCAGGAGACAAGCAGGTGGTAGGTGTTGAGACGTAGGAGTCTGCTCTTATTGTAAACGGGAAAGAGAACAAGTCCAAATCAGTTAAGCCTTCTTGAGCAAGATGCTGAAAACCCAGGTGTAAGTGTTGCTTTTCCTGTAGGGCACGCCGAACTCAACCTGACTAACATCAACGAATAAACTCAACGATTCGTTGATTTTGATTTATTGTTCTGTTAGTCAGGCCACGCGGCCTCTCAGTATCTTCTTGCATTAAGGCTTGCTGTCTGATTAATGCCGGCAAATAGTGATCACAGCTTTGGTATTTGGTGGGAGAATTGTTTTGGTAGAGAAGGGCATCTAGCGATAGTATCTTAGGCTTTGACCTGTTATGTGTCTACTTCACCCCGGATCATCCAGGCTTGCATCCGCGTGTGACTAGAATGATGTGTAGCCGGCCTAGGCATTGTGGATAATGGTAGATGACTCATGAATTCGTTATAGACTTGTCTTTAGAGAACCCCATAGCCGAAGTATTGTGTAACTTGATAATTCAACCTTATCCCTAGTCGACCCAGGAAAAAAATATAAGTACTCGCGGATGTGCTTCTCCAACAACCAACATGTAGAGGCTCGAGAAATTTTATCCTTGGGAAAATTGTTGACGCTATTGCAACTGTGGCTAAGGACTGCTGAAATAGCAGCACAACAATCTGTCTGATACTTCCTTGTTATGGTCAAATGAAGGCTAATGAAGTTATACAGCTCAAGTATCGCATTGAGATATTTAAGGTTCTTTCGAATGAGATTCATCCCTTTTGACCAGCCCATGAAACTGCACCTGCCTCAGTACGTAGCAAAGACCATATTTTTAATTGGTATCTGTCATCTGCAATGAAAATCGAGGGTGCTATTTTGACTACTTGATGGGTTTGAGTTAGTAAAGATACATCACTTGAATCCTACGCCAAAACGGCTCCACCACTGAAGGTCAACAATTGGGCTATTAGTTATCAAACTATATGAGACGACAATTTCTAAACCCTATCCTTTCACTAAACATAATCGTGGGCTCTGAGGTTGATCTGTCCGAGTTCTCTAAATGCCATACATGGTACACCGAATATTCAAACAGGCTTCATCACGCTGGTGACAGCTATGCAGAAACTTCTTCATGACATGCAGACTTGCAGCTGCGATACTAGTTCTCAGCTGTTGTGAAGTTTCCGTAGAGAAAAGTAGTGTGAACCACAGCTGCATCTTCACTTCATGGCACTCTTTAAGCCAAGGAAGACACAACACAATTCAATCATGAATAGCTTTCAGTTGAGGACCGACTGGGTAGATTCCTCCTGAAAGTGTACCGAGAGATACTCATTTATTTTTCTTGCCTTCAAGATAGTGTGCACTTGCTGTTACAAAAAGGTTAATATCATCTTGATGGCGTTCTGTAATACCGGTATGTACAAAGGACGGCTCGAAAAGAGATGCGACTTAATATAAATATAGTGGTTTTCAGGATTATAAATGAATTTAACCTTGTAGTATCCATTATATAGTTATTAAAATCTAAAGTTTTAATATAATATATATATTATAGATTTATTATCACTGTAAAATTAAAAATATAAAACTTGTTTTATTTATTTTTTATTTATATATTTTAATCTTTTGTTTATTTTTATTATTATTTTTTTTATATTTATATTTATATTTATTTTCTAATCTAATAATCTTTTCAATATAACAAAATAAATATTCGATTTAAATATACCAGTGTAATGATCTGGTCGAGGTAGCGGCTGCCTGAGGTTTCGTATAATTGATAGTTGTGGGTTAAGGCTATTAATCATTGGTTATTTATTTGAAAGTGAATTCATTATTAAATCAATTGAAATGTAGATAAACTAATTGATAACTAAATTGAATATGAAGCTTTTAAATTATGAAATTATTCTGATTATATACTAATAAATAGAAAAGAATTTTATAAAATTCAAGAGCTTCAAAAAGCTCCTAGAGTTTTAAAAGCTCTTCAAACTCTTAGGGCTCCTTATCATGTGATTGATCCTGAGGCCTTTTTTTTCCCTAAAACACTTGTCCCAGGAGCTTTCCTTTAGGAACTATAGCTTTAGAATACAATATCCTTTAAAATAATTGTCCTATTACAATCGATTAGCTAGAATACTTATTCTATTCTAATATAATTGCTTAGGATACTTATCCTAAAAATCCCGGGGTCCTATTCGTAGATAATTAGGCCCCCTAAAAGCAACGGTTAAATCACACCCCCCCTATAATCGACATGTAAATCACCGACATCAATAATACTATTATAATCTAATCCGTGAATCGTGACAACCAGAGGCCTGCGCCCCCCGGACCCCTGGCTTTTCAAGATAGTCTAATGAAAATTTAAGGTTTAAAAAGTTTATAATAAATTAAATATTAAATATATATCAGGATGTAAGCAGAATATCAGCTTGTTTTTAATAATTGAGAATTAAGTTATTTTATTTAAAAATAATAATTATAATATGATTTAATATTATTATTTATAATATTTATAATAATAATAATATTTTATATTATTTATATTATTATTTATTATTATTTATAATATTTATAATAATAATAATATTTTATATTATTTATATTATTATTTATTATTATTTATTATTATTATTATTATTATTATTATTATTATTATTATTATTATTATTATTATTATTATTATTATTATTATTATTATTATTATAATAAGTTGAATAAGTTGAATTGAATGATTTCAGAGTTAAATGATTTTAATAGAGTCGAGTTGAATGATTTTAGTTGAATGATTTCAGTTGAATGATTTCAGAGTTGAATGATTTCAATTGAGTTGAGTTGAAAAAAGCTCCAAGTCAGATTTGCTTGAGGTTGTAAGGCTTATGTTAAGCTTTTTATTAGATTATTTACCGGGGTATTTATTGGGGTATTTTAGACCAATCAGATTGTCAGGATCGCGACTCATTTAAACAAGTTTCTCATTTTCCACCATTCATTATATAAACCTCGTGTACAACAAGATTATAGTGTCGGCAAGCCGACAATTAATAATAATAAAATATTTCAAATATTTAATTATTAAAAAATAATAATAAAAATAAATTATAAATTATAAAAATATAATTTATTTTTATTTAATGAAATAATTATAATCTTATATATAACAATTGAAAATATTTTTAATTTTATTTTCATAATTCAATATACTCTAAAAGGAGTTTATAAATCTTTACAACTTAGTGAATACAAGAATTGTATCATTTTAATAGATCTATAAGATAGATATATTTAAAAAGTCTATAATCGCATCCCTTTACGAGCCGTCCTTCGTACAGGGAGGGTATGAGATGACAGATCTCTATTCCGTTGGAGTGATTGACTGCATGACAGCGGGTGATGCATCATCTTTTCGACATTGCATCAACGATGAGAAGATTTCAAAAACCTCAAGATGCATATAGAATTTACCCTAATAAAACTTTACAACACATTTAATAAAGATGAAGCTTGACACCACAATGCACTAGTTCTAATCCTTACCAAGCCCCTCAGGTTTGAAACACCCTGTAAGGCTTAAAATTTATAGGCTCCACCTCGCTAAACATCATCCGAGATCATACTGTAATGATAATCTGATAATCTTCCAAGTCAAAGCTCAGCTGTCCCTCCTCCACTCGCTTTTTTCCATCACCAACTTCTCCAACGCGAAATGTCGTTCTTTACACCCCGCCATGCCGCTCTTTTGCTTTCAATTGCAATCGTATGCGTATATGCTCAAGGCCATGCTCCATCTGTTGCAAGCATGAGCTTGCCGGAGATAGAGGAACAGCTACAAGTAAGCTCACACTATAGTCTTTCTGAATCCTATCTAACCATTTCAACTCGATAGCAATGTCCTCTTGTGCAAGATCTTAATGCATATAAACAAGTGACATCTCCAGTTACCTCGACTCTTACTTCCCGCATATTTGCAGTCCTCTTCCCTTCCACGCCCGCTGTCAATGCCCTTTTAGCAACGCTTTATATCTCTGGACCTCCCAATTTCCTCCTCGCTTTATGTCCACCGAATATCGACCCCTCTTCTCTTTCGGTAATGGTAGCATTCGCAGTTGGTGGGCTTCTAGGTGATACATTATTCCATCTCCTTCCTGAAATCTTCCTCGGCGAGGATGCCCACGAAAATGTGCGATTTGTCTTGGTAGAACCAAACCGTAATTTATTGCTGGGTGTTGCGATCATGGTTGGATTCGTTACATTTGTTGCTATGGATAAAGCGTTAAGAATTGCTACGGGTGGAGAAGGTCATGATCATTCACATAGCCATGGACATGGACATGGCAATGAGAAGGAAACCTCCGCTATTTCAAGCAATTTGGATGATACACCTGCCAAAAGTACTAGATCAAGAAAGAAGGACAATGGAAAGTCAATTGTTGAGGTTGAGACGACTGAAAAAGAAATCAATTCCAGTGTGAAGCTTGCTGGGTATCTTAATCTCATGTATGGCCTACTGCGAAACTAGTATGGGGTTCCTTTGCTAATTATACTACAGCGCGGATTTCACCCACAACATCACAGATGGTCTCGCCATGTCCTCCTCCTTCTATGCGTCGCCAACCATTGGCGCAACAACCACCGTCGCAGTATTTTTCCACGAAATCCCTCACGAAGTTGGTGATTTTGCCCTCTTGATCCAATCTGGTTTCTCCAAACGCGCAGCCATGGGCGCACAATTCGTAACCGCACTCGGAGCGCTCCTCGGCACAGTTATTGGTATCATGATACAAGAATATGGGTCAAGTACAGATGAAGGCGGCATTGGCAGATTCGACGGACTGATGGGCACAAGTTTAGAGTGGGGTGATATGTTGTTACCATTTACTGCTGGAACGTTCTTATATGTGGGAACCGTAGCTGTTATCCCGGAATTGCTGGAGACAGGAAAGGATAGGGGTGTTGAGTTGACAAAGACTCTGAAACAATTTATGGCTATGGCTACAGGAGCTGGAATTATGCTTTAGTAGGTTTTGACCTTTTCCATCGAGTCTGGTACAGTTGCTAACAATATATAGCATTTCTTGGTCATAGAACATTCATAGAACGAGATTTCATGATTCAAAGAGATGGCTTACACGGGGTTATGATATAGCTTCGGGCTTTTGGAAACGTTGCACATCATATACGTCGATAGAAGTGGGATGAAGGGGTTAAAAGGTTTTGGATAAAGCCATCGCAAAAAATCTAACATATCATGGCAGCCAAGGCCCATACATTTTTATCTTTCCTTTAATATGGATGAAAATGTTTGAAGCCCGAGTGCAGCTGTGTTGTGAGTGCTCATTTGATACCATGCAACGCCAGTCCCTTCCGATCCTCTAAAAAAAAATGCTTCGTGATAGTCATAATCATAATCTTGCCTTCCGCCTTCCTAATCTAGACTTGGTGCCAATGCAATCAAGCTAAATCTCAACTCAGCACCATTCTCCTCTTCTCTCTTCAAAAACTTCCTCACTCCCCAATCTAATGCCTTCTCACTAAGGACATCTTCATCTGGTCCCAGTGACCCTAAGTCGAGTGGACCTCTTCTCCTCCCATCCATCTCCCACAGATTATTCTTCTCGTCTTTCACGAAACATACGTAGTGTAAATCGACGTTGTCTTCGGCATCGGGTGTAGAGGACTGGCCTTGGGTTGCGGCGCTTTGATGGGCGGATTCAAGGGCTTGGGAATTATATAGAAGATCTGCGCGATCGACGGCGCTGAGCGGAATTGCGTCTTTAATTAGCTTCCCCAGAGGGGTATCTTGTCCTACAGAAGGGAAAATAGTGTTAAGACTTGCCCAAAGGATAAGAGGAGCATAGAACATACCAACAAAACCCTTTGCAGCTCCGTTACTCACAGCATGCAAGAGCCCAATTAAACCACATGCATTCCTAATAGTCTGTTTGTACCAAATAACTGGTTCATTCTCTCCTTTGCCCTTATAATCCTCCCGGTCCTTATCCTCAGAATAGCGAAATTCTTCATAGCTTTTCGAGACTGGGAAAACTAACAAGAGAGCGAGAGCGGGACGGGGGATGAAAGAGAGAAAGGATGGCTCTTCAATGGAGAATACGTCGTGGAAGGAGAGTGTGGTTGAAAGTCCGAGCTTATGGAGGAGAGAGGACATTACTTCGGGGTTGTTTTCTGGAGTGGTTAGCTTGGGGTAATGGGACGCTTGAGCGGAGCAAGAGATGAGATAACCTTACCTAAAGGAATAAAAGCCTTCTTGTTTGAAGGGACATCTGGGTTTTCTGCTGCTTCCGCCATCTTGGCTTTGTGGTTTGAAGTAATGAGAATTCTAGATATTGATTATTTGAGGTTTTGATTGAAGGAAGCGTTGAGAGTTAAAGGCACCTCATGCCACTACGTAATATGGGATTACCCCACTGTTCGGATAATCAAATACGCCGGCTTCCGAAGCCCGACATAAGATCTCATCAATCGAGCAAGGTTACTCCCCATAATCAGGACTTCGAAATTATTTCTTTATATTCTTGAATATTGGCTTTTTGGCGCCTGATGATAGATTTTGCTGCTCTTTTAATGGCTTTAACTAAGGATATACTTTTACCTCTCACGATGCCCTATCTTACGATCTGCATTCCTTTGGGCAGGGCTTCATCCATTTGTTGCACCCCTCATAGTAGTTCTAGAAGAAGTCCATATCCCCAACGCCATACTCGGCTTCAATGTCATTCGAGCCATTAATATGATTTCAGAGACTGAAACATTCTCCAAATTGTATTAGAAGACTGCGCCGCCAATCTACTTTGACCATTCAACATAACATGTCGAATTAGAGTTTTATTTTGAAACAGCCTTGCTTTTTGGTCTCAAATTTTTAATTTATGGACCCGCATATATCCATGATTTTCACGTAACTTCATGGTTAACTTTGACGGAGATTGTCTCATTGTTCTTTTCGTTCTCGTTTGTCTATTGGCATTATGCGTTTGAAAGCTTTGGAAGTTTTCCATTGCCTCGTTTGAGGTATAATTTTATCTGCAGCATTTCTAATAACAATAAAGGTAGAGCAACTTTCTTTGCCGAAAGCTCACTAAATGAAACCATAATATATGAGATGCGGAATTGTCCGGTTCGCAGAGAAGACTGACTATATATACCTATATAAGTTGGCTTTTCGGACCGTGTACCCTTTCATCCAAAGTATCACTGTGTGACTCCTCTTGTTAATCCAATTCGTTATAACACGGTAACGCATATCAATACACTCATTTGTTTAACATCCATACATACATTCATTCACAACTTTTTAATCATGTCGCTTCACTCTTTCCTTGGATTGTCATTGTTGATACTTGCCTCTGTAGTACAGGCGCAAGATTGTCCAAATCAATTTGAAGGACGCATACCAGTAGGAACTACACCAAGTGCATTTGATAATACAAATCTCTATAATCCTAAATATAACTTTGGAGCGAGTATGTTAGCTATTCCTCTTTAATAACATTTCTTTTGACATTTCCAGATCTCACGTGGAGCGAAATAATCAAAATCCCATCTGATATTCCCTCTTCATTGGTAAGCTATTCCATTCGCCATATTTCGCACGACTAATGACAGCTCAGTATGACGGAAACTCAACTATCCCCTTCGAGGTCACCCTCTCCGATGCCTCCATCTATGCTCCCTCCTCGACCAATGTTCAAGTCGGATTTCGTCGTGCCGAATTGATGCCTGCATCAAACAATGGCTCCGATCCATCGACTATTGGTGTCAAGACTCTTCATTTCTCCATCATGAAAGATGAATCCCGTAAATTGAACCTTAGCCACGAGTACCAAATTGTCTTCCTTGAAAGTGCAGATTTCAGCACAAATCAAATTGTGTTAAAGACGGGTTCCATCTTAGACACCAACATCACGGATCCAAATGTCTTGAGAGTCGTAGGAAATGTTAATGAAGGGGCCAAAGAACTTTTCACCACCCCATTTACTGATGGATGGCACAACTTTGCTTTGAAGTTGGATTTCAGAGCCAAGTTTGTTTCCCAATCCTTTCCTTCACAAATCCAACTAACCTTCTATCAGCACAACCCAAGTTTTCTACTCCGCCTCTTCCAAACCTCTTGCATCTGTAAGCGAAGCGTTGTCCAACGATCTCTCAGGACGAGGTCAATACCACTTCGGCTTGTTGAAAAAGCCAACGAATTTTGCTCCTGGTGCGGATATCACAAAGAACGGGTTCCAGGAAAGTGGAATTAATGAGGGATTGATTTTTGGCGGTATTTTCATGGTTGATAGCGAAAACTGTGATGGTGATCTGTGCGAGGCTTGAGAGGTTTCTATTAAATGAATGAGAATGATTCGGGTTTGGAAAGGGCTACGGTTATGACCTTTTTTAAGAACGAAATTACGCCCTGATGTTTTGGTGTCGGAATACTTTTTTGGAAAATGATATTTATTTTCTTCAACAATAATATCTCCAGAGATTAATCTATGTCCCTCGTGTGAGAAATTATTTGTTATGATGAAATTTCAATATTGACCAGCTTTCCAGTGAGCTCATAACTCCTTGTGAAGTAATCCTCGGCGCCTATAAAATGCATCCTATTATTCTCATATTTGCCTTTTATTCAATACTCAATACCGCACATCCATCGTTACTTAATATTCCATTCCACCATTCCTGACCCCAAATTATTATTCAAGGATTTTGTGAGTTTATCGAATTCATTACTTATTAATTCCATCAATTCTATCACGTCATATACATTGATATATATTATCACCACCTGATATTGATACAGCAGTGCATGTACACCTATCATCAAAGAATTAAAGATCTACACCACCTACTACTATTGATTTTCTCATAGTGATCTTCTGGGGGAAGTAAGTTTGAGGATAGATAGTGCTAATATGGGAAATATTATTGGTAATTTGTTTGTAAGAAATTCTGGGTGTAGATAATTTTTTGGGGGGGTGTTGGGGGGGATAATGATGGAATTTGACGTAAGCCTAGGGATAATTATACAAATAAAAGGTGGTTATGATGTGTAAGTGGGTAGATATTATGATGTTTTGAATTTAATCGTATTATTTATAAGTTTTAAATTTTAGTATGTAAATTTCAAATCAAACTTCAAACTTCAAAAACTAAAAATGTAAAAAAGGTTTGCATGTACAGACAGACCCGAATCAACGCACAAAAATTGTAGCATAGGATATAATCCTAATTGAAAGCAAGAAATGATAATAGTCACATGATTAAGGACCGCTGGCGCAACGGTAGCGCGTTCGACTCCAGATCGAAAGGTTATCCGTTCAAATCGGGTGTGGTTCAATACCTCCGACAATCAAGTGACTTTTTGTAATTTTTTTGTAGCTTCTTTTTTCTGCGAGGTTTGGATGGGATGAGGTTTTTTAGGCGTGGAGGGAGTGTTCTTTTTGATGATAGTGATGGATAGTGGTGAGGTGAGGTGGGGTATGAGGATGATGGATGAAGGGGTTAGCCGAGTGAGTGAGTGAGTGAGTGGCTGACTGATCAATGCTGGCGAGATTAAGATTCAAATCAATGAGAAAGAAGTGTTCCTTTTATAGAAATTGGAAGAGGAAGCAAGTTTCAAGTCTTTTTAAATAGCCGTTTCAATAGGTTTGATTTAAATGTTTCGAGGGATTGATTGGATGGTCTACAAGAAAGAAGTAAGTTCATCGGATGTGTATAGATGGCAACTTCAGCCTATTCATAAGTATCGACTGCAATGGGTTTGCTGTAAGGATCTTGTGTTGATTAGGATGGATTAGTGCCATTTCTGAAAACTGTATGTATGTATGGGTCTATGTTAGAATTGATGGGGCATTTGAATCAGATGTCAGATGGTAGTGATAAGGATAAGGAAACCTGAGTTGATGAAATTCTTCTGTGATCAAGAAGAAATAAAGTATCATCCATTGATTAGAGCCTTTTTATGAGAAAAATTGAATTTATCACAGGAAGCAGATTGACGGGGAACTGATGATATAGAAAGTATTCAAAGTAGTGTAAAATCTTACCAAAGAGTTCGTGATGAAGTGGCCATGATATAGACCATAGGGAGGATATCATGACTCATGGAGGTCTCCTTCCTTTCAACTAGCATATCACCAACATTTCCAAGCTTTATTTCTATCATTTTCTTTAAACGACATGACTACTTACCCACATCATTCTCATTGTCAAAACCTTGTAATTTCATGATCTCGTCACTCGGACAAGAACATCATCACATCCTCACCTCAAATGGCATCTAGAGCATGGAAACCAGCAGAACCGGCGTATCTACAAGAACTATTTCAGGATAATCATAACAACATGGCGTTTCTGGAAGGACAGTAACAAGCTAGGGAGAAGCTTATCGAGAAGATGAATGAAATATTTCTACCTAACAACCAGAATAGGATATTTTTTGTAAGATATATGGGGGAACCTCTGAGGCGGTGAATGGAGGCTCATCCACGTCCGGAGACTGTTGAGGAGCAGCTGGATAGTGATAGGATGAGGAGAGTGACACGGATGGGAAGAGCGGACGGGGATACAAAGGAGGAGACGAAGTGGGGACGGAGGAATAATATGGTGGCAAACAAGACTAAGAAGAAGAGAATGAGGAGGAAAACAAGGAGGAGAGACAATCTAAAAGAATAAGGAGGAAAACCGCTGCAGCAGATAGCGGGAAAGTGAATAAGAAAGTACTGAAGCGAGAGAGATAGCTGATGGCAGTAAACCTCCCCAGGTACCTGCTAGGTAGCACCTAGCTGTATTCAGTCTGGACATATATCGGCGTAAGAATGGAGAAAACACCACCAATGAAGCTAGATAGCTGTACAATGATGGTGCTATTGAAATGGTTGCTTCGGTCCTCGTGATTTCAGAATCGAGTTTGCTTGAGGATTCTCCGGTCCATTGAGTGAAATCTTGACATCTCTTCATGAACGGCAATGAAGGGCATACGGCGCTTTTTCCATTGCCGGTTTTTGATTACCCATACCTAAGAAAGTTTTATCTCATGAATACACCTTTTTACCAGGGAACTCAGTTGCGCAGGCGCCTTTGTGCATAGCCTTCATCGTCTCGGAGGTTTTGGAAATATTACCTTGACATAAGCTTCCGAACATTTCTTTTGTTTAATCTGAGGTCAGTGGCTTCTAGACGACATCATCTTATGATCATGCGAATGTTTTACACAATAATACAATCGTATATCGTAATGTTTAGCTTGGATTCATCATGGGCAGCGAAGTACTATGTATCTAGATATCAAAACATCTTAGCTTTAACTCCAAAAAATTCGCACACTACCTAAAGTTAGAGGGATTATTTTACGACGGCGGAGTTTGGGGCCTAGACCCAAAAAACTCTGCAGTACCAACCAGGTTGCCAAATTTTACATAATCGCATTGGAAAGATTTTTGCGTGCATTTTTTTATTAGTAACAATGCTGCATTGTTTTCATACACACAGAACATGACTCTAAGTGCGAGCAGTAGATTCCAAGCTATAGCAACGAGAACCTTGTTATCTATGTATGTGATACAAGAAAGATAGTCTACGAGTCTACCAAGATAGCGAATGATTGATATCAGAGCGGATAACAAGAGCTGACGGAGCTGCAGTGTCGATATTAGCAATAGTGTTTCAATACACTCTTGCTCTGGCGGGAGATGGCCTGGCATGGTGGGATACTGAAATAAGATCACCACGAAAAGTGAGGTAATTGATTCGGGTGGCATGGGTCCCGAGAACTGGCGGGGGAGAGCAATTCCAAGAGGCAGAGTGCAGATACGATGTTTGTGCTGAAGATGTCATATGTTCTGGACTTCCCAACGTTGTCTACTACAACTCAGCCGCAAATTATATATCTCCTCCCTCTAGCCTCATAAGATATCAACAGAAGCGAAAATAGTGGGTGAAAGTGACTTTGATATAAACCTCATGGAGTTAAACAAACTAGAACATTGGCGAACAATTATGCAATTCGTATCTAAATATTGACAGTGTGTTGTTGAAACCATGAGGTGACAATGATAAGCATTTGGAGATATCATGACTTTGCTGAACATCCACACTTGTGATGTCTTTCGTGGTACCACGTACAAGAAATCACTTTTACCCTAAAGAGCGACAAAGAACCAGAAGATTGAGAGACAAACCCACACTACCTCTACTATAATTTTCATCCCCTTTCTTCATTCTCCTCATCTTCTTCGTCTTAATCGTAAGGAAGTCAATCATTATTACCTAACTCTCGAAACTCCTTTGTTGTAAGACACTAGAGATTGCCACTCCCATTGAATATTCAGCTTCAAAGATTGTGAATATCCTATTGCTGTCCCTCATTGCTCCTTGGAACATTTGTCCTAGTCACCCAGTCCTACGTATATCTCTCATTATCGAATACCAAGAATTTGCATTTGTGAAAAGGCAACAAGCACAGCTCCAGGCAGCCCTCCTGAAACGTGATACAGAGGACCTCTCATGGTGGAACTCAAGTGTTTTTCATACCTCAGGTCATACAACCCCAAGCCACCGTCGGGAAGAATACAGACAGCATTGTCTTCGCATTTCGTTTGTGAAATCGTTCGCAAGGTTCAATACACAGTCAAGTCCTTACTCGACTTAGCTGAATCATTCTTGAAGCCAAGAACCCTCCAAGCGTTGGCGATATTTTTGAGAATTACTCTATGTCGCCCAGTCCGAACAGCTCACAGCCAAGTGGCCTTATCGCACGGCACTTGGGAGTGCAATCAAAGGTGACTTTGAATATGCTAGCGGAACGACAAAATGGTCGTCCGGAACCTTATTTCGCGGTATTCTCAACGATGATTGTCTGCTTGGCGATGAGCACTTACTCGTAGTCTCGTACATCCCTTTACCCTTTCATACGGCGACATGGTTTGCGATGTCGGGATCTCCTGTCTGAAGCTCGTTCCTCAAACGTTCTTCAAGCGGCCTTAAGGTTTTCTTCAAGAATTCATGCTTGCTTGGCATGTCGGTACTTACTTGTTCGTGAATGGCCAATTGCCTTTCCAAATTGTGAAGAATTAATTATTCATCCCATTCATATATTTTCATAACAGATGTGGCAAAAATACCTCGGGAGTGACTTTCCATGTGCGCGTCTTGAAAGACGGTGAGACTTTCATGCCACGACACAGACCGCGGTGAATGGCCCCCAAAATATACCAAGTAAGACATTTCCCCAACCTCCTTCAACTTAATCTTTACCGAACTGAACCCCAACAATCGACAACGAATACATCGTCATGTAATTTATCCACTGCAATCGATACTCACCGTATCAATATCGATAGCATCAATGTTGAGACATATTAACCTTATACGATGTCCCGCATCAGTATTCTGGTCCGCCCATCGGGACAATAGCGGATATTGTCTCTCAATGTTACTGCCCATAATCAGGTACGGGTTCCACTTCAAGTATTGCATGTATGAACGATGCGAAAGGGTTCCCCGTGCCCAGACTCCTCCACTCTCCATCCTCCACATTTCGAAGTCCTTTCAATTTTCAAATCTTCCTCTAGCACGGAGTAACGAGTGGAGACCCCGACCGAGGAATACAAAATGCGGATGAAGACATGGACGGAACACCAAAGGGATGATCCCTCACGTTCCCTCGGCGTGGAGCTTGAAAAGAGCGGGCGCGGCCCGATTGCGTTCGCTGGTGCGGTGGAGCACGTTCTTCAATGGAGTTCGAAATTCGAATTCAGAAGCGGTGGATGAGCTTTGAGCTGTATGAGCCGAGGATGACTGGCAATAACAGAAACAAACTAAACTGCCACTCACCGTGCCATCGTAACTATTCGCCGCTCTCGCTCTGCGTGCTGCATCGCACGCGGCCTCGTTGTCGCTGGACCGAGCGCATACTGCATATGCGTTCAGGCACAATTTAAGCATGTTGCGCACTGGTATTATTATACTCGAAAATATTTGCAGCAACTCACCGAAGATCCACCACCGATTCAGACAGCGTCGCAGCGAAGACTCAATGAGCCACTACAGCAAAGAAAGAAGAGACCCTCACAAGCTCTTTTCCCCAAAACAGTCGCACGCAAGCAAACAATATGCGGCCCACCATAGCTACAAACAAGCAAAGAAGCAAAGGAACAAACCGACAGACCATGCAGAAAACGAACCCATCACCGCTGTAAGCCATTCCTTTTCTTCCCACAGATTTTTATTTCTGTCCAACTCGCTCCAATTTTCAAGGCACGCGGTGGATACATACAGGTACAATAAATTAGCATTCCTCCATATCGCTCGATAGACAGGGGAAGTACCCTGTTTATCCATGTGATCATAGCATCCTGCTTGTTTCCCGGGTGATATCGTAACATCTACTGCCAAATCCATAAAATTTCTCCTGCAAGCTGCCAGGGCCAACATTAAATTATCCACACGCGCAGGAGGTAATTTTGTACCTGCCTTGATTCCCTCGAATGACCCCTCGCTAAATCGACTCGTCCGCAAACCAGCGGGTCTGAATATGTCCACTAAGTTCAAGATGGGATAATCCAGGTACCAATTCATCGAGGAAATTTCCTGTGGTGGAGATTATGTTAATTTTTTCGTGTTGGAGCTTGTACGGTGGACTGTAAGGTAGAAGGATTCGATAATCATAGTAATAATAATGGAAAATATGTGTCTTTATTTCGGGATTGCTTAAATGAACTATTGTTTAATAAATGGATGGGTAAAGGCGCTTATTTGTGAAACCCAATAACTCCAGGTAAAGAGTGAAGATCTGGATTAAACAGAGAGCCTACGAGAGTGGAACAGAGCTTAGGGAAATTAGAGAGAAAATGAATGGAGCCTTGGAATTTCGAAGAAGGAAACGGTAGTGAACGGCGGCAGAGTAATTCCCCATCTAATCTAATGTCAAGGAAAAGAGAATCCCAAAATTTATGAAAAAGTTTTATTCAATCAAAATCACTGTCAAATCACTCAAGCATAAGGCACACATCAGGATAATGTAATGAAGTCGTTCCATTTCTCAGTATATACATCTTATCATCCTCTTCTTCTCTGTGACATAAACACATCCCTGGAATATCCCAACCCATTTACCCATCTATGATATAGAGTACTATTCAAACATAAAACATAAAACATAAAGAAATCTCGCATCTCGTAATAAAGGTCTATAAGGTGTAAAAGAGTTATGGATTAAGGTAGGCGACAATTAAAGGTGTATGACGACAAAGGCGGTGGTGGTGTTGAAACGTTGAAGTTCGCAGCTCCGTACGGGCAGGCTATGTTGACATGTTTCGTGACCACATTGACAGTGTCGGATCAATGATGACGAGGGGATATTAGGAACGCCTTTCTTCTCCAAGTTCTCCAGATGAAAGTGTCAAATTTTTTGTGGCTTTTTTGATATTTTTCTTGCTTTTTCCAACTGTCTTGTCTATTCAAGAGAGTGGTACCCAATTCATTAACGTGATATCTAATCATCATCCTCAACCTCAGCTTGCTTTTGCACAATGTGGTAACGGTGGATACCGTCAACTTGGGAGTGTTCAATGGCGACCTTGGAAAGGTGGGCAATGATGTTCTCCAATTGAGTATCAGCGTGGCTGCGTCTGGCACGTCCAAGGTTGTCCAACCACGACCATTGGTTCATCAAGTAGTAAACAATGGCAGTGACGATGGTGACACCTATAGAGAAACCCCAAACGATGACGACAGTGACGATAGAGGTGTGGCCGTTCTCGGAAAGGAGCATGTTCTTGGTAGCTGGGTCAGATTGCTCACCAGCATTACCGCACAACCAACCGAAGACACAGAAGAGGGTAGCGATGACATCGACCAAGAAGATGGCGATAACCAATTGCCACGATGGCCAGGTGTTACCACCACGGGTGACGAAGATGAGCCAGTTCTCGGTGAGAGACACTTCCAAGAAGAGCATACCTTGAATAGATCCGAAGTTCTCGATGAAACCACCGTTTGGCAAGAAGAGAGCACCACGCATAACCCAGGTACCGAGAGCAAGCAATATACCGAGGACGACGGAAATGATCCAAATCTTTGGCAATTGCCATTCGACTGGGCGTTGTTCGAAGTGAGCGTTGTCATAAGCGACGGCAATGGTGGCCAAATCAGCGAAGAGGGCAAGGAAGACGATGAGCTCGACACGGATAGTCTCGTTGATGATAACCATAGAAGTAACCAAGTAGATTTCCAAGTGAAGACAGAGAGCAATACGGTATTGGATATAAGCCTTCATACGTTGGAAAATTTGACGAGCGATCTTGATGGCAGAGACGATAGTGTTAAGACCAGGAGCGAGGAAGACGATATCAGCAGCGGCTTGAGCAGCTTCAGTTGAACCTTCGACAGCAATACCACAGTCGGATTTCTTGAGAGAAGGAGCGTCGTTAACACCATCACCAGTCATAGCAGTCAAATGTCCACGTTGTTGCAACATCTCGACGACTTGGTACTTGTGCTCAGGGAAAACCTCAGCGAAACCATCGGCGCGCTCGACCAAATCGTGTTGAGTAGTACCAGTAAGACCACCATGGATAAGTTTGTCAGAGTTGTAAACCTTGGTACCGAGAGCCAACATCTTGCAAGTTTCCTTGGCGATAGCGATAGCGTCACCAGTCAACATTTTAACGGAGAGACCAAGAACTTGAGCTTCGGCGATGGTAGCAGCGGTATCCTCACGGGGAGGGTCGAACATAGGAAGCATACCGAGCAATTGCCATGGTCCATTACCTTCCTTGACAGCAACACCGAGAGAACGGAAACCACGACGAGCGAATTCACCGGCCTTGGCCTTGTACATACTGGCAACCTCAACGGAACATTCAGACATTCTCAAGATAGCGCTGGGAGCACCCTTGGCACAAGTCCAGGTGACACCATCCTTGGTAACGATAGCAGTAATACGCTTAGAGACAGGGTCGAAAGGAGTGAAGTTCTCGGTTTTCCAGCCTTGTTCAAGGATCTTACGGGCAGCTGGGTAACGCTTGAGGGTGAGAATGGTAACTTTGTCGATAGGATCCAAAGACTTGACATTGTGGGAAGAAGCGAGAGCGGCGACAGCCATCATCCAGTTGACATCGACACCTTCAGCGACGAATGGTTCACGGATAGACAATTGGTTAGCAGTGAGAGTACCAGTCTTGTCAGAGCAGAGAACGTCAACACCGGCAAGGGACTCAATAGCAGTAAGCTTTTGGACAATGGCCTTCTCCTCAGCAAGGTAAGCAGCACCGACAGCGAGAGTGGTGGTGGTAACGACTGGGAGACCGACTGGAACACCGACAATCAAGAGGATAAGAGCGTAATGGAGTAAGTTGACGGAAGAGTGTTCTGGGGTAGCGAGTTGCAAGTGATGGAAAAAACCACCAATCCAGGCAATCAAGATCCAGCCGACGACCAAAACCAACAAAGAGGTACCGATGGAGTTCATGATAGCCTTGAAATGACCTTGATCTTTGGCACCAGTGACGAGAGAAGCAGTACGACCAACGAAGGACATGCGAGCACCGTGAGTGACAACGGCATAAGCCTTTCCACGCTTGCAACCAGTTGTGTAGTAGATAACATCAGCGACGTACTTGTCAACAGCCAAGGATTCACCAGTCATGGCAGATTGATCGATGGCGAGGAGAGCGTAACCAGAACCGTGCTTGCCTCCGTGAGCATCATCATCATCATCTTCTTCCTTTTCGCTCAATTCGTGGCTGCGTTGGTTGAGAAGTTCTTGTTGATAATTTTCGTATCCGTTAGGGTCGTCATAGGCACAGATAATTCTAGCGTCGGCGGGAACAACGTGTCCATCCTCAATAACGATCTGTTGATAGAAGAGTTAGTAATGTGATTGAGGACTGATGCTGTGTCCATGTGGTGTAACTTACGATGTCACCAGGGACCAATTCACGAGCCAAGATCTCGACTTCAGCGCCGTCACGAACAACAGTAGCCTTCAAAGCAATATCACCTGCGATTGAAGTCAGCAATGAGATTATATCGGATGGATTGATGTAATGACATACCCTTCAAACTGGCGACGACGTCAGCAGCTTGTTTTTCCTGGTACCAACCGACAACAGCGTTAAGCATAAGAATACCGATAATGACACCGAAATCAATCCAATCCCGCAGACCGGCGGCGAGGAGGACAGCAATTTCCATAACTGTAGCCGATGTTAGAACAATTCATCCCTGTGGAAATAAGGATTTACTAACCATAGAGTACAGGACCTCTGAAGAAACCAATGAACTTGATGAACAAGCTCTCGTTCTCAGTAGTCAATTCGTTCCATCCAGTCTTCTTGCGTCGGATTTCTACCTCTTGGGCAGAGAGACCCTGGCGCATACCGGTGTTGAGCCAGTCATCTGGAGTCTCGAACCCAGCTCCATCACTACTGCCAGTCTTCTTCTTGCTGAAGAGACCCCCCTTCTTCTTAGGGGCGTTCTCCTCTTCCTCGGCAGCAGCCTTTTCACCCTCTTCTCTTCCCTTGTATTTTGAAATATATCGTACGAGTTGACCATATTCTCCGAGCTTTTCGTCTTCGTACTCAGGTCTGGCCGCCGAAGCGCCATTCTCAACGTCTCCGTGAGCCATTGCGATGGTGGATGGTAGGATGTAAAGGAAAGATTATTATTAGTTCCCACCGTGCAAAGGCAAACCGAATAGACTGGAAAGAAAATGGATGGGAAGAGGAGGACAGAAGAGGATTATATATCTGAGAGACTAAGTGTGATCAACTATCCTAGTCCCAAGCAAGATCGGGTAAGGTTAACTTTCCATTTTTCTTCCTCACCCTTCGGCGTCATCCTCGGACAGTGGACACAGACATTTTTGACGGCACGACTGTGAATGGGAAGAGGAATCTACTAGGGGCCCTGGAACGAGACCCATGGATAAGCTTGAGCAAAGCAGGTCTCGTCTGAAGAGGGTCTGGCGAGGTCTGGGGCAGAAACCAACAACGGGCCTAGGGAAACTTTCCTATCGACTCGAGTTAGAAAGGTCACCGTATTGATTAAGAAAAAGTGGATGATATTTACTTAGTGTCATGGGAGTTAGTAGCGGTTTGTTTTGATTTTTGGTGAGGGATTTTCAAATGATTTCCCAAATGCTCCATTAAAACCCAGATCTTAGCTAGACCCGGCTTAGCGTTCGACGACCACGCCTAATTGAGTAAAGAATTGTATTCAATATCCGATCAAAATCCTTGACCGATTAACCTTTACTTCCTTCAATAATTGTGTACCTAGTAAGGAAAGCCGTGTTATCCAGTGTCAATCGTTGGAAATTTGAGGACTAGTCTTGACTGGGTAGTAATATCTGTTCTTACGCTCACCGTCACCTTCCAACATGACCTTTTCGAGCAAATGCCGAGAAATGTCCCATCCAATTGAGTTTAGCCCGCTTCAATTACGACTATCACGGTACGAGCTGGGTGTCGCTAAATCTATCGGTGAGTCGGATGCTTGGTCGGCAGCGAATGACGACTCGCCATTGTCAGATAGGAACTTGCCAATTGGCCAATCAGCGAGCGAGAAGTTCTAAAAGGTATGACAAGCAGCTGGATGCAATCATGAATCAGTATGGATGGATATGGCACATAATACCACTGTGAATGAGCAAATTCGGCAGTGAAGAGGCAACTTCAATCTGTCATATCAATAACTTCACCATAAGTGAGTAGGGAATAGGTATGAATACCGTGGTGATGAGGGGGCTGAAATCGAGGGGGCAAACAATCCGCTACATTAGGGATCTTCAGCTGCGGAGAAATGTACCTTTTGACTATGGGCAATTGCCTACAACTACTGCAGGATCGAGATGCATCGTGAGAATCACTGCATGCATGGGAATACCGTAGAAGTTTTAGAAGACGCCTAGATATCCATCCGTCCTACATTTACTGTATTCAATATTGCTTAGGTGACTGGAGCTGATAGCGCTGATAAAATCTCAGGGCTGGAAAGAGAGACATATGCCATGCCCTACATTTTGTCTTACCTCAGTCCTCAGACCCATCAATTTTTTTAAAAAAATACTACATGCTATATTCCTTCCCAACCTCCTTCAATCGCCGCGTCTACCTTCAGCGTTTCGAATCCAACATGGAATAAGGTATAACGTACAATGGATATCTCTCTCTGCGCTCGTTCTTCTTCCTTCAATGCTCAGGAAGATTGTGAAATTTCGGTATGCCTTCGGAAAGTACCTGGGTGTGCTCATACTTTTCCTTCTTGGACTATATGGTTTACTTGATATAGGAAGTTTGTGGGCTGCTATCGAATCTCTCGTCTCTAAGTTGCCAGCACACATGTACCTACAAGAAAAATAAAATGAGAACTCCATCTCACAATTTCCCACATCATAATTTCATATCACTAAGGCTGATTTTCATTGGGTAATGCTCTTCAAGATTGCAAATTTGCAAATAGTAATTTGCAACTTATCTTCATACCTATATGCTGCTTCCTTCCCAGTCCAGTCCTCTCCTATCCTATCCTATCCCAGACGCTCAATAATTAATCGTACGTGATTGGCGCGTAAGTAACTTTGTTTACCTCATTTTACAAGCAGTAGTGGTATGGGGCACAATACGGTAGATAATGGCTATTGCGGGATGGAAATGGGTGCTGGGACCTGGGTTTGGACGGGGTGCCCGTAGGCAGGGCAAGGCGAGAAACAACAAGGTACGGGGAGATATCGATAGCAACTTGGGGACAGAGAGTTTGAGCCTTGAACTTCTTTGGCCGTAGGGAGCGACATGGTATCTGGTAGACGAGTCCGCTGTTGTGCTTTGCTTGTTGTTTTCCTTCAGGGTTTGACGTCTTTGCGTCGCTGTCAAACAATTTGAAGAAATTTGGGGATTTTGTCAAGTCATTCCCTGCAAAACTACGATTCCTTCACGAACTAAATTGTAAACAAAGCAAAATGGGATTAACAACCGGTGCACAATATCATCGAGAGACCTTGTTTCAAATAATCTCAATTAGAACTGGAATTACGAAGTAACTGAATCGTTCAGAGGATCTCTGAGGCTCCAAGACAATGAACACCCACACAGGCTTATCTCATCGGTATTGAACCCTACTCGCAATCTAAATTTTACGTTTTCAACAGCAGTGCTTTGGGAGATTTCCGGTGAAAGACAAGACCACTTGGGGCTTGGCCGATACAATAAGTGCACCGTGGTGAAAAAGAATATCATCTTGGCAATAAATAGATACCGATGTTTGAGACTTTTACTCTAGTAGGTACGACCCAGGACGAGGAGCCGCGCCTCTGTCTAAAAGGATGGATTTTCATAAGGGAATACAAACTAGAAACAATCAATGCCATATCCCACACACTCACATATGGCTGAACGCGCCATGAACTCCACAAGTTGATCCCACACGCCTACACCGAACACACTACACGTTTTTTTTTCACCAGCGTACACTTTAACAATTTTATTTTCCCCCTTCATTTCTCGCTTCTACTGTTTCCGTCCCCATTTCACAATTTTTCCCCTTTCACCTCTTCTCTCCGCACACATCCCCCTCACCGTACCAAACCTCATCGCAATAATCTCACTCCACCAATTCAAACCCATCTCCCCGGCATTGCGGCACGATAGCAATTGCGCTAAATGACGTTACTAAGACTATATCTCTCCTGTAATCGCAGGTTTCTCTACAGAACCGTGCAGCTATTCAGCGGGATGTAGTTAAGACAGTACGGAGGTATTTACTGGGATACCAGATCTTGCATAAAATTCTATGTAAATGACTAGGGAACCTGGATGAAGATGGGAACTAATTGTTTAGGTAAAGCTTGATCATGAAATTGACATTTTGAAGGTGGAGCATCTGAGATGATTGTTTATTTGCACTGACATTTTATACAATACAGTACATCCGTGGTGATTTGAATAATCTACATAAAATCATTGATACTGTAATTGGTATGGACAACATGCAATTATCGCGAACATGATTGAGGTACGCCACAGAGTGAAAGAAGAGGATGTGCTGTAGACTGTAGTCTTTCTTTCACCGTTGCTCGGCCTTTTTACCTACAGAAATACTGGAGAAAGATCAATATGTAATGTATATAGATCGCAGAAATAGAAGAACGCGGTCAAAACATATCCACCTCTTTGCATACCCTTTGCAAATCAAAAAGACGCGACGGAACCTGCCAACTGCATATCGGCAGCCTCATCCATCGTAAAGAGAATAATGGATAGAGGATGTATACATCCTTCCAGTGGAAGGCTTCCACTATTCAAACTTCAAGTCGCTCCGAATTTTGTCTCTGAAAATTAGGTCAGCTTGTCCAGTAAGCGCTCCTCATCCTAAACCTCCACTTTTGACCGGTGTAAGGGATATTTGTATTAGCAGTACCGAAAGGCACCGAATAACCGTTCAAAATCCCTCAAAATCCCCATCGCAATTATAATTGTCATTTGTCGGCTGTAGTTAACGATGTAATTATCCAATATATCCGATCCGATACATCATAGTTCCAATACAGTACTACCGTCACATCCATCAACCCATCGCAAAAATTCCGGAATTATTACCGTCATTTCCATTTGAGCGCGTGGAACTAAAAATACGTGAGATCTCTAAATTAGCTGAAAAGGCCTGCGATAACTTCATTACTCCCATCTGCATATGAACACAAAGGGCTGATTGCAATATAATCACTTCTGGGCATGCTTATCGTTGACGTGGTATTTTGCTTAGAGGGGATTTAAGTTTGACCCTGAGTTTTATTCACGCAAACCGCTGTGTTCTTAAAAATGAGTCAAGCAATTTCTCCTAGAGAGTTCTGTCTACAGTATATCACAGGATGACATTGATAGTCCTTGCCTACCGGGAGTCGACAAATGCTAATGTCAAAATGGTGACGAAATAATCTCCTTCATCGCCCAGAGCCGACACCAATGGACTCAAGTCGAGATCATGAACTTGTATTAGCATCGCATAGCTAACTAGAACCAACCGGTCACCTTCTCAACTGTAGTAAACCTGCCCAGGAATGGTTCACCCACCCTGATAAACTTCGGAAAAAATAATTCATACCCCAATTTTGTCTCTGAAAAAGGGCCTTTCTTTGGGGTACTCCGTATTTTCCCTTGGGGTATCAAAATTACCCCATGATAGACCATTCGAGCTTTAATAGGCTCTCATCCTTAGTAAGACTACTTTCACACTATAGAAACCTAGAAACCTAGCAAACCACTATTTGCTTGGGAGCAGTAGAATTTTCTTCTCGCAGCTTGATGATCACTTCTCGGCCGTTTTGATTTCGTTTCGCCTCATCTCATCGTTCGGATTTGAACCCTGCATAATTTCGAGCTGCAGCAAATGCAATGTAACTCTTTACCTACTCAAAGGGCAATTTGCGGATCCGAAAATGAAAGTTGTTATAGTCACGTGAAATATATGAAGGCAATTACACATTAACTGCTTTTTGTGCATTTACACAAGGCAGGTACAGTGAGATGCATACGTCAGAATCCGATCGGTTTCGGAGGACTAGTCTTGGTGGGGGGACAGTCCGGAAACATTATATCCCTCATTTGCATGGGGTTGAGTGCGACAGGCACGCGAGCAACCCAAAAAAATCTTGCTCTAATAGATTGATTGATGTAAGAATCCATATGTAAGTCAGAGTGAACCATTGACAATTTACGAGTTTGCCGCCGCCTTTTTCTTTCTCCAGGTGGGCTTCCCATTCTGCATTCATGAATTCGACTTGGCCTTGCAAAGTCTGGTTTCACGGCTTCCCACGATGAGATGAGATAAGAATAAATCACTCTGCAACGGGCTGTCAATTCGAAGTACTCAAGAATTTTGTTTGACTATGTGATACGACCTTCACACATCTCACTTCTAGGCGTCTCAAGCCTATTAAGCCAAGCAGCCATGGCCTAAAATGAGAAATGCGAGTGTTTTCTAGCCTACAACGGTCAACCCGAAAGCAAAGGACGACACGAAGAACAAATTTTTCATCTCACTATTGCATGGAAGAAATTCTTCACAGGTGGCGATACTGGATTCCTCCAATTACGATTAAGCAATGCATGACATGCTTTTGGCTGTTCAACTTGTGGTTGCTTTTGATGGGTGCGCGACAAAGCACTACAAAATTAGGCGAAAATGAAGGGGAAATCCTTGATTTCGTTGCTAAAGTACCTCCACGGACCTCATGGTGCGGAAAGCTACAGGCATATTTTCTGCTCAGTGCAGTGTTTGGACACCCCCCACGAAAACACGATTGAATTCGAAAAGCCATGATTCGTGCACAAATTGACTGTTTGTTCAGGCTTGCGATTTGTTTGGGTAGATTCATTGATGGATGAAGATCTTGGAGAAAAGAACTCTAGTCGAGTCAATGATTACGGTAGGGTACAAAACTACTGGGAAGATATTTCACAATACTTGGTGAATCGCGCTTTGATCGAAAACACGCCCGAGGTCGGCAGCGGAATGGGCTGCAGGATAGAGCTAATTGAAGGGTGTATTCGTTTCCAATTGAACCTCTACATCCTTTCATAATGGAAATTTAGAAGAACTTGGATCAATTCAAATCTAATGCCGTCTCGTCGTGTTTTTTGTCCTTCAGGATTGATATCAAAATTTACATCGTGCTTTCGTTTCATGTTTTGCTTCCACCCGCCCTCCAACATCCCCTTGCAAATTTAACCTGGGAGAAGTTTCTATAGAGATCAGACGAGATAAAGTTTCGCAATTTTATGTTTATATATAGAAGCTTGGACGACAAGGCAGAATAAGCCGAAATCGTGAAAACTACGAGAGATATTTATGGAATGAGTACGGTCATACTGAGGGGTAGCACGAATATTTGTTTCTTATCGCGACAAGTGTCGGTATCGCATCTTGGATTTCAAAAGCCTCCAGAAAAATATAATATTAAATTCATGAAAGAAAAAAATCAAAATTTGATATGCTTGAATATCTGTTTCACGTATCTCAAAATATCTCAATCTCTTGAAATAACATCAATATCAAACTCTCAACAAAACACACAAGACTCAAATACTGGAATTTAGCTTCAATATTCATATTCACCTTGCCATATGTAAATCATTCTGAATCTTCCAAGAAAAGAGTTCATATACATATATCTTTTACGTTTCCAACGTGTATGGAAAATTAATACTAAGCATATGTCCACATGGTGAGTTAAGAATTTTCAAGGGGAGAAGGACGCGTCGGCAAATGTTTTGTACTTCAATACTCTTGAGTTCTTATTCCATTTTTAACTGCCACCAACGAGATGACTTCCCAATCAAATTTATTCAAAAAGAATTACTAGATTTCACACAACACACACCCAGGATGATTTTCAAATACCTTGATACAGCGGGAGGGCGGATCAAGCCTTGTTTCATGATTAAGACGAAGCGCGATCGTTTGTGCGCACGGGAGTGCTGAGTGTAGGATATGCACACCACACGTGGAGTAACTTGAACTTGAAGTTAGTGACGGGCTACGGGCTTGGTTCTCGTTGATATGTGGAAGGAAGGATATGCCGAGTGTTTTAAGATTTCTTGGAGGGAAGAAGGAGAGTCAGAGTGGGATGATCAATGGTGCTGGGTCAGAGACAGTAGGTTTCAGTAATTACTGGGTGGTTTAAGAGCCGTTTTTGGTGGCTCTCGATTGGGTAGAGGGCCTCCTTCCTGAGAGCATAGCATTATGGTGAATGAGTGGTGGAGAAGAGCTGTATCCAGTATTAGTATCGTCGAGGGGCGGTGGCACAATAGAGAGGCTATCAAATGGTAGCAGTTATTTTGATGCAATTCCTTACAGTTGAATGTAGATAGTATTATTTGCTTGATGTCAAAACTTTACTTCACAAATCCAACTACATGTACCAGTACAGTCAATAGAGAAAATCAAAAAGTCCAAATCCCACACAACATTTCACCTAGCATGAATCTTAAAAAAAAAAAGGTAACCCTCAACACAGACTCATTGCCATCTTCACCAACTGTCGTTGGAGTGAAGTCTCAAAAAAAAAAATCCTGATTACGTGAGCTCTTGTTACACTGTGTAGAATTGCCCCGCATCACAAAGGTGAATGGCATTTACTCAAAGAGGAAATGCCAATTTCCGAATCGGGATATTCAAAGATTTGATAAGCATGAGATGTTTTCAATATACTTCGCACCTCAATACATTAGATATTCTTGAAGTTTTTCATACTTGACTTGACCGCTATTTTCTGGTATATTCATGATCTAAAGATTAATTGATGTGTGAGGATTTACAGCTTATTCGGAAAGTCCTCATTTTGTCGCCAACGGGCTGAAATCAAGTTTTATATCCCTCAATTGACATCAAAACCACGCAAATTATGGATGGAAAAGGTCTTAAAGTTTCTGTGTATAAGAATTGGAATGTCCCATGCAAAGGGCAGTGGAAAGTTACCACATTCCCCTCCAAAGAAAGTTGCCTGCCAACCAGCAAATCTCCAACCTCAACTCATCCCTCCTCGCCCACAAACGCTCACCATAACGAGAGAGAACCAAGTCAAAACTTTGCTTTTGTCAATTCATCTTCCCAAGGAACACAAGCCGATGTAAATATACGAAAGTTTGTACGGAAACATGTGAGGAATGATTACCTTAGCAAGAGCCGGGAAAACAAAAGGAGGCCGAAAGTCCGTTCGACAACAATAAAAGACGTCGTGGATCCTCAGTCAGTGGTATACACTGGTGGCCGTCAAAATGATGATATCGTTATTGAAGGACTCATCGGGTTCCCAACCGCTCTCAGCTTGTCTCCATGGCCTATCGAAATGACACCAGAAACACATCGGTTGTTAAGCAGATATTTTACGTATGCTAGCTCGAAAATATATCCATTGCCCAAATACCTTTCCTCAAATCCTTTATGTTCAGCCGAATGGTTTCGTTTTACGATCAGTGATGCAGTAATGTTTCATGCGATATTGTATGCTGCCGCGCTCTATATCTCCTTGCTTCAAGGTGGGAAGGAATCGGAAGTTTCTGTGTACCATCTAGGGAAAGTTCTAGAGAATGCCAAAGATAAACTCCAAAAGGGTCAAATAGCAGATGACAGTACTATTGCTGCTCTGTCCTGTGTGGCTTCGGGAGAAGTAGGTTTATATTTTCACATCAAATTTTGCTACGTGATTAATTGATGTCTACTGACATTTCACCTAGGCATATACAGGTCATCCTGACTTATGGCACATTCACATGCGTGGTATACAACAAATGATTAAAACACGAGGCACAATGTCATCTCTACCTATCATTATACAGGCAAAACTTCGTCGGTAGGTCATTCTAATAGAAATTAGGAGAAATCGGGTTTTAATTGTCTTCAAGATCTGATGTCACCGGTGCGATTGATTATGCTGCTGAACCATATCTTTACTATGAGCCACGAAGCCATTCGGAAATATCAATATCTCAAATTTTACCTGCACATATGATCCACGCAGTCAATACCCGCATTGCAACTATATTCGCCAAATGCGCAATTCACTCAAATCTCATCGAAATCATGCAACATCTAGCTATCTTCTACCAATCAATTCAATTCGCTGCTTCATCTAAAAGCCTTCTGGAGCCAAGAGAGTTTCTCAACGATATTTACTGGATCGAGTATGAATTGTTATCGTTTCCCTCGTCCGCAGGGATAAAACAAGAATCAGGTATCAACAAAGCAACCCGTATCGGAGCTCTACTATTCATGAAATCGATTATTGATGAATTTCCACATTCGGCTATTGGCCCCTCGATCCTACTGCAACAACTACAAGATTCTCTATCCACAATTGATACCGCGAAAGTTACAGAACAATCTCGTCAGTGGCTGATTTGGTTATTTGCTATTGGCGCCGTGTACTCAAAGCGGGAGCGCATCTCACGAACCTGGTTTGTGGAGCAATTGGCGGGGTTGCATATGGAGCGCCTGAAGGATCTACTAGTTGACGGGCAAATACATGCAGAGAAGACAGGAGAATACGAAGAAGAATTCCAATTGTGGGAAATACTGGAGCTCAAAAACGTTATTGAGAAGAAGGAACTCTTGCTACTTTGGGATGATGTTTCTCGGTGGAGACTAAAGCTATACAGTTTGGAGGGGCAAATCGAAAATTCCGGGACCGAGACTCCCTAGGGCTAATTATTCACGGTACGCTGCAATAGGATGCATACATATCGACAAACATCACCACTATTCATGTATGTCTTGGACAAAGCCAATCCAAATGAATCGATGTCGTATGGTAGGGAACTCTGGAGATACCTCGGGAGGTGGCACAAACAACACGAATCAGCCATTCTCACGCTAAGCATATTCTACAGCTTCCAAGACCCTTCTAGCGTATTGCCTGAACAAGTCAATTAATATATTTTCGAATTCTACAGAGACCAAACCCGCAAATATTACGTGGCGAGTTTTGAACGATAGGTGGGTTCTTTTAGTTCGCCTCAAACTTCAATTCCGCGGTGTGAGGTGGAGATTTTTAGAGGACGCATGTAGGGACAGCGGTCGAACATCTCCGGGGATTGCCTTGGGATAGTGGGACTTGTCCAATTATTTCAATTGCAGCGTTGCAGTTACAACTTGGCGGTATTGACATGTCGGAAGATTCCCTAAAGACCCCATAAATGTTCAATGGAGAAACATAAATGAAAAGAAACGATCTTATGTGCCGCTCTTACCGTGCATAGGAATGTTTTCTTGAGTGAGGGATTTACTGGGATTTACTTTCCCGCAGCGAGATTTACGAATGTGGATTTGGAGAGCCGATTGATCCGACTTTTCTATTTGATTTGTTCGGGGAGTTGAGACTTGAGAGTCAACGTTAAAGGATACGCGACCGGATTGAAGGAGGGAGGAATTTCTTGAATGGATGTTAATAGTGTAGAAGCTCCGATTTTCGGTTGCGAACCAGTAGAAAATATACCTCAGTGGGTACGTCAGTGCAAAGCAGGATTTAGACGAATGTTTTATTCTAATATTATATGGCGATATTTGAGAAAATGGTCTAGATTCTTACTGCTGTACAAACCGGCCTACAAACATGTAAGGGACATAGCAGATCGCGACATGACAGACAGCATGACCTGAAGGGGTAAGGGAAGGCATCTTAGGATGGAACTTCACCATCATTTCTATTCTACGCCGTTGATTGCACCTCAGCTTGCGAGAAACCTATCTACCGCTAATTTGGACCGACAATCATTCAATACCATCACAAAGTACGGTCCTGCGGACGCTGAGTTATGAGAGTCACGATTTTATCCAAAGGCAAAGTTTTAATGCGAATCTTAAGCAACATCAATGGTATTGGGATCGTTAGTACTCAATTGAACCTGATGGTGTTAATACACTTCTCTGGTTGCCGTGGATCAACTAGTATTGGTACACTGTACCACTATTCGAACTGCTGATGGTTTGCTTCTAGAGCTAGGTCTTAAGTACATTGGCACTTGCGATTGTGTTTGGTTTGATTTGGTCGATGGTATAGTGTACTGCCCATGACGCAGAGGCAGGGGAAAAAAAGCGATTCGAAAGCGAGAGTTAAGGTGTCATACAACGACGATGCGACGATACGATGGTGCTCGACTGGCCATAGAATGGACATTCGGGGACATCCTCAGTTTAGGAATCCTATTAATCTTCCTTAGGCTTTATCGCTGGGTCTGGATTGGGATAGTGATGTATGAGAAGAGGGAGAAATCTTCTGCGACTAAGGGTTGCTCTTGACAAGTGTCTTTTCTTTTGATGGTCACAAATATGTTAGTTCCATATCTGCGTTCTTGGTAGTTGATACGGAGAGAAAGATATACTGCACCAGCAGAAAATTGAAGCTCATTTCTCACGACCAATATCATGCATGGGTGGTCTCTTTTTTCTAAGCGTGCTTCTAATTAGAGGTCGTTGAGCACTAATTGCCCTTCAAATTGGTACATGCTGAATCAGGGAAGAGAGGAAGATATACGAGCTAGTAGATATTTAGTCTATTCACTGTACTAGTGGATTCCAAAAAATACCAATGGCAAAATATCTCAAACGTCATGTTCAGCAGTGGGATTGCGTAAGAGATTTACGCATTCATGTGATGGATATCGTTTCTTTTAGGCGTCTTTCTACTTCTGCAATCCTTTCCAAATAAACTTCTTGCTGCTTCTAATGGTTTTAGTGTACGATACTTGTCGAGAACAAACATCGATCCGCTCCTGCTCCTCATACCAACCAATATTGATTGCTATTTCTAAGGCTGCCGTTAGTGGGATTTGCAGGGAATCTCCGATGATATCTGATATGACATATAACATCTGGCGTTTGGTATCTCGAATAGTTTAGCGGTGGAGTTATTGTAGTTACCTTTTTGCTAGTGGCTTTTTGCGACTGTCGTGACTGTTGTGTTGGTTCGGCCGGGTTGCTGGAGGAGGATGATATTATTATGTATTGATGTATTGGTATGGTATGGTATGGTATAGATGGAAGGAGGTTATGTCATCTTTGGGGTTAGGATGAATGAATGAATTAGTGGTTTGGTTGGGTAGTTAGGCAGTTGAATATATGGGTATATGGAGGGATATCTTAGAATACTGTGGAAGTTGGAACATGAGATGCAACGGACAGAGAGGCGCAAAACACAATACAATATACCATTGTAAGAGGTCATCTCATCGGTCATATAACTGAGTGGCCGTCCTGAAGGTCATCTGTTCATAAGATAAACTTGTTTATTTCTTAAGGGGGCATGATATACATAGTAATTGAACGCCGAGCTGGGGATTGGAATTACCTAGAGCTTAGTAATGTGGTAGATGGATAGAGAACTGGAATTGTTGAGATCGTAGTTATGAACGCATGATGGAAAGTCTATAATGTTTTTTTCTCCTTACTGCCGGTGTGAGTTGATTAGTTTGTTGGATCGATCATAGATAGGTTTGTTATATATCTTGCTGTTTTGTTGTTCTAATTATAGTTTTAGGAGAGTCCACGTAAATAATGAGGGCGTTGGATTTACGGTGATGGCGATGGCTTATGAGTATATTGAGAGCGGAAGGTAAGATGAGTACTTTTTTCCACATGAGTGCCATCATGATCTAATGCTTCCCTATAGATATAATTGGTTTGCTGCTTTGGTTGGGAACAGGAATGATATGTGTCTATTTTTTATTATCTGTTATGATTTATTGTTCTTGGAGGGGGAAGGCGAGGACGGAATGAAGATAAGTTGGAAGAGATGGACGGGTGTGATAAATAGAAGGAAGGCTTTCAAGCATATATGAGGAACCCGGGTTTGAGTTAAGTAAAATATGGATAGGTGGAAGAATGAAAGAGGTTTTTTGTATGTCTGTTGTTGGTTGGCTGTTATAGTAAGTTCTCCGGATGGGAAGAGGGGGAAAGATGGTGACTTTCTGTTGCATATCCCGCCTTGGTTATTTTCCATTAGTACTATTTAAAGAGCATCTTTTGCATATCTCGCCTCTATTCTGTATCAAAAGTATCATTTGAAGAGCATTTGTTGCATGTTTCTCCTTGATTGTTTCCCGCAAGAACCCTGATGGGGTTAGGAGGTACGAAAGGGTGGAAGGAACTGTCCCCGGTAAATCACAATAAAAGTTCATTCAGAATCTCTCTTTCTCTAGATTCGGAATCTGACTCTTTATTATTATTTATATGGCATAGGTTGTGGAATTGTTCTTCTTATGTGGTATATTCTATCTATACGACGATACGAGTTTCGGATCATAATAAATGAATAATTATTAAACGAATGTTTTGTTGCATATCTTTTCTATACGAGTATACGAGCTTCATTCCCTTCAACCTATTTAGCTCAACTAATCAATTAAATATATACCTCTTGTTGCATATCGCCTCTATACGAGAATGCGAAGTTTCTATGCTTAATTAATGCGGCTCTTTTCTAATATCTGCTTGGCCTCATTTATTTGCACTGGTTGACTTGAACATACATCTTATTATGTTGCATATCGCCTTTATACGAAATACGAGATTACTTCTAGAGCGCAGCCTTTAACTTCAATTTATTTAGCTTCAACCTGTCTGGTTTAGTTTGTATATACAGATTTAATGTTGCACATCTGCCCATACGAAAATACGAGTTCCTTTATATAGTGACCTCTATAAGAATTTCCAGTTAGTTCTTGTTGAGTTAACAGAGCCAGAGTCTGTATGCGTGCCAACCGCTTTCATAGTAGGTTTTTAAGCCGATGGAGGTTCAATATAGATGTAGCTCTTCTCACTAATCCATCTATCTTTCAAATCTAGCCTCACATTATTTTCAGTCTTAATTTTGTTGTTTATAGTAAGTTGACAGAGTCGGAATATAGTATGGATTTTAAATCCATGTGTGTTTTTATTGCATATCTGAACCTCTGGACACCTCAATTTTAAGGGATCAGTGACTTAGTTCGAAAGAGATGCGGCCCTTCTTCATATACGCATTCTGAGCAACGTATCTGTATACTTTGGTCCTACGTTAAATTTCTCACTTGTCTTATGTTGCATTTCGTAAGTTGGCAGAGTTGGAGGTTAGTATGAGGTGTTAGTTAATGAGTTTTTGTTACATATCTAGACACACTACCCCTCCGTTCTATTTCTCCCTTAAAGTATATACAAGTGTCGATATATTCTTCTCCGAAATTAGTACTAAAGCCATCGAAACTCCGCTATCCAACCCTTATTCGATGCAATCTGCCCTTTCTCCTTCAATATATTCAGCCTAGCCTACCTCAAATCCTCCTTGTGTTGCACATCGTATGTTGGCAGGGTTGGAACATAATATAATATAATCCGGTATAAATCCAAATAGTATAGATCTTAATATACATACTTTATATATATATATACTTCTATGTTACCCACTATACAACTCTTTAAATTCCTTTCGAACCTAATATAACAATATATTCCGTTTAAATAAATTTCGATTTAGAACTTAAACCTAGATTATTACAAATCATTAATCATCAATTATAAAATTATTATTTCTTTTATATTTATAAATAGAAATTATTTAATTAAAGAGAAATATAGATTTGTTATATATCTGAAATTAATAAAATTGTCTGTAATCAGATTTTAAAATATTAAAACGAGTTTCTTTTTATATATCAAAAGTTAATAAAATTAATACTAGTAAAGAAAATTCCAAATAATAAAATCATAAGTTTATATATATATACTTTGATATTAACTATGAAAGATAATAATAATAAAATAATCGGAACGTTTTCGAATATTATTTATTAAAGATTCGAGTTATTATCATTATCATCATCATCGTCATTATAATATTTGAAAAATAAAGAACACAACAAGAAAGCGGAGTCATAATTATACGAATAGTTCTCGTATGATAATGACAGTTGGTAGATTTGAGTTGTGGATGAATTGAAAGTAGATTCAAGCCGGCTTCGAATATGATAATGGCATTCTTAGGAAACTTATTGTGTCCTAAATAATGAGAAGAAATATCACATTCAGAAATAGAAGGAATAGACAGCTAATTAGATGAAATATTCCCACCGTTATTCTTACTTATTCTGCATTCGAACCTATATTATAAAGTTACAAAATTGTGTTTATTCTTTCACATGCGGAAATGTTATAAAATGGCATTGAAGGATAAGGTTACATAATTTCATCTAATAATTACTCTTAGAATTGAATAGTAAGCTTACAGGCGTTAGACTGAATATTGTAATAGATGAGGCGGAATGGATACTAATTATTTATTGATGCTAATAGCATTGATGAAATCTGTGGAAGGCAGATATGGTATGATAGTGCCCAAATCCAGCAAATTTTGTAAGATGTTTGGAATACTAGCGATAGATCTTCCACTTGAAACCGGAAAGGAAAGTCATCAGAGGGGAACAAATTTCGGTATTAAGAATGATTGGACCAGTAATTAGCTATCATAAATGAATGATTTTACCAAGAAGACATTTCTATTCTTTCTTCGGCTTCAGTTGGCTTCATTTGGCGTTCTTTCGTCTTATGAGGTAGCCGTGTTGGCTGGAGGGCTGGTACATGTTGATATCGTTGTCCACTGCAATAGATTCATTATCATCAGCATCAGCGCGAAAGATTATTGCAAGTAATACAATAATTGCTAATGGGAGTTAAAGAGAAATACTCACTGGTAGATAAGACGTCGATGTTGCGTTTCCTGGGATCGTCTCTGCTTTTACGAGGACGGGTATGATGGCTCCGGTTGTTAATCTGAAGACTTGGTGATTTAGGACTGTGTTATTTAAAGTTAGTGAAGTGTTATACTTCGAAATGAGAAAGGATAGGACCTGAGTCAAGCGATATTGTCAGGTACAGTCTGGAATATGTGTTTCATCCATCGACAGCAGGGTTCTAGCCAATCCATGACCATCTTGCTATCCGCTGTCAAGAGAACACTGAGTGATTGCAGTACAGAATCACATGAAAGAGAGCTCGAAATACGATCAAAACGACAAAACATACCTCTCAAAATACTAGAAATTTCCCCTGAATGACTTGTAATACTCAACCAAGTATTATCATCACTCTTGAAAACCTCATCCAAAACCTTCTTACTTCTAATATCCTGATCAATGGCAACTTCACCCTCAAGTTCCTTCCAAAGTAGATCATTTTCTGAGAATCCTTTCTCGATTTTATACGAGGGAAAGGATTCATGGATGAATGTTCGGTTACTTCTTCGATCACAAGTATGGCCGGAGATACCTTCCCGGAAAAGTTCTTTAATTAAGGGTTTGAAAGAACGAGATTTAGGAAGAGGAAGAGTGGAAAAGGTTACGTTTGCAGTTTCAAGACAGCGATAGAGAGGAGAGGTGTAGTAGGACTGCGGGGGCGGGATGTTTTGGAGCTGGATGCGCGAAAGCCAGTAGTCGGCGGCTTTTTGGGCCTGAGCGATTCCATTGGAATTTAAATGTGCGTCGGCCCACTAGAGGATGTTAACTTCACTTCATATATTCAGAGGAGTCCACTTACGGTGACGGTTGCATTACCATCGATCAAGGAATAATAACACTAAAGTCATCAGTTACATGCCGCAAAGCATATTCTCTACTCAAAAGAAGCACGTACATTCCACTACATTCATCATTAGCAATCTATCTATAAATACATTTCTCAATCGCAGTAACTTACAGCAGGAGTTCCATAATAAGTCTCAGCAGCATTGTGAAATCCTTCCCCATGTCTACCCATGAACAGGACCTTATAATTCACATTCTTCGGTGAGTTCTTGTTCAAAGAAGTAACATACTTCTCAAATTTTCGCCATTGGGTTTCATTTTTTGAGACGTGAGAGTCGGTGGAATAAGTTCGGTTAATGAGACCAAAGTTCCATTGAGTCTGTATTTGCGATTAGCTTGGCAAGGCTCAATACGTGTGTGATGGGATGAATTCTAAAATTGAAGTGTATCTCGAATGATGAGGGACATAGGAAATACATACATAATCAAAAATCGATGGATCTGTTGTTGCTTCATCTTGTAAGAAGAATCCTGGCACCGCAGTGTAGTTTATCCAACTCGCACCATGAGATCCCGTGCTTGACTGAGGATTATAATATGGAGCCGGGGTAGCACGAGGAGAATGAGCACCTGGGACAGCGCCCGCAATTGACAGAATGCTGAACCAAACAGTTAAAGAAAACATGATAACAATTGAAATCAAGAATCGACAGCTGAAGCATTCCATCGTCAAGAATCGGAATTCATCGTCTTTTTATATGAAATGGTAGATAGTGGGTTCCAATTCGCATCTAGGATTCATTTCAAGACCAGGATGCATCTTCAAATGCACCCCTTTGGCAATAAAATCTTATCTCTGCAGGTACACAAGCTCGGGTGAAATTGAGGTCCTATGGTTGGTGCACGTGGAGGTAAACATCCCACTGAGCTGGTTGAAGCGAAGCGAGGTTTTTCCATGGATATGGCAATGGAGATGATTCTGACAGCTTAGCACGTGATGAGACCAGTGTTTTCCCTATTTTTCTCTGTAGTATGTCTTGATACCAAGCTTTAAAAGAAATAGAGGTCAAAGTTTATTTTAGATTTGTTATTTCTATAGTTTACCGGGAACAGCTTTGTCTTATAGTTTGGATTATGTTGGTTGATCTTTATCGGGAGATTGACATTTCTGAGTAGATGAGGTTGGAAGGATCGATTAATTCCTGATAGAGTAGTCAGATATTGTGATTTCAATTAGTCCTTAGGTGAGAAGAGTTTACTTTGTATTCTTCTTCGACATCGCGAACCCTTCCGAAATATTGGCTGGCTAAGTTGACTTCGCTGTCAAGATGAAGAAGATACTCGTTCACGTGACCACCAAAATATGCTGGTCTTTTTTCATGTTCAATTGCTTTCATAAAGCTGACGGGAAACCCGAGAATGATCATGTTCGAAGGATAAACCCACCTTATCGGATAAGATTGTCTGGCCTTCTCTGATTCGTCGGATAGGTTAACCCCGTTCAAATGAGGGACGTCCGATCAATCTCAACGACATTTCAAACAAGAACAAAGTAATTGACGGAACTGCATTGAGGTTTCTGTCTACAAGATCAATTTCAGGCCAATTCCTTCAACGGCTTCTTCGAAATCTCGAGTGGTTTATAATGGAAGCGACAAATACCTCCAGCTCCGGAGGAATGGCAACTTCAGAATCAATTATGGACTATTTGGGAGACAGCCTCGATAAACTCGGTTGTCGCAGGATATATGTACCTTTTGTGGGCGAGGTGTACTTTGTATCACTTTACAGAATCGGGCTCTATCTGTGTCTGTTGATCATGCTGTCAATGAAAAATTCTGAGCTTCGAGCGGCAAAACAACAGCTTCGGAAGACTGAAGAGGCTCTGGAAGTGATGTCGGGTATTGTCGAGTGTTTTAACTCTCGTCCAAAAATGACCATCAGTCAGGTAGTTTACATAATACTTCCACCAAAGGGCATAATCACACTGACAACGGACAGCTTTATATATACCCAATAAAATCTCTTCGAGGATGTTCTCTTCCCTCGGCCACTCTCACTAAAGAAGGCTTTTCTTATGATCGAAAGTTTATGCTCCTCAAAATTCACGATAAGGGTTCTAAATCGGGTCATTATCAAAATATGCATGTACCTCATCATCCCGAAATGGTCCTATTCCATACATCCATTAAAGATTCAACTCTATATGTTACTTATCATTCACCTGACGCTCCCAATTCTCCAAACGAGGAACGTCCAACATTAGGAATCGAACTTTCACCTTCTACCTTTTCCAATCTTCAGCAAGTCAAGGTTGAAATGCATGGGAGCGCAATCACAGCTTATGATATGGGAGCGAAGTACAATGAATGGTTTACTAAATACTTTGGCTATGAAGTTATCCTTGCATATGCTGGCAATAACCGTCGACTCGTTCTTGGAAATCTCCCTGGAAAACCAGCAACTGAAGGTCCAACGAATTTGACGCCCACCATGAAACTCTTGCAACACATTCCTCTAATCAATTCATTGATTTCAAGTCAGGTTGATGAAACAATTGCCTTCAATGACTGCGCGCCTTACCTTGTCATTACGGAAACATCATGTGATGATGTGTCAAGTCGTCTACCAGGCGACACCAAAATGGATATTACCAAGTTCCGCGCCAATATAATTGTTTCAGGTTCCTGCTCCGCCTATGATGAAGACTACTGGGGCGGATTAACATTTGGTTCCGATAAAGACAAAGAAATTATTCTGACAGCCAATTGTGGAAGATGTGTATCTTTAAATGTCGACCATGAAAAAGGAACAGGAGCACCCAAAGGAGAAGGAGTATTGAAGTTATTGATGAAAGATAGGAGAGTAGATGAAGGTGTGAAGTACAGTCCTATTTTTGGAAGATATGGATTTCTCGGTGGCGGGAGTGAGGGGAAGATTTTGAGAGTTGGTGATGAAGTGAAAGTTTCGAAGAGAAATAAGGAAAGGACGAGATTTCGTAAGTTGAATTTTTGTGGTCTTTTGAATGATGTGGCTTGAGCTGATTATGAATGATAGATTGGCCTGGAATTTCGACTTGATTCTTCTGGACTTTTATTGTGCCGTACACAGAATACTGGGTCTGATAGAACTGGGATGAAAAAGGCAAGAAAGGTTGTTATGTGGATTCATAAATTGCTATTTACATCAATTTACAGAGCGGATGTCATAATTCTTCATTGCTTACTTCTAACCTGATACTTTAAGTATTGATTACATACAATAATCGTAGATACTTATTGGGTGATTGGTAGCTCTAGGTATTGTGTGTAGGTGATTAAAAATACGGAGAGGCAGAGAAGAAGGGAAGAAGGGAAGAAGGGAAGAAGGGAAATAAAACGGATTGTAGAAGGAGAAGTGAAGGAAAAGGGGGTTCAAAGCGGGTCAAGGATGCAGAACAAAAGATAGCGCTTCCACCATAATGATGAAAACCATAGTTACAATTTTGCTATTAATGAAGAAAAAAAAAACCTTATCTCCTTCTTCCCTTTCTTCCCTTTCTTCCCTCACTTTCTCACTCTCCTCCTCTCCCAGACTTTCTCCCGCCTTTCCCCAAAACTAGTACGGTTACAAGCTCGACCCGACCGGACGTAAGAGAAGGAATATGATCTTATCATCTAACTCATCTGCCTTGCAAGATTTCAATATGCGCTAGGTCGGGGAGAGGAGAGGAGTTTCAATAGAGTTTTGATAGCCTTGTTTTATTTTTTATTTATTTTTTGATGTGGGATGTGCGATGTGATGTGATGTACATTGATATTGTTCTATATTTAGTGATATTGTTGTATTGGTGTGATGGTGAGATGGTATATTTTTGAGGGGGGGGGCTTTGTATGGAGCTCGAGGGAGATTTATATGAGATAAGTGGAGGAGGGGAGGGTTTGGGATGTTTGGGATGGATGGATGGATGGTGGTGAGGAATAAAGAGAGATGTAGGAATTGTTAATATATAAGTATTTAAATATTATTATGTATTAGAAATAGTATTGAGTTAAAAAATTCGATGAAGTTGTATATTGTATAACATATTACTTTTATATCTCTTTAAATGAATTCTATATTTTTTTTTAAATTAATTATATTTTATAAAATAATAAAATCTACAAATTTAATAAAATATTTCAATTTTATATTATTTCATAATTAATTTTTTAAATTATAAAATTTATATTTTATACTTTTTATTTTTGAGTATAATTATACAAAATTTTATTTATATAATTTTTATATAAAAATAAACGAATTTTAAAATTTTACACTTTTATTCATATATAAATTTTTAAAAGTTATAAAATTATAAAAATATAAATAAAAATAAAATTTATATATTTTAATATATATTTTATAATATAAAATCTAATCATTATAGATTAAATACTATAAGATATAGAAGTAAAATATATTCAAATTGAGGGGTATAATAATCTTAATAATTTACTATATTATTAAATATATAAAGTTAAACTCGAGATGTGGCTAAGCGGCTAGTGGCTACATTACTAGTGCCTCGGCTGTGCCATTCGGTAGGTAAGACTGATTGTTCGCAAGTGAATAAAAATTCATACTAGACTCAATAATCAACCTCTTCCAGCCTTGGAAGTGCTTACCCTTCTCGACAGGTTAACGTTACTTCCTGTTCTATTACCATACTCTGATTTCCCATTCATTCTCGTAGCGATTCCCAAGATGATAGTTATTATAGCTTCCATTGCGCTTACCGCGCTGTTCCTTTGGATTACTTCCAAGATTGTGGCAGTACTTTCCTCCCCGCTTAATGCGATACCAAATGCCCATATCACAGCACCTTTCTCCCGATTATGGTTACTATGGATTAGAGCAAGAGGAGTCGAATTTTCCACGCATCTTGCTGCTCACCGACGTCTTGGCCCAGTGATAAGAATTGGTCCTCGAGAAATAAGTATCGATTGCATCAAAGATGGTGTGCGCACTGTATATGGAGGAAATTGGGATAAGTCAAGCTTATATGACAACTTTACACAATTTGGGTAAGTCATTTTGATGTTTCTATATATGATAAATGCTAAATGTGGAAGATTCTCACCATTGTTTGCTATACGACAAGCAAAGCCACATTCAGAAAGAAAGCGTGTCTTTACTCACATCTATTTGAAATCTACAATTATGAACTCCCCTGAACTTGCTGTGCTTCTGACTACTATTGGTCAGGACAGGCTGTTACCTAGATTGCAGCGAGCCACCAAGGAAGGTAAAGATGTGGATGTATATTCTTTGACTAGAGAATACAGTATGGATGTTGTTACTACATACGTTTATGGTATGAAGAACGGAACCAATTGGGTTGAGTATCCAAATCAAGCTTCTCACTATTTATCTGCATTCCAACACGCAGTTGAGCCATGGGCTTTCTTTGCTTCCACTGAAATCCAGCGGCTGGTGTCTATATTTGGCTGGTTTGGTATTAATTTACTGTCCCCTTCAGTGAATAGGGCTTTTGATACCATTCACTCTTTTGTACTCGATCTTACTGTTCGTACCATCGGAACTCTGGAAAACAACCACAGCAGTGAAAATGGCTCCATGAACACTTTTCGCGATGTATGGCAAAGGCTAGAAAATGTTCCCGAAGAACAAAAAACTCATTTGCTTGCATCTGATATGGTGGATCAAATACACGCCGGTCATGAAGCTACCGGAATAGTTTTAACATATCTCATGTGGGAGTTGTCTAGGAATACTGAGGTTCAGGATAGACTACGGAATGAGTTAAGATCCTTGAGCGAGCCTCGATCATCAGAGCTCTTGGATGCTGTTCTGATGGAAACTATTCGGCTTTATCCAGCAGGGTTTGGCCCCTTTCCGCGCGTCGCGCCGGACAATGCAAAAGTCAAAGGCTTCGATATTCCCAAGGGAACTATAGCAACCGCATCTCCTTACACACTTGGTCGCAACACCAAGATCTTTCCTCGTGCCGAGTCATGGATTCCTGAGAGATGGCTTGATGCTGACGATGCGGAAAAACGACAAATGAGACAATGGGTCTGGATGTTCATGAGCGGGGCACGCAACTGCATTGGAGAGCATTTGGCTGTACTTGGTACGTAGATGAATGCAACTGATTATTTTAAAGCTAATTATACTGAATTTTTTCCAGCGATGAAAGCATTCGTCGTGGATATTTACTCCAATTATAGAACTATTATCACCGGGAATCCGAACATGAGTCAACTTGAGACCTTCTTCTCGATACCAGCAAATGGCTCACTGAATCTGAAATTCGAAGTAGTTTCAAAGAGGCAGATCTAGTGGCGTTCTACTGCGAGCAGAGCCTTAAAAACACACCAACAAAGTCCCGCAACAACCACAGTGCTCTGTAAAAACTACTGGACAGTGGGTGACTTGGATCTAGGGCTTCTATAGTTAAAATCAATCCAATATATATTAATATTGATTATATTCTTTTAATCTATAGACGTGTAAAAATGTATAAGTCTTATATATAAAATATAATAAATATATCTTTTTTAATATTAATATTATATATTTTATTGAAATTATAAATAAAATAAAAAATATAGATTTTTAAAAATTATAAAAGAATTTAAAAATGAGATTTTGATAATAATTTCTGATATTATTAATAATTATAATAATATAAATATATTAAACAGAAGTTAAAAGGATTATTTATAAAATCAAAAATTAATATATTAAAAAAAGATTTTTATTATAATTAAAGATTCAAAATTAACAATTAAAGATATAGTTTTTAATTAAATTTCTTAAAACTTTAGATCAAAATAATAAAGAATTAAATTAATTGATTATTTTGAATAAAATGAGATTGATAATCAATTCCGGGTAAAATCCAGAATCATTAGTATTTGTGGTTTAGTGCAATCAAAGCGCGTTTAGAAAGGCGTGATCCCTTGCTAAGGTTACACTAACTGCCAAGCTTGGCTTGATAGGCAATCAAAGAGGGGGTATGCTGGTCTCCCAAAACAATTGCAACGCTGACCTGCACTGTGCCACCTGTATACCACACCTTTTACGAAGGTTTCTTTTCGGAACAATATTATTCGTCGAAGTAACCTCATTTCGGGCGTTTGCGTAGTAGCTCAGCTTGAATGGGCAGATCGCCCTGCATTTTGCTCGGTGAACTTAAAATATCAAAAGCCCCGTGTTATGTTTGATCATTTGGTTACACTGCTTATACTATACCACCTTCCTGCTGTCCCTATTCACCATTTAAGATGCAAGTGCATTATGGCTGAATTTCATGAGCAGGTTAGTTACATGATTATTTTATTGAGAAATTGAATAGGGAAGAGGCAAAGTCTGCACCAGCTCAACCAAGATAAACTGAGAGGCAAAGTGGGATTACTGTTACAGTCCATTTTCATTCGAAACGTGACCAAACTCGTAAAGGAGATGAGCCCTTCTCTGTACCACATGAAAAATGGCCCATCTTGATATCCATGCCCATGATATCAACGAGTAAACGGTCATATTCCGTCATTCATAAGATAAGTCTTCCGTGCGCTTGAACTCTGTTTGTGACGTAGCCTCGACAATCGCAGAACTAAAACTCATTCAGGAGAAATGGCGATGTTAACGGCAGATAATCGCGGCCCGGGCCTTAACGTCGGCATGTGGATTATTCTAATTCCAACCGTAATGATGGTGGCAGCGAAGATGTACACAAAGTGGTATTCGATGAAAAAAATCTCGCCAGACGATATCTTGATAAGTATTGCCCTTGTGAGTTACAATCATTTGTAATGCGAGATGTCTGGACCAATTTGAGTGGCAGACTTTAGTGGCTAAAGCTGATGCGAGTAAAGCTTACCGCCATTGCACAGTCAGTCGCTGTCACCGAGGAAGTCAGGTTTGGGTTGGGAAGACGAGCAGGCACTCTTTCGGACGTGGATATGAATAAATTTTTGGTGGTAAGTCAAAATCTATCTATTCAAAGGTCTGTGATGGCTTATAGAACAATACTTCACCCCGATTCTAGGATTTCAAAGCGTTGATTCTAGTACTAATTTTTCTACCAGGCTCAATACATCTCAAATATATTCTACGTGATCAGTATATATACTTCAAAAATATCTACAGCTTATTTCTTCGTTTCTTTCTGTAGAAGTGATGCTGCAAAACGAGTTGTGAGTTGTTTCATATGGCTTATGGCCATTTGGACGTTGACCAGTGTGGTTTCACTTCTCGCTCAATGTCATCTGCCACGGCCATGGAACAGCTTCGATGAAACATGCATTAATCTGGTATTTGTTTCATTCATTTTTAACTCCTATTTGCATCCTAATAACCTTATAGAAAGTTAAGTAACAGAGCGATGCTAACTAAATCCTTGTTCAAGAAAGTGTTTTGGATCTTCGGTGCCACTGTCGACGTTCTCACGCAGGTCATCATATCATTCCTCCCAATATTTCTGCTAAGTGGACTTCATATGTCTAACAAGTCTAGCAAGTGGCTTGTCATGGCTTTATTCGTTCCAAACTTATTGTGAGTGCTACCATCAAAATCATCACTCGCTGAACAATGATAAGAATCTCAGAGCTGAATTCCACCTATTAGAGTCATCCCAATATCTATATTCCGCCTGATATTTCTTCTTCACGCCATAAACAGCAGCGATTATACCTGGTCCGCATTTATCTTCGGTATCCTAACCAGTTTCCAACCATTTATCTCGATCATGATAGCATGCATACCATTCGTTAAACCCATCCTCGACAGTCTCATTCTACAGCCCTACTTAATCGCGGTAGAAGAGCCACAATCTGTAATCCCTGGTAATTCTAAAGGCACATCCTGGGTGCAACGCATACAAGAGAGCCGGGCGGCTAGATCCCAAAGGCCTCCAGGAGGTTCTTCTAAGTCGCTAGGAGGACGCAAGAATAGCGACATGAATTGGCCGTATACACAAACGCAGGATGGAGATGAGGAAAATGGGATGAGTGGAGAGGAATTTGAAATGAGGAGTGAGCAGAGGTAATTGAAGCGGGGTAAAAATGATGAGAAGAAGGTGGCTACTGGAAGAGAGAGATATTTTGACTAAGCCAGTTTGGCAGGTATGATGGTTATATAAGACTAGGAGGACAGCTGTTAAAACTTGGGACGAAGTGGTGTATTGCAATTGTGCGCTTGAACTCGGAAGTTATCCAAATTTATATCAATAAAATCAATATTTTATCAGATTAGAGCCAGATACATATCAGTTTTGAAAGCTTCATGGTGAGAAGAATATGATTAAAAGATGCAGACTCAGAAGAATTCGCTCGCAATATCGCAAAGCCTTGATAGTTTAGAGGTTATTTGTGTTTATAGCACCTTAAGCATGGAACGCCTCAAGCGATCGTCATTAATTTATTAATGGTCCCATCGGCATGAAAGCCGTAGAAGATTGACCATTTTTACTCGTTGAACATCACATATATACAAGCCTGATGTAAGACAGAAGTATAAAGAGGGGAAGTATAAATTGTAATCTTAAATTTGACATAGAGTGCCTACAGATTATACGAAGCTAGGAAAATGACAGCAAGGCCGATGAACTAACACGGACTCTTCACACACACACAGATCCTTCAATTCTCTTTCTCCAACCACAAACCCCCTTTCTCCTCCGAATCATTCATGGTCCAAATTTCCGCTCCAATCCACGGCGTGCTCCCATCCGGACAATTCTTATATCTCTCCAATTCACTCGTCCCATCAAACGGATCATCAGGCTCCCTATAACAAGCTGAATGTTGTTTTGCCCACTCATCCAATTTACTCCAATCTCTACAGGCTCTAACCTGTCCCGTTCCAGAAGCAGGATGCTTGAAGTGTCCACCGGTAAACCGCGGGGTATCGTCAGCATTACATACGATATCCTCCCGAATAGCTATAAGGCAGTGGTCCACGTGCATCGCATGCTCGGTTTGTAGCCATCCGTTTCGGTACTCATTGATGCTCTTGCGGAGCATATGTAGGCAGTGCATTTGATGGTGGCCGTGGAGGTAGTAAATTCCCTTGGAGAAATCCCAGGGCCAACGTTGGGCTATAGGAAGGCCAATTGAAGTTGCATAGGAGTCGGAGAGGGCAACATTGCCGAGATCAACGTTGTAGTAGTTCCATTCCGCTTCGGTGAGCGTGTTGTTTTGGTTGGTGGAGGCAAAGGGCAGAGGGTGGTCGTACTTTAATTTGGCTCGAGGGAAGTTCAGCGATGTTTTTCTGGAAACAGGGGGGAAACGTGACATACCATATTTTGAAATCACGTTCTCATGAGTCATACATGTTGGCTTCAGAATTGTAAGAATACCCCAAAGAGCATTCAGGGAGAAGGAGACGGATAGGATGGCGATCCAAACCCATGAGAGTCGAGCTCCGTTTTTGAATTGTAAGTCATATTTTAAATGGGAGTTTAGGAGGCCTTTCTCCTCAGGAAACACCTCATCCCTCTCGAAAATCGACTCGGAAGTAGTAGACATGATTGTTTTCTTAACGATATCTCCAACACAAGTGTGAAAGGAATGAAATTACAAAGGGAGATTTGAGCAGCAGCAAAATGATGAAGTAAGAGGATGCTAAACTTGCATTACGGGAGTTCTGCAGCTTGACAGTCAAAAGGAATGTAAATGCTCGTATTATATTCCATAGGATACATTGCTGCAGGGTATCTCTAGTAGGCAGGGTTGAACAAAGCGTGCGGGTGCACACAGATTCACTCGGGGTACTTTCTTCCTTGGGTAGATATTCTGTTATTTTTATAGTGTAAAGTAATGATTTCATGAAATATTATTCAGTATTGGTTGATCTGTTGGGTTAGATATATTACTATATTGAGTTATTCAAAGAATATTATGAAGCTGTTTGTTCATTTGATGGATCTAAAATAATTTAAATTTTGCATGATTATTTAGGACGAATATCTGCCCAATTCTGGTTTGTATCTGTAGAGGTATATTGTGCTATGGTAGGGTGAATAAGTACCCTAAGAAGCCAATATCTTAGTATGGGTATGTATCTATACCAGGTGGTAGACGCCCCCTATCAAGCAGCATGAATTTCGTCACCGGTTCAATGAACAGGCTCTTATCACCGAGTACCAAAAGAGCATAAGCTTTATTTTCAGCTGATTTGGATTCCATGTATCCTCTCAGACAAGTTCCTCACATGTAAAGCTAGTCTATTGTGGAATTTCAGCTCCATGTTGTGTGACACCATAGTCATAGCATGATGCTATCTCTCGGACGAACGTTCCTTTGCAGGTTGATGAGACACAGCAGACAATCTTCTAGTAATTTCAGTGGTATAGTGCGAGTGTCTCATGGTGAGATTTGTCGGAAAACGTTCCATCGTGAAATGAAAGCTCGTGTATGCGCTTTTTCATGATCCTAGAATAACGGTGCCCAAAATTGACATCATTGCAGTTAGACTCGATGTAAAAACTCCTCTGCAGAACGCGGGGTTGGTGATAATCGTCTGTAACACAGCAGTCAATGATACTGTGATTTGATACTATGCAGTTAAACCGAGCACGGTTTCGTTCCTGTTTAGTCCCCGGGCTCTTAAGTAGGTAAAAGTTCCGTGTTGTACGGCATAGGTCAAGGTGTGGACTAACGGTATCTCAGCGGCGTGGAAAGTCAGAAGATCTTAACGGCAATTAGCACCGGTATCCAATTTCATCCAAGTGTTATTCTGTCCGATCTTGGCAGGAGGAGTCCCTCAGGGTAACATATATGCAAGTTTCTTATCCTCCTATCCTCTCCCCCCTCGGGGGTTAGAACTAACATATAAGGACTCGTTGCAAATCCGGCCATTATCCACTTCAAAATCAACCACAGTTAAAGTTCTTAACACCAGCTCCCACCAACTCACCACGAATCAAAACATGAGGCTGTCCACGAATATCTTCTTCCTATTGGCCGCTGCCTCAGCAGCCATTGCTCTACCTCTGAGCAGTAAGTCTACCAACAACCATCCTCTACATGCCCCAGTTCTAACTCTTGCAATATTAGAGCGTATCTACATACCCGAAGAGACGCGTATTGCCTCCGCGTATGCCAAATCAGAAGCACAGGTTGCCAAAGAAGGAGCAAGGCTCCTGGAACGTATCTACATCCCTGAAGAGACGCGTATAGCTTCTGCATATGCGAAATCCGAGGCTCAGGTCGCTAAGGAGGAGGGAAAGTTAAGACAACGTATCTATGTACCCGAAGAGACTCGAATTGCTTCAGCTTATGCAAAATCTGATGCTCAGGTGGCTAAGGAAGCGGCTAAAGAGAGAATTTAAGCTCGATTTGGCAGGTATGAGGACGCAGTGGGTAGCTCAAGTTGTGGAATTCTGATTGAAATCATGTTTGGTGGTGAAGCGAAGGTTTTCCTTGCCAACTTGCTCTACGAGATGAAAATTTAGCTTAGGATCTCGCGTAAAATTACTACGTATAAACTCATAACCTGCCATTCGTTAATTTGTACCTCATGAATTAATATTGGATCATGCGTGCCATTCTATCCTACTCTAAGCTTAGCTGAAAATCTCGACTACCGGTAATTTGGCAAAAAAGCTTACCTCGGTTCTATGCAGCATGGAGAAGGTTTTTTCTTTCTTTTTTATGGCAGCACTGCTCCTGCACTTATACATAAGGTAGTGCCGAGAGCAACTCTTCATGAAAACATAGTAAGACGTGTCCGATATGTGATCCAATCATTGGCATACCTGCATCTTACGAGCAGCCTTTGTAAAGCAAATTAACTCCTCCGCAGTTTGGGTCCATAGAATTGACGTTAGAAGCTGAAGCCAACCTCTAGCTAATCATGCACTAATGCAAATAAAAGCTGCCGAACATTGTTTCTGCAGAAGTAAGCACTAATGCAATGCAATAAATGCTTCAATGATGCTCAAGCGGCGCATTTTTTATCCGCGCTTATCCCGGCCCGTCCATCTTTCTATGTAACCTCAATCGATGCCCCCCAACTCATCAAGTCATTGATTATGAAGGGAATTATCTGGTTGATATACGAGAAGTAAATCCTTCAATATTGGACCTGCATAGTTGTGCTGCGACACTGACATGGTAACGCACACCCTTCAGTGTCGGGTCACACGATGCCAAGATTAACATTACTACCAGAGCTGGGAGACCGCCTTGTGAGATGATCCTATCGAGTACGTGGCTCAACTACAACTGGGTAGAAGCGATAATTTTGATGAGGGAGGAGGAATGTGGATATTATTGATTTCTCGATGCTCCTCCAGTTCAGAAAGCAATCAAAAAGACCTGGGTTACTTTGGTAGATTTGAGCGCACCCTTTCATGAACGTGATAGCGAGCTATCCTAGATCCCACGAGCGGGAGACCCCCGCATTTTCGCGGTCCCGCCCCTCACATCAGCTGCGGGTGAAGGAATCCCACGTGTGTCTCCTAATATAGCCTTACTTAGGTCTTTTCTCTCTCGAAATACAATCGACACTCGTTTTTTTTATACTGGGCTCACGTTATTTTTGAAGGTATAACGGAATAATAAACGCGCGAATTAATTATGAGTTCGAACTCGCTCGAGCTGGAAGTATTAGGACCGGGAAAAACGACCGTGGCGATCACAACGGGGGTTGCGACGAGAGATGTTGAAAACGGCCGACTGACTTTGCGAGATCAGCGGGGTGTTGCGAGGGAGACGCAGAACAGAGAAGATGAAGATGTCTTGGCGAGATTTGGGAAGAAGCAGCAACTCACTGTATGTATCGTCATTTGTTTTTCATAGGTTGATAAGAATACAATATGATGTAGATGGAATAATGAGACACACACAGATGCTAATTCCAATTCTACCTCCAGCGTCGCTTCAAATATCTATCTTCTATTGCATTCAACATGAGTATCATGCTCACCTGGGAAGTTGTTCTCCTGTAAAGTGTTCCTAGCTCTTTAAATTTCTACATGAAATCTTTCTAATCGCCATCTCCAACGCAGTTCCATTCAATTTGGGCTTACGAATGGCGGCCCTGCAGCCCTCATCTACGGCTTCATCGCCGCCTGGTTCGGCTCGATTCTTCAAGCGCTCGTCATGGCCGAACTCTCATCGATGATACCTCTCGCCGGGGGCGCCTTCAACTGGGTTGCTGTACTCTCCCCAGAATGGTGTCGTAAATTCCTCAGCTATCTCACAGGCTGGCTGACCGTAATATCATGGCAAGTCTTCATGGCCGACGTGGTATTTGTTTGTTCGTCTGTTCTCCAGGGCCTCGTTATCCTCACCCATCCGGAATATGAACCTAAGCTCTGGCATGCCACGTTGATCTTCTATGCGATCCTAGCACTGGGATTGTTTTTCAATGGATATTTGGGACGCTTCCTCCCGAGGATTGAGTCGATTTGTCTTTTGTTTTATATCATTGGCTTTTTCGGTATCGTGATACCGCTTGCATATCTGGGCAAGCGTCGCACTGCGAAAGAGGTATTTGGAACATTCCAAAATCTCGGGGGATGGGATAGCATGGGACTATCATTTTTTATTGGGTGGATCACATCCACCTCATCATTTCTTGGTAAGTCAATCTGCAGACGGGAAGTTTCTCAAATACATCGCTAATGCTGACTACCATATGCTATAGGCGTGGATGGAGCCGATCATATTGCCGAGGAGATTCAAAGCGCAGCTTCAGTCATTCCGTTCAGTATATGGTTTTCCACTGCTGTAAACGGAGCTTTTGGTTTGGGAATCCTTCTTGCCGTTCTCTTCGCCACCGAGGATTTCGTAGCTGCATCTACTTCCGCGACTGGATTCCCTTTCATGGATATATTTACATCAGCGCTTGGTCTTGACGTAGCCTCGGCTTTGGTACTTCTACCCGAGAAGTGAGTCCAATGACTGGATAGCAGAGTGTTAACTTCTCGTAGATCATCGTCACTTCGGTAGTGAATATCTTCTCCGTCAATAGTCTTTTAGCCACCGCGTCTCGCACACTGTGGGCCTTCTCCCGAGAAAACGGTCTCCCATTCTCTAGTTTCTTGGTTAAGGTACGTAGAATTCAGCATGTAATAGCACGGAAGAATGATATATATAATCTGACAATCTGTGCTGCGACTAATTACCATGTCAGGTTCAACCGAAAACACGACTCCCTATCAATGCCAACCTGACCTCGATTGGCATTAATGTCCTTCTAGCACTCATTAGCGTTGGCTCTACTGCAGCATTCCAGGTACATTGTATTAATTCTTCCTAAATTAAACTTACCATCAGCCCAAGCTAATATACGATAGGCATTCTTCTCTGTGGCCGTAGCAGCCTATTACTCCTCTTTCTTCATCGCCGCTTGCGTAATGCTCCATAAACGTTTAACCACACCCGAAACTGAGCTCCCATGGGGACCCTTTCGTCTTGGGCGAATGGGTGTTCCTATCACCATTGGAGCCCTTATCTACACCACCCTTGCCGTATTCTTTTCCTTCTGGCCATCGGTAACACCTGTAAATGCCGTATCGATGAATTATGCCTCACTTATATTCGGCGGGTTCATGGTAATTTGTTTGGCGTTTTGGTTCATCCATGGTCGTAAGGTGTACATTGGTCCCATTTGGGAGTTTGATGGGGAATATATAAGAACGAATTAGAATTAAAATTTGTATTGATATATTCCGGGCTATTATATAATATTCTCATTCTGAAATGAATTAATTGATTTCGAAATAGATTAATTTGTTAATGAATTTAATTTTAAAATAAATTAGTTTATTATTCAATATATTTTATTTTAATTTAATAAATTTATAAAAGATTTTCAATATTTTATTTTTCTAAATATTATTTATTTATTTTATTATTTAAAATGTAGATTAATATTATTAGTCAAATCCAAGATTAAATTTTTAATACAAAAATTATTTTCTTTGAAATTATTTATATAAAACCTAATATAATAATTAATAAATTTATTTATAAATTAAAAAAATTATTAAATTCTTTAAAAGTTTTAAAATAAAAATAAAAATAAAAATAAAAATAAAAATAAAAATAAAAATAAAAATAAAAATAAAAATAAAAATAAAATAATATCAAATATTTTATAATAACAAAAATATATATTTTAAAAAATTATTTATTTAAAAGAATGATTTATAATTAATAATTTATATATATATATATATATATATTATTTTTATAAAATTTTATATAATCAATCAAATATTCAATTGATAACAAACTAATAATCAGAAATAATTTTTTTAAATAAAATAATTCATTTAATATAAATAATAATAATTTTCAATAAAAAATTATTTAAAATTTTCAAGATGTTCAAAATTTCTATATAAATTCTATATAAATTTTATAAAAATTAAAAATTACATTTTCAACTTTTAATATCTTATTTATTTATTTATTAATTTATTTATTAAATCTCTTCAAAAATATATATATATATATATATATAAATTATAAGAAAGTTGGAATTATAAATTAAATATATAAAGGTTTTAATTAATCAATTATATAATCTCTTATAATTAGATATAAAAGAGAGTTTTATCTCTTTTTTGAGAATAATCAACTATAATAATCTAATCGAGGCAGCGGCTGTCTTAGGTTTTTATATAATTGATAGTTGTAGATTAAGATTAATAATTATTAATTATTTATTCGAAGATGAATATATTATTAGATTAATTGAAATATAAATAAACTAATTGATAATTAAATTGAGTATGAAATTCTTAAACTATAAAATTATTTTGATTATATATTAATGAATATAAAGAAGCTTTATAAAGTTTTAAAACTTTAAAAAACTTTTAAAATTTTAGAAGTTTTCGAAGTTTCCAAGATTTTTTATTATATAATTAAAATCAGATTATATATTTAAGTTTATTAAAGATAAAAAGATTATATAAGATGATTATTATATAAATTTGTATACAAATCGTTTTGTTTTTTGATAAGATTTAAATTTATATAAATATATTAATTGTTGTTTTTCAATATATTTTTATTTTAATTATAAATTATAATATTATTCTTTTCTTAATTAAATATTATCTTAATCGTTTATAATCTTTTAAATTTCATTTAATAATTAGTATTTTTTCTTCTTTTATATTTTATTTATTTTTCTTTTTTTATTATAAACAATTCTGATTTCTTTAATAGTTTAATTCAAAAAAAGAAAAAAGAATATATATATTTAGTTACAATTATCGATTTTATCGATATTAAAATAATTCTTTGTTTTTATTATTGATAAAAGAATTATTATTATATTAAAGATCTCTTTGATAAATATCATTTATATTATTTGGAATATATACAAAATTCTGTTTTATATAATACTGAGTTTTGTTTAGAAAATGATTAGGATTATAAAATTCCTCAAAAATATAATTAAAAGAATCTTGATTGATAAATCGATAAATTGAATATTGAAATTATTGAATCTTTTATTAAGATTGTTTGTTTTGTTAAACAAAAGATGTAATTCAAAAAACGATATAATGAAATATTATATTATAGATTCAAATACTTTAATAAATTTGATATCTTCGAAGAAAAGAAGTGAAAAGAATAAAAAATTCTTATAATTTTTTTGTTGTCTTTTAATTAATTTAATCAATTTAATCAATTTAATCAATTTGATCAATTAATCTTTGATCGATTTGATCAATTATTAATTGATCTTATTAATCTTAATAAAATTCTTATAAACAAATTCGATTCTTTCGATTCCTTTTTATAAGAAATAATGAATTCTTTTTTCTTTTGAATAAATCCGGATTCTATTAACGAAACTTCTAGAACTTTTTTAAATATTTAATTTCCTTTTCAAGTTTCTATATATTTTCGAAATCGAAGTAATCTTTTTATTTTATTAAATATTTGATCTTACTTTTAATATATTTATAATTTAATATCTTTTTTATTTTATATTCAATATCTTAATTTGTAAATATGATTTTTGTTTTAGAAGTTTTAGATATTTCTAAAAATATTAATTCGAATAAAGATATATAGAATATTAAATATATATTTATACTTTTCAATAATATCAATTTATAATTCAAGAATCCTTTAACCTTTTTGATTTTAAATAATCTGAATTTCTTATAATCTAATTTTGTATTAAGCTTTTTTGTTTTAATGTTTTTTCGAAATAAATAAATTTTATCTTTTTTTAATATTGATTTTTAATTATATTTCTGATTGTAATAATATATATTTCTTTCGATAACGAATTTCAATTTTATTATTATTTCTTTATAGATTTCTTTGAATCTTTTTGTTTATATTATTATAAATTGATTTTTTATTTTTATGATTTTTAATTTGTAATATATAATTAATTTGTATTTATAATTGATATAATTCGAAATGATTTATATTGTTTTTAATACTAAATTATTATATATGAATTGTATTAAAGATAAAAATTTTATTTAATTATTCTATTAATAATTTATATAATATTAAAAGTAAGTTTTGATAATTTGATTTATTTTTTCATTTCCTTTATTGATTTATAAATAAAATATAATAAATATTTTTCTTTTTATTTTAATAATATTATTAGAATAATTTAAAATTTCGATATAAAAGTTTATCTTTATCAAAAGTATTTCTTTTAATAATTTATATATTATTATAATCTTTTAGAAATATAAAAATTAATACTTTTATAATTAATATTGTTTAATATAATATAAGTATTAAATATTTTATTAATCTATTTATTATAATAAAGAGATAATTATAAATTATTTCTATTATTAGATTTTTGGATTTTGATAATAGATTTATGAAATTTTATAATATTAATTTTATAATATAAATAATATTTCAATAGTATTTATTTATTTATAAAGAATATAATAAAAAGTCTTATTTTTAATATAAATATTATACTTAATAATTACTTTATTGATTATATTATAAAGTTTTAAACTTTAATATTACTTTTAATTTTTAAATATATCTTTTGTATTTTTTGATATTTATAAATTAGTAATATATATTATTTTATAATATATTTAGAAATAATATTATTTAATAATTATATTTTGTTTTTTATTCGAAGTAATTTTTTAATAATTATTAATAGTTTTGATTATTTGATATCTTTTTTATTTTATTATATTTTTATAAATTTATTTTTTTAGATCTTTATTGGTTTATTTTCTATAATAACAATTTCTATTAGATTAAAAATAAAATTTCTATTTAGTAAAGATTTTAAGATTGTTGTTTTTTGATAGATTTTATTATCTTTATAATCTAACAATTTGTTTAAAGTATTTGTTTTTGTATTATCTTTTTCCTTGATATATTTGATTATTAAATCGAATTTTGTTAGTTTTTCAATTTATTTAATCAATCTATGATTATTCAAAATCTTAATAATAATAAAGATTCGAAGATTTATATAATCAATATAAATGATTACTAAGAATTTAATTTTTTGAAAATAAATCTTTCAATATTTTAATATTTTTATAATAATTATAAATTCTTTTTTATAAATATTATAATTCTATTTTATTTTGTTTATTTTATTTGAATAATAGATTATAAAGTGTAATTTTCTATTATTGTTTTTTTATAAATGAATTTTTATTATATAGGTATTAAAAATATCTATTTCGATAATACTTTTTTAATTATTATAATAATTATAAAGGATAAATTCTTTTATAAATCTATTCTTGATTTCCTAAAAAACCTATTTTGTTTTTTTATTTTATATAAAAGTTATTCCTTTTTTGATTATTTCGATAAAAAATTCTATCATTTTCGAAAAGTCTTTTATAAATATTCGATAAAAATTGATGAATCTTAATATAAATTGTATATCCTTAATATTTCTGAATTGTTTTTAATTTCTTATCTTCTTTGTTTTTTTAGAATCTATATTTATTTGTTCTAATTGAATAATATATTTTAAAAATATTACTTTTTGTATTCCAAACTTGTATTTCGATAATTTGAATTTTGAATCTATTTTTTTGAATACTTTAAATATTTTCAATATATATTCTTTATATTCCTTTTCTTTCTAAAAGAAAACTAAAATATTATTTAGATAACAAATTATAAATGAATTGAACTTTTTGAATATCTTATTGTTTTATTATTGATATATAATTGATATATTAATTAATCCGAATAATATAATTATATATTTTTATAAATTTGATAATAAAATAAAAATTATCTTTTATTTATGATTCTCTTTTATTTATATCAAATTGAAAGTATTTCTTTAATTTAATTTTATATAAATTATAACTTTATTTAATTTATCTCTAAATTTCTAGATTTTTGATATTAGATATATATCTCTAATTATTTCATTATTAATTTGATAATAATCTTTACAAAATCGATTATCTAAATTATCTTTTTTGAATATTAATAATATATTGAATATATAAAAAGATTTGGATTTCTTAATCTATTTTTTCTTTTCAGTTTTAATTTTATATTTTTTTTATATTTGTATAATATTAAAGTTATATAATCTCAACTTTTTAATAAAAGATATAAATCTTTTTTTAAAATTGATTTTATAATCTCAAAGTTTATATTCTAATAAAGCTTTTAAATCTTAAAGATCTTCGAAGAATTTAATGAATCTTTTGTATTATATTAGAATTTCTTTTTCATCGATTTTATTAATCAATAAAGGATTTGTTATTATT